TGGGCAGCACCAAGCACACGGCACAGAGAGATGGGGAGGTTCAGGGAGAAGCAGCTCAAGGGCAAGACCGAGGCCCCAACAACAATAACGTCAACAGCAGCAGCAGCAACAGTAACAGAGGCCGACAGCTTTACAAAGGAGACTGGGCTGCTGAAGGGCTCGGTCAGTGCCCCCGAGTCGCGGGCTATGACTCCCAGCAGCAGCATGGAGTTTGTGCAGGCCAGGAAGCGGCTCCTGGAGATGGAGCAGCGGCAGAGACACATCCTGGAGATGGAGCGGCGTCTACAGCAGCTGCACGATGGCTTTGTGCAGGCCGAGCAGGAGGTGGTGGAGCACGGCGAGATGGTGAGCAGAATCCGGACCGGGACGGTTCAGGGAGAGGTCTACCTCTCGGCCTTCAGGCAGCAGATGAAGAGCCTGAAATATAACACAAAGCACCGAGCTCCTCTGATCTTCGCCTCCGTCTTCGGGCTCAGCAGCTGTGTGCCGTGGACGGGGAAATGAAACCCAAGGGACAGAGTCACAGCAGCTGCAGCTGTCACGCTCCTCACCGTCACCCTGGCAACCTCACTGGTACCCTGACATCCTCACCGTCACCCTGGCAACCTCACCGGTACCCTGACATCCTCACCGTCACCCTGGCAACCTCACCGGTACCCTGTCATCCTCACCATTACCCTGGCAACCGCACTGGTACCCCTAACCCCTTTCCCTGATGCTCTTCTCTATGTGTTTGCACTGTTCTGGGGTCAGACAGCAGCAGGTCTGTTATGTAACCATCAGCTTCGCTTCCAGCAGTTCCCAGCGCTGCTGATCCACAGCCACTGAATGTACCGATTAGCTTAAGAATGTCGATCAATCGTATGTAAAATGTGTCAATCTAATAAAAAGTATATTTCAACGAACAAGTGTCGCTCTACAACTCCTGATCAAAATAATAATAATAATTCTTGCATTTGAGACGCCTCAAAACACTTCACAAAATATACTGTAAAGCGAATTAACTGTTTTGTTTTGTGGGTGAAACCTGGCAGCCAATTGTGTACAGCGGTGCCCCACAAATAGTCATAGATTGAGTGAGCCAATTTTTTTTTTTAGAAGTGATTATTATCCCCGGAAAAGCGATCTGCCAATCGACCGGGTTCCGGCAAGTTCCTACTTACTGCTAGGTAAACAGAGGCATGTGGAGTAATGAAACTTGGCTGAGGCTTCACCAGCCCGGGAATCGAACCTGGGTTCTCCTGCTTGCAAGGCGAGCACTCTAACCACTGAGCTACAGGGTTCCATATTAGCATTCAGAGCACTTGTCACGAGATGGAATCACAGGCTGGTTTTCCCACTCTGCTATTATGCTGCTGTGCTGAGTACTTAACCCTTGGCTTTCTGAAATGCTCCCACCTGAAGAGCACCATATAAACGCAAGTTGTTGAAGGGACAGGATGGTGTAATATCCAGGTTCGGGTGGAAGCCGGCCAATTCAGCGCCCATATTTTGGGGTGTTTGACACATGCAGAAACTCATCACTATGCTTAACAATATCCACAGTTCCCAGCCCCGCTGATTCACAGCCTCTGAATGTACTGATGAGCTTAAGAATGTCAATCGATTATGTGTAAAATGTGTCAATCTAATAAAAAGTATATTTCAATGAACATGTGTCATTCTACAACTCCTGATCATAATAATAATCCTTGCATTTGAGACGTCTCAAAGCACTTCACAGAGTATACCGTGTTCCGTGCATCCCACCTATTCATGGAAATTCTCAAGGTATATATTGGAATGGAACCCACACTCTCTCCCTGGAGGGACACATCCTACTTACCTAATTCCATAGAGTATTAAGCGCAGGTTGGCAAGAGCCAAGGCTTGGGAACTCCAGAGTGAGCAATGAGAGTCTAACCAGCAAAAACTGCACAGCTTGCCATTGAGAGCACTGTCTGGCAAGCTCTCCTACTGCTTGTCCACCCCGCCCGTTAGGGCTTTAGCTTGTGGGGTTAGCAGTAGCTGAGTGGGAGGATTCCCTGCCCCCAGTGAATGGATTGTCCTCCATCCCTGTCAATGCGCCAGGCTGGCTGAGCTGCATCAGCAGCCCTGGAGTACTGTGGACCCGCCTGGCTCAGGAATTGGACTGCCAAGACCATCAGAGGATTGGTCCGATTCTGACATGCTGTTACCAAAAAACAGATCACCTTGGAGACAGTTCAGCTCCACTTACCGCCTCCCTCAAGAGGATAGTCTTGTTTGTACTTTACATTCTATTAGTTATTCACATTAAGCAATGCACATATGAAGATTTACAAACGGGGGAGTGTTGAAGGATTGGACAGTGTAGGGCAGTGGTGGCCAACAAAATATGTTTTAAAATTGATTGAATACTTCTTGATATATGGAAAAAAAATCCAAAAATATTCAATCAAAGAAAAATGATGGAAACACTATTGATTGATCACGCTTACCTAGATTAGTGCGAATGTTCAAAGGGCCACTTCTGACCCACACTGGCAAAGAGGGAACTGAATAAATATTTTTTTTGTCAGCTGGGTGTCTGACATGATGAAAAGCCCCATTGTGCCTCATTTTATATGGGACAGACACATTTTTTGTGGTTTTATGCCCCCTTCTGAAATTGTAATTTCTGTTAATCTGCAGATATCTTTGGTCCAGACGTTCAAGTTTGTTCAGTGAAGTTTAAAGGGACACTTTTTTTCAGGCACCGGCAGTTTGAATAAAAAAAATACAATATTAGGTGAATGTAGCATCTGATTTACCAGCAAACTGTAGCCGACACATGAGAGTTTAGCGAGTTTGACGCCATCTGTTCTCTGTTTGCTTGGAGGCAACATGTTAGGAATGACATCTGGTTTCGCAGAAAGTATCAAAATATTTAAGGGAAAACAATATATAGATGATGGCGAAGGCAATAGAGGGGGATTAGGAGGGATGGAGGCTCATACGGACTAGTTGGACCAAATGGCCTGTTTCTATGCTGTAACTATACAACGGATCGCAGTGATGAGACGTACAATTTGCACAGATTAACTGTTCTGGTTCCAACCTGCAGCATCATGTCACAGCTATAAAAAAAAATGCAGCCTGTACAAATCATATTATTGCCAAAGAGAAATTTTTATTTATAAAAATAATAATCCTTGCACTTGATGTAGCACCGGATCGCATCACTTCACAGAATATATTGTAAAGTGGATTGACTATTTTGTAGTCAATTACACATAGCAGTGTTCCACAAACAGTCATGGATTGAGTGACCATTTATTGGGGGGGGGGGGGGGGGGGGGGAGAGAATTATTATTCCCGGAAAGTAATCCACCATTCGACTAATAACTGGGTTCCTACTTACTGGTAAACATAGGTGTGTGGAGTAAGCAGACTTGCTTAAGATTGTGCTCTGCCTGGGAATCTAATCCAGGTCCACTCGCTTGCGAGGCAAGAGCGTTAACCACAAAGCTACGGGACTCTAAAATATTTAGAGTGTTCCCAAGTCGTATCTTGTCCTTTGGACTTTACATCAAGCCCACAAGCCTCCAGAGCAAATTTGCACCTAATAATATGAGACCAAGAAGCTCTGGAGATTTCCCATCAACTCAGTATAAGAGCAGCAATTGTGTGAGCTGATATTTCTATTTGCAGAGCGACCCCAGCTGCAGCCTGACAGACAGAGGGAACTTCATCCCAACTGTCTCCCTTCTGCTCTTACATAAAACAACTATTTATAAAGAAAGGCATCGATGTGAAAAAAAATTATATTTTTAATAAAGGCATTATTTTCCATTTATAAATACACTGGGATAAATGTGCTACGATTATCAAATGGAGCAAATTAGCGTTCAGGCAACAAACACAGGCCTCTTTCATTGCTCTACAGATTTGGGGTTCTTGCCAATAAAACTTATTATTTTCGGTAATGGAGGTTGAGTGCCCTCTGCCGGAGATTCAGAATATAAAACAGCTAACTCCGTGATAAACTCTTTTCAAATAGTGCACAGGGCGTTTAATGTTTGTTTGTGACCTTGGTTTAAAGTCTCATCCCAAGTGGGTGCCTTTGTCGATGCAGCATTCTCCCAGTTTTGCAATAGGCTCAATGTCTCAACCTTCGGACTCACGAGACGAGAGTACTACCAATCGAGCCGACTAACATCCAAACTTGGTCAGAATAGTTTTCAGGTCAGAATTGACTGACTAATGTGATGACAGTAGCTTTTAATCTCAATTGTATCCTGAAGACTTATTTCAGCCAGTGTACAGGAGTAACTATTCATCGTTTCCCCAGGAAGAGAGTGCTGAGCGTAATTGTCAGAACAGGTTTCATGTTGATGGTGGAAAGAGTGAACTTGGTGTTTGTCCCAGAAAACCTCAATTTTCAAATTTTTATCCAAAGCACAATTTGCCCTCCGCCCATTGGTGACTGTGCCTTCAGCCATTATGTCTCCACAGCCTCTGGAACTCCTTGCCTCAATCCCTCCTCCTCACTCACTTCGTCTTTAACATTTACCTCTTTTGATTGTGCCTATGGTCAAATCCCCTTCCCCCTACTCAGTATCCAACCCCTTCACTGTGCACCGATCCGAGACACTTTGCTAGTGAAGGACGGACATAAATGCAATCGTTCCTGGAATACCTATACTGCAATGAAAACTGTTGAACTCCTGCGATGGCACTCCAACTCTGTTTACCAGCTGGCAAGTTCACTTATTGTTCGTGTGCCAGAAAGAGCATCTTTTCAATTTATAAAATGTATATGAAAATGTAATTAAAGGTATGAAAATGCAACATTTCAAGACAGATTCAATGTTATCGAATCAGTTGTTAAATGTCATGTTCACTGTCACATGAGGTGAACTAGTCTCACTGGTTTAAAAACAAATAATGGAGTTGACCTGCTCCTCAGCACAGGGAGTAAAAGACTTATTCTGTCTGATGGGAGATTGTTTTTTAAAGGATTTTCTTTTATTCAAATGTAAACTGAAAGAATGCAAGAATTTCTGTTTGTTTTTATTGCACCCATATACAACTGAAATAACTACAGGCTTGTTCAAAGCCAACAACAGCACTAGCCCTATACAAGTAGGAATTAATTATTAGCAATGAAACCAAACTATACAGCACTCTGCTAAACCCGAGCATTTCAACGCTGGCTTGAAACTCAAATATCACCACCATGTAGTAACTAGTTCAATTTACAGTTAGCAGCTTTCACAGACATTCCTTATCAAGAAATTGATTTTTTTTAATTATAGATGGCAAATGTAGCAACAAATTAGTTGAAGAAGCTTTAAATACAGAATTGACATTGACCTCAACCCTGGGCCAACCTGCCCCCACTGGGCGTGCAACGTACCCACAGCAGCACACAGCGAGTGTGTGAGCGTGAACAAGGGGTGTCTGTAATGCGTGTACAAGGCGTGGTTGGGGGGGGGGGGGGATGAGAGGGCCGGGAGAAAAGTTTGCAGGAAACTTAAAGGTAACAGAGAACGGATTCCTCTCAGTGTCTGGATAGTGGGAAGGAAAAGAGGACAATTTGGAACATGAGAGTCACTCTTAGCTCACAATCTGTCTGAAAGAAAAACAGGAAATGCACGATGTACAAAGGTCAGATTCTATATTATACAACATTCCCCCAGTACCTCGCTGGTCTATGGACTCAAAGCTGATGGCATTGATGTTCTAATCTGGAACAAACTTTTCCTGTTAAGTTTTCAGGGCCTGCCTTACGGCAATTTTAATTTGAAAACTAACAAATTATTTCACTTCCCACTGGGACACCAGGAAAACACACACTCGTGAGGAATGGAACAAACAGTCAGTGAGATGAAGTCACACCAGCTTTATAAGAAAACTGATGGGGCAGCTGCCAATCATTTACTAATAACAGTCAATAGCTTTCAGAGGAAAGTCCAGCTGCAGTGAATTGATTCACCACCATCTGACAGCCACAACCCAGCGTGTGTACCCACGATCGGAATACAGTCAGCCTGCTTGACGGGTCAGGATTAATTTCATGTTCAGCTTCACAGTGTAGTCGTTCAAAAGCTCCTGTAATGCCACCATTAGTCGCTGAAGCCACTGCACCAACCCCACACGCACACAAGGCGCAGTTGAACACACAAGCTGCGGACAAACTGCGAGCAATCTCTCCAGAGACGGCAATGCAGAGACAAGTGGCATGACTGGTTCAGGATAAATGTAAAATAAAACTAATGGGGGTGAAGAGGAGAGAGGAAGAGACGCGAACACACTCTCTCACACAAACAGATGCACGTAGGGGCACACATATACAGCCTCAGAGGTTGGTTTTCCTGATCCGACTCAGCTCTGCAGTTAGAGGAGTACACACAAAAACACACACACGCTTGTGGAAGGTTTCCGTCCTCTCTACACACAGAACTGGACTCCATCTCTCACACCTCTCTGCAGGCTGTACGTGCTGGTGCATTGCAGTGCTTTGTTCGTTATAGTTGAGAATCTAGGGCAGGACAGGGCAGCTATTCCCAGATATACCTCAGGCAGCCGACGACAGAAGGTTGCAGGCTACGGAGGCTAACTCAGGGACTTAAACCTGGTGAAGCTAGGCCCTTTAACACCCCCATTTGCTGGCTGCTTATTGGCTAACGACTGCACACAGCTGGTTAATAGATACAAAAGAGGCGTGTGCGACACTATCAAGGAGGAAGAGCTATTTAAACAAACTTTTGAAAGCAGCATCTATAGAATTAAAAACATTTCTGCTTATCAAACGAGTCTTTCCCAAAACAACCACCAGAAACAATTTCAAGTCTATTGTACTCATCCCAGCCCCGGTTCAGGTTCAGTCGCTGCTCCCGAGGGCAGCGAGAGTCAAACATCAGAGGCTCCGTTGGCGGATCTGGTTGGCATTGGGAGCTGTGGGCAGAGGCTGGTGGGAAGGATATGAATGCTGCCTGTATTACTGCTACATAAGGGGTTGTGGGGTGGGGGGGGTAGTGGGGTGGGGGTGGGGAAACAGTGCAGTGTTTCAACCAGATGCATGACTGGAGAAAGCTGTCTCCAGCCCAGCCCAGAGGGTGCTTAGCTTGGTCTGCACTGCACTTGCCCCTCTGACGTTTCCTCATCATCCGACGCCACCCCACTGTTGCTCAGCCCGGTAATCCTGTAGCCCATGTTCAGGAGCATGACCTCCAGCGGGTCTGCGTTCATCCGGCGCTGATTGGCCTGAGAAGCTCCCTCCATGTCTTCAATTACTCGTTCATTCTGATCTTCACTCTGAAAAGGAACATCAGTCAGAGACCAGCCACTGCTCTCCTTTGCCCAACTTCAACCGCGCACGGAGCCCCCTCACCGAGGAAGCTCTGCTCACACAAAGCCACAGACAATCAGGCTCAGTCCAGTCTGGGCTGCGCTCGGTGGCTGTTGCAGAGTTGCATTGCTAAAGGGCTGAAAGCAGATTACCTGCACACCGTCTCAGCCACAGTATTTACCTGGGATGTTCTTTCTGACGTGAAGGGCGCTATACAAGTGTAATTTGTTCTTGTTGTTTACAGGCAAAGAAACAATTTCAGGTCAAATGCAAAAGAACCAGTTGCACTGAAACTTACCAACAATATTGGTATTCTTGGTGCCTTTATCAATGACCCTTTCTGCCTGGTTTCTGAACTTGTTCTATAGCTCAACGATTGGGAAAAATCCTCCCCCCAACGCTGCCGTGGCTCTTGTCATCAAATTTTGTATCTCCATTTTGTGAGATTATCATATTGAGCAGTGGCACAAATTCCTGCTATAGAGTAACCTACTGTGTAGTGCCACTGAAGTGTATATCTAGTATTACTGGGTACTGCTAACTCCCACAGCTCCTTGGGATGTCCTCCCGACGTGAAAGGCGCTATACAAATGTAATTTTGTTGTTGTTGTATGAAATCATCCTGTGCATCAGCCCGACTCAGTGGTAGAACTCTCGCCTCTGAGTCAGAAGGTTGTGGGTTCAAGTCCCACGTTGGGACTTGAAATCACATAGTCCAAGCTGATCCAATACAGCGCTGGGGAGGGGGGTGGTGCTGTATTGTCAGAGGTGTCGTCCTTCGGATGAGATGTTAAACCGAGGACCCCGCCTGTTCAGGTGGACGGTAAAGATCCCACGGCTCTATTTGAAAAGGAAAGGGAGTGTCTGTCTTCCGGTGTCCTGGCCAACAATCCCAAAAAACTGATCAGTACTCCATGGCTATTTGTGGTACGTTGCTGTGTGCAACCGGCTGCTGCCTTTCGCCCACAAAATACGCAGTCAATCCATTTTACAGTATATCCCATGAAGCGCTTTGAGACGTCTCGACACGCTAAGGCTCTAAATCAAAATGCAAGGATCATTATTGTGGTGAACACTGCGCTGGGTGTTTGAGACATACCTCTGGCCTCGGGCTCCACAAGCGAATCACAGGATCAATGCCGCTGGTTGCGAGAAAGCAGTGCCTTGGATGTGGCTGTAGACAGTTCACGATCGACTCGTCGCCCTGCAAAACACGCACAAGATTTGTCGTCGCTTTCTCCCAGATGAAAAAGGAGCCGTCGTCTGACCCACTGACGATGTACTGACCATTACTGGAAAGGAAGAGAAATTCAACCTGTAGTAATTCCATGCAAAATGGAACAATATTGAAAAAAACTTAACTAAATTCAGCAAATGATCTTGTGACTAAAGAGGCAAATGCCTCCCTGTGGAAGTAATAATAATAATAATAATCCTTGCATTTGATATAGCGACTGACCATGTCTTCGAGACGTCTCAAAGCGCTTCACAGATTATACCATAAAGTAGATCGACTGTGTATTTTGTGGGCGAAACGCGGCAGCCAATTGCGCACAATGGCATCCCACAAACAGTCGTGGATTGAGTGACTTTTTTTTACATTTATTTTTTTGAAGGGATTATTACCCCGGGAAAAACGATCTGCCAATCGACTAACAACCGTATTCCTACTTACGGCTAGGTAAGCAGAGGTGTGTGTAGTAACCTAATGTTTTGTCCTGTCCGGGAATTGAAACCAGGTCCTCTCACATGCGAGACGAATGGGTTAACCAATATGCTAGAGGACTTTGTCCATATGGCTTAGAGAGGTTCTGATCTCCTCACCTGGCTTAGTTGGGTAAGCCACAAATTAGAGCCTAAAGTGCCCAGCTTGCACAGTCCAATTATTTTTAATGTCAGTATTGTAGTGGACATTTGGAATCCGCAGGAATTTTCACGTGTAGATGGGAAGCATGGAATGTTTGGCTTGCCTATCATTAGGCTTGTCACCTTGGAGCCAACTCAGCCCCAAGGAAACCTTACCAATTCTAGCTCCCAGGAGGACTACAGTCATTAGTTGGTCATTGGATATCTGACCAATAAGTTTGAGCTCTTCTAGGTGGGAGCAGGAACTCCTTACAAACCACTTGGTGAGCAATGCAACTCGGAACTAAATGTGTGACAACATTGTCACTATCCCTCTGCCCACAGCAAGGAATGACAGTTCTACTATCTCCACATAGCAATCACAGGAGACATCAAGCCCCGGGTAGGAGTGTGTGTTCATGAACCCAGATTTCAGGTAACAATGGTGCCATATAATCACACCTCCACACCAGCTACCTCTCTGTACAGAAGCAAAACCTTGCCGGATAGATCAGCTGCACGTTAATGAACTTTCTGCTTCCTATTCAGGTATATTAAACAGTGTTAATCACCTCTGATCTTGGCAGTGCAGCTCACAGCCCAACAAGAATCCACCCCAATACCAGAGCGAGGACATTAAAGTAAGTTTGTCACCCCAGAAGATATAAATTCCACAATTCTTTTGGACTCTTTTCTGTCAAAACTGTTTAGACTCAAAAACAGACCCAAACTAAGGAGATCAATAACAGGATATTTTCCCCCGAAAACTATTACTACGGTTGAATGGTGAAGCTCAGAGATAGGTTGAAGAGTGCAAATCCTGAAGGACTGAGACTCAGAGGATCGTGTGACCTGCCTGAATCATACTCAGCTCAATTTGTCTCTCACCATCTCTCCTTAGATTATTCAATTACCTTCCAAAAAAGTTGGCCTCTTTGATGTCAGTGGTCGTGTTGCAGTGGCCGCAGAACCGAGATTTATAGTCATAGCCTCGCTCTCTCAGCACAACTTCATCGTCTGAGATGGAATCCTTTCGCCCGCTGGACCGGATACGGATTGGGGCATTACCACCACTCTTCTTATCATCAGCTACAAGAATAGGAACACTTTTCAGCTCAACTCACAAGAAATAATAATAATAATCGTTGCATTTGTTATAGTGCCTTAACACGTCTTTGAGACGTCTCAAAGAGCTTCACAAAATATACTGTAAGGTGTGGTGACTGTATATTTTGTGGGCGAAACGAGTAAGAGCCATAAACTGCAGCTTGTGTCCTCATCAACAGAAAGCATTGCATGCATACAGGGAGCAGGGCTGCAGTGCCAAGGGAACTGGAGGTTAGTGTATGAGGTGAGGAATATATTGGGGGATATACATCAGGACAGCACAGTGACTGAGCACAATGACCAGGGCAACACAGCGACTGAATATCGTTGTGACTCACAGCTTTCACTCTTAGAGAAGAGCATAGCTTTAATGTCTCTCTCGAGGGCATCGCAGGCACTGCTCTGTGCCTGTTCAGGAAAGCGTCCTTTGAAGTCTTCCAGACACTCCAGTGCTTCTGTGACGTACTTCAACTCGAACAGGCAGCGGGCGAGGCGGAAATGGGCCTTCAGGTGCAAAGGGTTCAGAGAAATGGCTTTCAGACAGTCTCTCAGAGCATCATAATGGTCTCCGTCCCTGGAAAACAAGAGGAACAGATCTCAACATCGCTCACATCACTGATCAGGAAGCCGTAATGTATTACTGTACAATACAATGCAATTAACATTAGAAGCTTATGTCGTTGTGAATGTAACACTACAATTCAGCATCAATTCTCATGGTACCTGGTGAAATGTGTCTCACTGCAATTTCATCCCCATGCAGGGCACCGTTTAGATTGTAAATAGGGCAGAAGGGGAGGATCCAGACAGTGAATATTTTAGTTTAATTGTAATCATGACGGCTACCGTGTGTTGCTGATTCATACACAGAGCAATGCAGACATAGCAAAGCAGCTGAACCCATGTGGCATTGTCCTGTGCTAAAAACAGAAGTTGATTCCATTTCACAACCAAAGCAAGTTCTGTCCTGAATGTGCAACATGACGGTCAGCACAACCTGCGTTTCACTACAATCAGAAATAGGCTTCTTTAAATAAAATTTCATCCAGTGCTGTTTATGAGTAACTCAAGCCTCAGGCGCAGTGACCTCACTGACCGGTAACCTCACTGACCGGTCTGGATCTGAAGCATGAATTATTCTTACCACTTGCGTTTCATGAAGGCCGCTGCTCTATTGCCATACAGCATGGCATTCCTGGGCACCTGGTACACAGCCTTGCTGTACAGCTGAATGGCTTGTGTCCACTGCTGTCGGGAGAATGCGTCATTTGCCTGCTGTTTGAGCCTCTCTAAGTATGCTGGAAGTTCACAGGCAGTACTGCAAAGGAACAACAAACAATAGTTCATGTGACTAATGAGCCACACATGAATGGTGAATCATACACTACAGTAGAAGCAAATTATAAGGCACTTCTTTACAACTCTGGCTAGTTACAAGATGAATGCTCATAGGGGGGAAATTGGCAGCGCCTTGAAAGTTGGCTTTTTTTTAAGCCCAGGAAACTGTCGGCTTTCCCCCACCCACACCCACCCAACCACCCACCCACACAGAGTGAGTGCCCCTGTGCTCCAGCCCAGCTCTGTATGTGTCCTGTGGTACCTGCTCTGTGATCGGGTGTCTGCCAGCCGAAATCCATTACTGTGGAGATGAATCCCATTTGTAACTCCATTTGTTGTGGACTTTCCATTCTGCAAATCTGTGGAACAGGAAAGAGATCAGTGAGAACAGAATGTGTCATTCCCAAGCTGCAGATAAGGAGGTAAGAGTGCTACACATGCTGAAACACTCACCACTGGATGAAGGACACTTCTTTGGCAGGAGGAATGTATATGGTTTCTGTTTATTTGTGAGATCAAACAAATAAACCTGAAATGATAAGAACATTTATTTTACTTTCTTGAAATGACTGCAGTTTAAGCATCTGACTCCAAAACAGAAACTGTTTTGTGGAACATTAATAATAATAATAATCTTTGCATTTGATATAGCGCTTTTCACGTCTTCTCGACATCTCAAAGCGCTTCACAGAATAGACTGTAAAGTGAATTGATCGTATATTTGTGGTCGAAAAGCGGCAGCCAATTGCGCACAGCAGTGTCCTACAAACAGTCTTGGATTGAAAATGACCAATTTATTATTTTTTGTTTTGGAGGGATTATTATTAGGCTGTGTGGAGAAAGGAAACTTGCCCAAGGTTTTGCCCTGCCTGGAATTGAACCCAGGTGTCTTGCTTGCAAGGCGAGTGCTCTAACCACTGCGCTACAGTGCCTTATCATGTTGCTGAGATGTCTCAAAGCGCTTCACAGAACAAATAAAAATGGTCATTCAATCCACAACTGTTTTTGGGACATTGCTGTGCGCAATTGGCTGCTGTGTTTCGCCGACATAATGTACAATCAATTCACTTGATAGTATATCCTGTGAAGTGGTTTGAGATGTTTCAATGACATGATAAGGCACTATATCAAATACAGGGATTATTATTATTAGTAGTAAATGGGAATTGATTAACAAACACTGCACCCTCACCTGTTCTCCTCCCATGTTGACTAGGAGCTCTGTGCCATCGGGACTGAAGGCCACATATGTGGCCACAAGCACTCGAAGCCTGTTGTTATAATCGGGCTGTTTTACTGGAAGATGCCCTGAAAAGGAGGAGTATTATCAGGTGTAAGTGTGACAGTGACCCCAATGCATCTCGGTCTTGGAATCCAGAACAAAGGGGCATAATCTTAAAATTAGATCCAGGCCATTTAGCAGTGGAAAGCTGGCATTCTCTCTCTCCCACAAAAGGCTGTGGATGCTGGATCCATTCAAAGTTTCAAGACTGAGGTGGATAGATTTTTGTTAGGTAAGTGTATCAAGGGATATGGGGCAAAGGCGAGTATTTGGAGTTGAGGTACAGATCAGCCATGATCTAATAGAATGGTGGAACAGGCTCTAGGAGCTAAATGGCCTATTCCTGTTCCTAGGTCTTGGAGTGCAACCACCAGCCAAGGTCTCTTGCTCATGTTCAATGACAAACAACATTCCTGTGAAGCTCTGACAGAGAATCAATGCGTTTAAAAAGAACAATTAACCTTTCTATTAAGTGTCACAAACTATTGCTTATCGTGTAAGTAGCTGAGCCGTACAATAGCCTAGGTTCAGTTCCCTGTCTGTGCTGAGTGACACATCTCAGCCAGAGATACAGTGGAGTTCAGTACCTCTGGGTTAGAAAAGAGAAGAAAATTAGCAAGGAATTCTGCTCCCAATTACAATACAGAGACCCCCTGCTGGAAGTTTTAATTTGGCGAACTGTTGTTTTCCCACTTAATTCTACTTGAGAGCCCCCCCCGCCCCTTTTTCCACTGGACACATGAAGACGCAAAGGTACCTGCCACGTAGTACTGGACAGCTCCGTCTGGCACAGACTTATACCGGTCACAAAATGTGTGGACTCCTGCTGTAGAGCTCGGCTTCACTGCCTTCCTACAGAACACAAAGCAGGGAAGATTGTAGAGACTGTAGAGAAAAACACAGTCAGGACCGGAACACAGTGGGGAAGGGGTAAAAGGGAAACCTCGAGGAGGAGAGTCTCTGCTCTGTTCCAACTTCACTTCACAAAATTAATCCCAAATTGTAGTTTACGTGAGGCCTTCACTTTTAAATCTCATTGTAATAATAATAATCCTTGCATTTGGTATAGTGCTTTATCACATCTTCGAGACGTTTCAAAGCGCTTCACATAATATATTGTAAAGTGAATTGACTGTATATTTTGTGGGCGAAACGCGGCAGCCAATTGCGCACAGCAGCGTCCCACAAACAGTCATGGATTGAGTGACCAATTTTTTTTAAAAAAGGAAATATTACCCCTGGCAAAGCGATACCCCAGTCAACTGACAACTGGGTTCCTGCTTATTGCTAGGTAAACAGAGGTGTGCGGAGAAACTCGAAACCATTCTGCACTCAGCGTTCTTGCTGTAGCTGCCACTCTGCATTATCTTACAACATACAGTCGTGGCTGAAATGACAAAGCTCTAACAGGACATGAAAGTGTCATTGTCATACTCTACTAGTGAATGCTCTGCGAAAATTACCAAATTGTGCGAATGCAATATCCCCCTCGAGCCTCAACTCTTCTCATGAAAACATTTAGCCTCTATTGTAGGCATGATATTTTAAACCTTGGGTGGGGGGAACGTTGTCCCCTGATTTCCAGTTTGCTTTGTGACCAACGTAAAAGTTGCAACTTACTCCAGCCACACCTTACCTGTGATTGTGGATCATGCGAACATCATAGACACGGACAAAAGGCCCACTGGCTCCCACAGCCAGGTAATTATTGTCCTGAGGATTGACAGCCAAACACTTGGCTTCCACGTGCTGTCCACAGTACTCGGTCAGGTCCACCAGCACCTCCGAGCGCTTACTGCTTTCTCTCAGGTCATACTGTCTGCAACAGCAAAGCACATGCAGCAGGTTAACAGACAAGGAGTTGCATCTTTATTATCCCTCTGCATTTGTCCGCCTGCTCTCGTCCATTGGAAACTATTCCTTAGCTTTGCACCACTCGTGGTAAATGCTTTACGCCAGACCAGGGTATTCCGAGATTAATCTTATACAGAATAATAATAATTCTTGCATTAATATCACAACTTTCACAATGGGAGGGCCTCTTACACATAGCAAATTTACTGTAAAGTGTAGTGCTGAACCACCTGTACACAACTGTTCCAAGCTCTGCCTGTCAGAAACGAGAATCTTTGATCCAGAGCATTCACTGGCACAATTTGGTAGACAGTTGTTAATAGAGACGAGGAGTAACCAAACTGCATTCCTGAATGCAGAGTGACCGATGCTGAGGAGAAGCAGGAAGTTGTGACCCTGAAAAGCCACCACCTGAGTCTGACTCACAAGTTCACTGCTACCCCCTCCCTCTCTCTCTCTCCAATACACACACACACACACGAAAGGCACTAAAGTAGTACAAGATGTTGTACTGTCTAAACTGGCAGAAACTGTGCAAACAGAAACCAATTAATTCAACTCTCTAGAATTGTTCAAAGTTGATGAATTAAAATCTTTAATTTGTAATTTTCAAACTAGTAGTGTATCCTCCTTATTACCTATCTGCAGCTATGAGCTCCACAGTACGTATAGCTTCGAGATTATCTCTCCATAATACAATTGATATTGACATGCAACATCTTGCACGTCAAAGAAACACCTCAAAACTTCAAAGAATGAGATTCATTAGAAATGAAGTGAACAAAGATGGAAAATCAATACCGAGGTTGGATCCCAGGCCAGTAGACCATTTTATAATTTGTGACATTTCTTATTGGGGTTTCATAAGAAATTCCAGAAAACATAAACTTTGCTCCGGACGTTAATCCTGAGTTTCCGCTAGTTGGTGTGACATACTTCCAGTTACTTCCAATTCCCATTCATGCAACATTGATTTATTTTGAAGCAATCCCATTAAGAAATGCTGCAGTGATACGGACTGAGACTGATCCCCACAGCAACAGGAAGCAGCACCAAGAACCTCGCTCTCGTGCTCTGTCGGGATTTGAACCTTCCTCGGTAAGAATTGGGAGATTCTGGGGCTGTGCCCCATCCCATACCTGACTGTCCCGTCCTCTGCAGCGCTCCAGAAGGTGTTGGGCCACATGGGTGCCGCTGCAATGCGTTTTACTCGATTGGTGTGTTCCCCAAACATGTGAATGGTTTCTTTCACCGTCAGGTCATGGACGTGCACTTTGGAGTCAGCGGCTCCGGTAATGAGGGTGCGATCGCCAGAATGTGGCAGAAACTAGCGGAAAAGCAAAAGCAATTTAGGTGAGAAGAGAGAATAAGTGCAGTAACACGATCAACCCTGACAGCTAGACACTAACTACACTAACCCACAGAGACAGAGCCCCACCCTCAGACAAACACGTATTATTAATTGGCCAAAATGTGGTTCCAATTAGTTTTTATTTCATCACATTCAGGACAGGGTCATTTCAAATTACAGTGGAATTCTAGAATTTAGTCAAACTGATGGTTTAGGGCAAGTGGTTTAGCAATTTGCATTTATAGAGCTCCCTTCACATAGAGTAATGGCGCCATAGCACTTTACACAAACGGTGGCAGCGTTCAAACTCAAGTATTATTATTAAATGAGATGGTGTTTCCACACCGTATCCTCTGCCCCTGGAAATGAAACAGCTATTCCACAATGAACCTCCTTGCACTGAATTTAACAATAATGACCAAAATGACCATGGAGGTACAGAGTTAATGTGAGATCAGTGGTGGTACCTTGACTGAGAAGATGTTAGCTGTGTGTCCAGTGTGCATGGTGAGTAGTTTCTTACAGCTAAAAGGATCCCAAAGAATTGCGTGCTGATCGTCCGAACCAGAGGCCAGCAACCTAACACCAAAGGAAGAAAGAATGAGTGTCTAAATTAAACGGAAATAAAGTGCAGAGCTGAGGCTTTCTGTGCAAACTCTTTGCACCAGAAATAGCACTATGCTGTTTGGTGAAAATCACTGTAATGTTGTACTCGTCTCCGGTCCGTACCAGGTTCTCCCCTGCCTGAGGCTTGTGTCCTGCATTGGGCCCATCCACTGATCTGAGCCACTCTGATCCTGAGTGGCTGTATCCAGAAACCTCTGAATTCTATTACGTTCAGCATCAGTGAATGTACAACACCCTGGGATACCTGGTATTCTTGGGATTACTTCTAAACCCAACCCCAGACACTGTGGAGTTCTGTAGGTCAGTGGTTAGAGCACTTGCCTCACAAGCGAGAGACCTGGGTTTGATTCCCGGCAGGACGAAACCTTGGGCAAGGTTCTTTCCTCCACACGCCTGATAATAATCCCTCAAGAAAGAAAACCCACAATAATAAATTGGTCACTTCATTCCATGACTGTTTGTGGGACACTGCTGTGCTCGATTGGCTGCCGTGTTTTGCCCACAAATATATAGTTAATTCACTTTACAGTATATTCTGTGAAGAGCCTTGAAGACGTGATATATCAAATGTCATATATCAAATGATTGTTGTTATTATTATAGGTATAGTTAGCTTATTAAAACACTAACTGTTTTCTATTTCTTTGGTACTTTACTGCCTTTAAAGTAACAGTCCAGGAGCCGAGTGTAAGACCAATACTTACTGGCCCGTCTCATTCCATTCAAGGCAGTTCACACACCCAGAATGACCCTGTGGCACAGAAAGAGACAGAACGATTCTCATTTAATAAAATTTAAAAGGATTGCAAAGGTTTGTTGAATACAGATTGCCCTGCATTACAATGTCAAATGTGATAAGGGCTATATCAAATACAAGTATTATTATTATGTTGAAATAATAAACACATCAGAAAAAAAGATTTTCTCCACACTAGAGGCCATTCAGCCTATTATGTCTGGCCTACCGGTCTGAAGAAGCTATTCATCGCACACCCTTGCCCTTTGTATTTTTATTCTTAAATATTTATCCAAACCCTTTTGAAAGCCATTACTGATTCTGCTTCAATAAACAATACATTTTCTGTAAATATACAGCAGACCGTGGATTACTTGCTGCTAAATTTGTGTTAATTTACTTTTGGATAAAGCTCCGGTCATTTTACCAGTATGTTAGTGCAATGTGAGCGAGCAGCTGTCATGGGTGTGTAATGCAGGATTTAAACTTACAACCTTCAGAACCAGAGTAAAAGTTCTACCAACTGAGCTAAGCTGATTCTTTGCAATTTAACCTGCAGATTGCAGGGAGTAATAGCAAACAAACAGCTGATATCTCTTCATATCACCAGATATATACAGCAGTGTTTGAATTAGATACCTGATCAGTGCTGCCACAGGAGCAAAGCTACTCTTGAAGATAAAGTTAAAAAATGCTCAAGAATCTCACCTCTAACTCGGACTCCAGGCCAAGACGCTTTATAAACGGATCCATCACATGATAGCGGCGCTCAAACCACAAGGCACTCTTCTCCTGCAAACACAGTCACACAGTCACAAAACCCAGTTAGCCATCAGTCTCTCCGTACATGGATTTTCATTATAAAATTAGCCTCCTGATGTCTGCCAGTGCGTGTTGGTCTGGAAGGGAAAGCGCCACCCTTCAGATGAGATGTTACACCAAGGTCCCGTCTAATCCCATCCTAATCCCTGACTGTTCAGCGCCTTGGGACGTTCCCCCGACATGAAAGGCACTTTTACAAATGTAATTTTGTATGTATTTATCTGCCTGTTCAAATGGACGTTAAAGATCCTATGGCATTTGAAAAGAGGAGTGTTTCTCCCCATGATTATCATTATTGTTGTTGTGATTCTTTGCAACAATAGTGAAAAACAGAACAGGGAAAAGTAATCAAACTCCATTCAACACAGACCAGCTGTGTACAGTGTGTGTCCCTAATTCATGTCTCTGAAACTTACTTTACTGGAACATTCAAATGGGCATCTTAGCCACACATATCTGACTTGTTTCCAATTTTCTTCAGCAGATTAGTCACTAAATGGCACGCAAATCTATGGCAGATGAGGCAACGTCAAGCAGTCCAGTTATCAGGAACCCTACAAGTAGCACAACCACTCTGCATGCTAATAGACTCCTAGTGAAAGCATCTCGAGCAAGTAAGCCCAACACAGATAGGCAGTGTTACAAAGGCAGGGTCAGCGCTTAGACTGGGAGTGTTACTTGGGTAGGAGAGGTAAGCTAGGGCCTATCCCAATTATCCCAACTTCATTCCCAATTTGAACAAACTAGCAGATCAAAGGCTGGTGTCCTGTTTTATTTAAACACATTTATATAGTAAGCTTCACACAAAAAAAATCTTGAAGCCTTAAACAGAATAAGGTTGTAACAGAAGCATTTTTAGGCAAATCTTAGAATGTTGATTGACTTAGAAGGTCGGTGCCCTGTGGATCCCATTGGGTTATATGCTCCCCCTTGGTGACATCATCCGCAGACATGGAGTTAACTTCCACATGTATGCGGATGACACCCAACTCTACCTTTCCTCCTCTACTCTCAACTCCACAACCACCGATGTCCTGACAGCCTGCCTGTCCGACATCGAGTCCTGGACGAGAGACAACTTTCTTCAGCTCAACGTGCGAAAAACCGAGGCCCTCCTGATTGGCTCACGTCAGCGCCTCCGCACCTCAGGCGCTGACACCATCAGCATCCAAGGCTGCACTCTCCACCTCTCAAAGCCAGTCAGGAACCTCGGCGTTTTGTTCGACCCTGAGCTGTCCTTTCTCCCTCACATCCGCACTACAACTGGCACCGCCTTCCATCACCTTCGGAACATCGCCAGACTACGGCACTACCTCACCCCTCACGCTGCTGAAACCCTGGTCCACGCCTTTGTCACCTCAAGGCTGGACTATGGGAACTCTCTCCTCGCCGGCCTTCCCGGCCCTCCCTCCACAGTGCAGGTCATTCAGAACTCTGCAGCTCGTGTACTGTCCCGCACCAGGCTTCGGGACCACATCACTCCCACCCTCGCTCGCCTCCACTGGCTCCCCATCCCCCAGAGGATTGATTTCAAGATCCTCATCCTCACCTACAAGGCCATTCACGGCCTCGCTCCCTCCTACCTCTCCAACCTACTATCCCCCTACCTACCTGCCCGTACCCTCCGTTCCTCTGGCTCTGGTCTGCTCCACGTCCCCCGCCCCAACCGCCCTACCATCGGTGGTCGGGCCTTCAGCCTCTCAGCCCCCAGGCTCTGGAACTCCATCCCCCAGTGCCTTCGCCTTGCTTCCTCCCTTTCCTCCTTCAAGGCCGGTCTCAAAACCTTTCTCTTTGACCGTGCCTTCAGCTCCCCTCTCGACTCTCTTCCCCCTCCTCGCTCCCTCCCTTCCCTCCCCTCACCCTGACCATTTCCCCCTCCTTGCTCCTTCCCTCCCCTCACCCTGACCATTTCCCCCCTGCTCGGGTCATGACCCAACTGTGCAGCGCCTTGGGACGTCCTCCTGACGTGAAAGGCGCTTTATAAATGGAATCTTGTTGTTGTTGTTGTTGTTGTTGTTGTTTTGGTGTCCAGACCGGTTTCGCAGAAGCTAAAAATGGCTGATTTTGGGGGGATAATTGGGCTTCCACCAACATCACTTACTGTGCACTTAACAGCAAACATTGGCATTCCGGTCATATTTACAGGAAACAAAGAAACTGTCCAAATTGAAGAGGGAAGAATGAAGGAAAAAGGGTTTGAAGCAGCAGTCAATGTGTGCCTCGATCAGATACAGTCCATCATAACTTGACCACTCTTTGTCTCATCTTAATTTTTTCTATACTTTTAAGGTGGTGTAGATTCGCTCTCGAGTTTCGTAGAATCTCGCCGCGCAGAACGAGGCCATTCGGACCATCGCGCGCCCGCGCCGGCTCTTTGAGAGAGCAGCTAGCCCAGCTCGTCTCGCTTCCCCCGTCCGGAACCCGGCGGCCCTGCAAAAACGTCTCCTTTTCGAGTACCTGTCCCAATTCCCTTTCGAAAGCGGCATCGAAATTCTTTCCCAGCCCGCGCGCGGGGGGGGGGGGGGGGGGAGGAAATAAAAAAAAAATCGGGGAAAGAAAAAACCCCAAAACAAAACCAAAAAAAAACCCCCGATTTATTTTTACGAGAGTTTCCTGGGCACCTTTATCTGTCGCTTGATGATGTCCTTTGTGATGTTGAGAGCCTCCATGTTGGCCGCACAGATGCTGAACTGCTGGACGGCTCAGGAGGGCATGTCACCACGTTCCCCCTCTGCGCTGAAGCCGCGACGACAGGTCTCCTCCCGGGCGCCGCGTGAGACAGAACGGCTCCGGGAACGCACATCCAATGTCCTGCAAACAATAGCACAGCACAGAGGAAGAATAAAGGCGATGAGGAAGAATCCGGTGCCCGCACCACTTGCTGCGTCCCCCCCCCTCCCCCCCCACACCGGTGAGAGAAATACGTACAGAACAGCCTAGAAACCGCACTGATTCCCCCTCAGAGCAGAGACCGGCCCGCGGGCCGGAGAGCCAGTCACCGGACCCGAGAGGGAGGGGGGGGATGGGGAAGCGGCGAGACCCGGGGGTCAGACTCTCCCTGCGGCCGCCGCCTCCGCAGCTGAACACCGTACCGTACCGTGCGGCGCTGTGCCGAGCCCTGGCAGGGCGGGTGGGCGGGGTGGGCGGGATCGGGCCTGTGTCCGCCGCTCCGCTCCCGGCGAGTCCCCGGCTCTGTCGCAGCCTCTGTTCCGGCGCGCGGCGCACACTGATCGCGTCATCACCCCCACCCAATCACAATGAGAACCTCGCGACCAATGGGAGCGGCGCGGGGGGCGGGGCCTCGCTCTCACTCGCGGCTACATTGTGTTCATGTGTGAGTGTGTCTGAGAGTCTGTGTCTGTCTGTGTGAGTCTGTCTGAGAGTCTGTGTCTGTCTGTCTGAGAGACTGTCTGTCTGTGAGTCTGTCTGTGTGAGTGTGTCTGTGTATCTGTCGTCTGTGTGAGTGTATGTCTGTCTGTCTGTGTGAGTCTGTGTCTGTCTGTGTGAGTGTATCTGTCTGTCTGTGAGTCGTCTGTGTGAGTCTGTCTGTGTGTCTGTCTGTGTGTGTCTGTGTGAGTGTATCTGTGTCTGTCTGTGTGTCTGTGTGAGTGTATCTGTGTCTGTCTGTCTGTGTGAATGTGTCTGTCTGCGTGAGTGTATCTGTGTCTATCTGTGTGTCTATCTTTGTGTCTGTGTGAATGTGTCTGTGTGAATGTGTCTGTCTGTGTGAGTGTATCTGTGGCTGTCTGTGTGAATGTGTGTGTCTGTCTGTCTGTGTGAGTGTGTCTGTGAATGTATCTGTCTCTGTATTTGTCTGTCTATGTGAGTGTATCCATGTGTGTCTGTAGGTGTGCCTGGGTCTGTATGCTGTGTCTCTTCTGTACGCTATCCAGAGAATGCATTTCTGACCCATTGCTTGTCCAGCTGGACCACCTTACCCATTAAGGCTTTGGTTTGCAGGGTTAATAGGAGCCAAGGGAGAAGAATCCCTGTCCCCAGCGACTGGTCTGCTCCTGCAAGTCCTGCTCGCCAGGGTCAGATTTATCATGAGCAGTGGCCTGGAGTACTGTGGACCTGGAATTGGATTACCAAGGCCACCAAAGAGGGCTGCGTTGATTTCAGCATTTCATTACTAAGTAGGTCACCTTGGAGTCAGCTCAGCCTCAAAAAGATCCCGCTTACCGACCCCATCCCAAAAATGGTCATCACTAGCATTTGACACCTGACAATTCAAGGTTTTTATGCTTTGGGAGACAACTGTCTGATTGAACATTGATCATCAGCATCAGTTGATGTCTCAGAATTTTGACACAACTTATAAAATATGTGGAGCTTACTCTTAAAAGAAATAAAAAAGAGAGTTCATGGTTTTATTATATTTTGTAGTGTCTTCTTATATACACAGTATTAAAAATAAGGATTTGCAATAAGGGACACAGTAACTATTTACAATGATTGCAGTGGGAAAACCAGGTGCAATAATCCTAATTCATGGGCAGGCTGATTTGCTGGTAATAAAGGCACAAGAAAAAGACATTTACAAGGTTTCTCAGAATTGACAGGCAACCAAAGGAAGCCCAAGCACAATTAACAGAAACATTTACAAACAAAATCGTAATGAACTCCCAAGAAGATAGAAAGTATAGGATGATTACTCATTGCGTAAACTGTACAAAGTCGCTTTTTATTGCGTGCGTACATGTGTGCGTGTGAGGGAGGGATCACGCTTCACATATTCAGTGTGGCGGTGGGACCACTGCACATTTTATTTATGGTCAGCCGGGCGTCTGACACCTATGGAAACCCATCACCATGCTTATGAGTATCCAAACCAAGAATTCCATTAATTCCACCTATACAAAATGATGATAATAATCCTTGCATTTGATAGCGCTTTATCACATCATTGGGACATCTCATAGCGCTTCACAGAATGTAAAGTGTATTGACTATATTTTGTGGGCAAAACACAAATCAATAAAAAGAATATTACATATTACTCTCAGAACGTAATATGGGAATTGAAATTCCAGAGATAGATTGTTGGGAAGAAATGCGCACTCTCTCCCTGGAGAGACACATCCTGCTTATCTAATTCTGGAAAGTATTAGGGGCATGTTGGTAAGAGCCAAGGCTGAGAGACTCCGGAGGGTGTGTTGAGGTAACTGCTGAAGTCTAATCAGCTAAAAACGCATAGCTTGCCATTAATATTGCTGCCTGGCAAGCTCTCCTGCTGGTTGTCTAGCTACAATCTGTTAAAACTTTGGCTTGCAGAGTTTAACAGGAGTTGAGTGGGATGATTCCCTGCCCCCAGTGATTGGTTTGTCTTTCCAGGTCCTGCCGATGAGCCATGCTGGCTGCGTTATGATAATTCTCAGTATTTGACTACGTTACAAAAATCATTTGGTGAAAGATTGCAGCACTGACAACTATGTTGAGTATTACAGCACACATACCTCTGCCTAAAGTTCTCAAAATACAAGTTTTGGTTCTGCTGAACTGGATAAATTAACATGGTATTATGAAAATAAATACCTTTTACTGAAACTTTGAGATTAACAAAAATGACAAGATCTAAACAAAATGATCTGAGATCCTAGAAATATGTGGAAGAGATATTTGTAGTGCGAAAAGCATTTTTAAAAGGTAATTTGGATTTACTGATTGCAGTGAAAATTCAGAATTTTTACTTGTCCTTTTTGCTCCCATTTTTCCTCCACAAATTTCCCTGACTTGGGAAGGGGATGTGGCTATGAGTCATCAGTGTCCCAAGTCAGTCCCCAACGCTAACTAACCAGCACAGGCACAGCAGTACTGGTACAAAACGTGGCATACAAATAGTAATAGTCTAATGAGGATTTTGCATTTCAATGCTTTTTGCTTAATTGATTTTTGGTGTAACCCAAACTCGGTCTCTGACTAACCCCCCCCACCCCATTCCCTACACCCAACCTCAGCTCCTGACTATCTGTTTTAGAAAGTCTACCCCGAATGAGCAAACAAAAAACTAATAATTAACAAATTGGCAACAGAAATATCATTACACCAGACAACTGCACAAAATTAACACATACAGGTTTTTACAATAAGTGCACTGTCATATTATGGTTTAGCATAAGCCACACCCTGATTTGTATCCTCTGCATATCTGCATCAATTTCCCATTAAGAGTAGATGGCTTCATCCATTAGAGTTGCTTTGTGAAACAAGCTCCTGTCAAACAGAACAATTGAGTAATGCTTAAAGGTGCAGTGGTTCCTGTGCTCTCTGAGCCCCTAGCCATTGGTGGTTAGGAAGACATCGTTCTCAGATTCATTGCTGGGCCCAGGGTCACTCAGGCAGCGAGCAATACATTGCTTGGTCATTTCCGTGTCCAGGGAATCATTTCTCTTCTGGCTGAATTCAGAGCCCTCCCTGTCAGTTAAAGATGCCAAGTCGAAGGTAATTTTTGGCATGTTCTCCAAAGTATCGATCTGTACAGGATCTAAACAGATCGAGCAGTGTTAGCCACAGCTGGTATTATAAGGCACCAGAGAGATACTGCGCGCACACACAAGCTCTTCCTGAAACATTGGACTTGTTACAAAATGGATTCGAATTTGAAAAAACTAATTTTTTCCCCAAAAACCATTTGACTTATTCGTGTTTTACCGAAGTAAATTTCCATACATCCTGGTAGCTTGGTCGGGTGACTATTCTTTGTTTATGAATCAAGACAGGATCTCTGGTTGTGTTTCTCTCCTCAACTGTTGCTGTGACTGACATCAAGTCAATCTCAGGTCTTCCTTCTCTCCTCCACCCTGCTTACGTGATCATATAATCACCCCTTTCTCCAACTAGCTACCTTAACTTCCCTTCCCTCCCCTCACCCTGACCATTTCCCCCCTGCTCGGGTCCTGACCCAACTGTACAGCGCCTTGGACGTCCTCCCGACGTGAAAGGCGCTCTATAAATGGAATCTTGTTGTTGTTGTTAACTTCCTTATTTCTCTTGCAACTGCTACTTGGGTTATTGTACCCTATTCCACTCAATTGTTCATAGTCTCAAATCTTCTCCCTTCTTCCTAACCACTCCTTGTCCACCAATCTCAACAGACCCACCAATCTACTCCCCATTAGGATGCAGTGCCAGGTCTCCGGTGGAGCCAGGCAGTCAGTAGAGCTGAGCCAGACATCAAAGAGATCAGCAAATTCTCACCTGAATAGAGACGAGTTCTGGATACTACGGGCGATCCTTCTTTTGCTGTTGGAACTGTCAAGTACTTTGCCTTCTGTAAAGAACAAGAAGAGGCAGATGGCTAACAGGTCAGGGGTAAAAGGGCACAGGGCAGGCAGAGAAGGGTCCAACATTAGGCGGGGCGGGGAATGGAGCAGGATAGTTTCTGCAGGCTATTTGTCGTGGGGTATTAAAGCAGAACCTGGCCTTATCTTCCAAAGTCTGGGCACAGCGTTTGAGTGCAGTGTGCGAGTGGGGGGGTGGGGGGTCTGCATACTCTGAACGCAACATAAACAGGTTCAAAGTAATTTCTGCGGAAGTTGTGATTTGAGTTGTGGGCTTTCCACCCCTCACAGATCTCCACTGTTGCACTCAGGGTTAGTGAATGTCCCCTTGTGGACAGGACAGGGATTGGAATCTTGTCTGAGCAAATAAACCCGTGGGAAATACATTATGTTCCTCGTCTGGCAATTGTTCGTACGTCACTGCCATTACCTTTTTCTCCATGGCCCAGACCTTCTGCCGTCTCAGAAGAATTTGGTTCCACTGATCTTCCATTGGATCAGCCATTAACGTGTGCCTGTTATAGGACTGCAGCTGGAAACAGAAAGAAAACTCATCAAGTCCCAACCACCAGGAATACTGGAATCGCCATGCCGTCCTTATAAGTAACCAACCCTCACAATCGATCTCTCTTTGACTTATTTTTATTCAGCTGAGCATTCTGTACACACACAAGCCCATCATCAGGGCCAATAGAAACATTCTGAACTATTTGCCAAAAATTGAGGGGAAATTTGGCAAAATTTAGCAGAAAATTGTAGGGGCTTGAATGGTTCTATTGAGAGGCACATTTTATTGCATCTTTTCAAAGCACATAATCAGTTGAGACAGTGGTGCAAGACAAGACAGTAACATTTTCTAAGTGGGGTCCCATTCTTACCTCTACAGATGTCACTTCCAACGATCCCTCTTCCAGCAATGCCCTATTAGGCCAGCCCAGACACTAAAGAGAACATTAGCATTGCTCTCCAGTATCCTGACTGCTGGATTCCAGGAGGTCACCACCTCCTGCTTCTTGGGGCCGACACCACACACAGACACACAGGCACACACCCCCAGAGAAAGAGAGGTAGAGAGACACACACAGACACACTCACAGACAAAGGGGGATATGCACACAGATATCCAGAGGCACACAAGCTTAGAGAGAGAGAAAACACTCACAGACCGAGAGATACACACATACACTCACAGACAGAGACACACACACACATTCACAGACACACTCATAGACAGAGACACGTACACCCACTCACAGATACAGACAGAGATTGCAGGGTTATCAGGAGTCAAGGAGGAACTATCCCAAATCCTGGGGCGTGATTAATTTCTCCAAGTCCTGCAACAAGCCACACCATCTGATCCATTATCAGCAGTGCCTTGGGGTGTGGAGGATTTGCCTGACTCAGAAACTCGAGCTCAGCAGAGTACTTTGGAGTCAAATCAGTCTCAAAGGGACTAATTAGCTCACTCCCAGGGTGGAGAATCTCACGATGCCCTTTAAGTTACAGAATTACCCTTTGTCTTGTTTTCTGGAGATTTTCCCGAAGAACCTTGCGGATTTCCTCCTCTTTCTCCTGGGAAAGTGCTGGAATCAGACGTTCACTTTGGGGTCCATGGATGTTCCTGGCAAAGAGAGTGATGGTTTGAGTCTTTGGTGTTTTCCTCAGTGTGAGGAGTTTCGCAGTACAACAAATCCCATTCTCCATTAATTAATTAATTGTTAGACCCATTCTCCGGTCTAACAGCTACTCCTCTACCTCCAGCATAGCATCATCCCCAACATGCTCTTGCCTTAAGAAACGGAGTGGTTCTTGCATCATTCAGCTTGAGGTGCATTTTACACCCTGAATACCAGATGCCCTCTGTTATATTTTCCCTCCTGTACCTCACAGCTAAAGGGGAGAGACCCACAGCATTTGGTTCCAAGATCTCATCGATGTCTGTCTCGAGTGTGCACCCCCCAAAACATGTCCCCCCCTCCCCCCAACAATACGTCCCCCACCAGGCCTGGCACGTGGCTAATCATTACTTTTGCAGTGCTGAGTCCCCACCCCACCCTCGCCACTTCAGCTATGGTCTCTTAGTCCTTCCCACTGAAATCCCACTTGAGGCTACAACTAGTATCAGACTTTCCACTTACTGAAGAGACACAGATGAGGGTGACTTGGGCAGTCCTCCGCTCACAACCAGATCAATAGCGTTTTTCAATTCCAGCTTATGGTAGAACGCAATCAGGTGAGGCTGTTTCGATCTTTCATTTGTGACCAGTAATTTCCTAATGTACCTTTTATTGAAGCGAGACAGCCTGAAAGTAAAAAGAACATCTCTCAGAGCCTGCAAAGCTGTCTGAAGCTCAGGCTGAAATCCCTGACTGTCCAGCGCCTTGGGATATCCTCCCGAAGTGAAAGGCGCTGTGTAAATGAAAGTTATTGTTGTTGAAGCAGAAGGTGGGTACAGCTGTTGGTAATATCTCCCAATGGTCTTAAGTTTCAAATTACATACCTTACAGACAGAAATGTTACATACATATAATCTCTCTCTATATATATATTATACTCATTTTTATACAGTAAATTTTAACTCATTTTATTTAATATTTATTTTCTTGCGTTGATCTGGGCAGGAGAGGAGAAATCCATTCTTTTTGACATGGTTACTGGAGTAACTAGAGATGTCTCACCGACGACTTGAGGCGCTATGTCAAATGCAAGGATTACTATTAGGTTATTCTATAAAACAACAATGAGATGGAAACGGCGATCACTGCGATGATCAAGTTTGAATGAGTGAAAAGGACCGCTCTTCCTTGGCAACGGTTCATCGCTTAATGCGGGGCAGCAGCATCGGCACGGGGAGGGAATGGAGCACCCATCAGCGGAAGATACTAAAACATACTTTTCTTTCCAGTGATGCTGTCCAGAGTGGCCACACACATCTTCTATTCCAGTCAGGAGATGGTCAAGGAACTGAGAAGGAGAGAACATGCTGTTAGCAATGCCACCATCCACCACTGGGAGATGCTGTAAACTAATGATTCACATTAGCACCAAAATGAGGTGGTGGGAAGGAAGGGAGGTTTGGAGGAGACAGGATGGGTCAGGGAGTTGTGGGTGGATTCAGTACCTGGCTGTGGATTTGTTCATTAATGGAACGTTTTGTTTCCCGTTTCTTTTTCACAGCGAGCAGGTCCACCAAAGGCCGGATGGTCATCCCCTGGAGAAAACATCTTGTTACCATACACCCTCACCCAGGGGCTCACAAACACCACCCACCCCCGTAATACACGCTTATTCCCACTTTACACATTGTAAATATGCAGTCAATTCACTTTACAGTGTATTCTGTGAAGCGCTTTGAGAGGTCTCATTGACATGGTAAGGCACTGTATTATTATTGTTTTGATACGCTCACTGATATACACACGGCCATGTTACACTGATGGGTAAGGATGATTGAAAAAGCTATGGGCAAGAGGATGAAACAATGATCTCACATTTCATGCTAAGTTAAGTTGCTCACCAGAAAGCTTTCGGAGATTTGCCGGTACCACCTAGTGAAAGCTCAAACCTGCCTGTCAAGATGTTCTATCCGGGAGCAGAGTGGTAGGAAGCTAAGCAGAGCCTCCCAGCTGAGTTGATCCCAAGGTGAAGCTCTTGGTAATGGAATATCAGAATTTAGTTCACTCTTTGGCAGTTAGAAACTCAGTTTCTGAACTAAGCATCAGATTCACAGGACTTCAAGGCAATGCTGATGACAGACCAGCCAGCCTGGTTTCAGCTGGTTAAACTCCAGCAGTTAATCCAACAGGCACTCTGGGGTGCCCAAGCATTAGCTCTTGCCAACCTGGGCTTAATACATGGAATTAGGTAAGCAGGGGTACATCCCTCCAAGAAGAGAGCAGGCTTCCATTCCATACATGGAACTCTGTCTGGTTTGGATACTCTTAAGCATGGTGATGGCTTTCTGCACGTGTTAAACACCGGTCTGACCAAGAAACTATCACACACACATACAACACACACACATCACACATATTATTTGAAACAAATTAAATACCTGAACAAACACTGTGAAAAAGATGACGGTTATGATGGCAGTGACAAACAAGTTGCGACGGAAGCAATTAGGATTGAGCAGGTACCCGAGGGAAAAGGCAATGGCACCTCGCAGGCCTCCGTACGAGATTATAAACTGGTCTTTTGGTGTCAGTTTCACGATGCGGAAGTAGTTGATGATCAGAGTGAGCCCCAGGACACCTGAAATCAAATTGTACAGTCATTTGCGTCAGATATACCATGCGACAAGTTCCCTCCTTAGCCTATCCCCTTCCTACATCTGAACAAGAGGGAGGAGTTAATATTTCACACTTGTCATTATAATGGGAGGGAGAGAGGGAGTCGGAAGGATGGGATTGTTAATGTCCACTTGAACATGCAGGTGGAACCTCAGTTTAAAGTCTCGTCCAAAGGACAGCACCTCTGACAATGCAGAGTACCGTCAGCACTGTAGTGTCAGCCTAGACTTTGAGCTCAAAGTCCCGATGTGGGGCTGGAACCCATAACCTGACTCAGAGATGCTCCCAACTGAAGAATTTTACCAACTGAGCCAGGTGGGATTTCTCTCGGGAAATTACAGACACAGAGTGGATAAGGGAATGAGGCAATAAATGTCATTTATCTGGAGTTTAGAGAGAGGCATTTGACACTATTCCACATAACAGAGAGTGAGAAATGTATCACAGCACCAAAATATCTGCTAATTCCTGGTTTACGCTCAAACCTTCAAATCCATCAATGCTCCTGTATTTTGTGGGTTAAACGTGTTCAATGAGTTTGTTTGGTTAAAGCAGAGCTTCTCCACTCCCACCCACTACTGCTATTCCCATTGTTTCTTGGCTGGGTTTGTTCTTACCGAGTACTCGAGCAATGAGACAGAAGAGGAGCGTGCAGGAAACAAACGTCCAGTTCCAATCGTGGGGCCCAACCACCGTGGACACTCCGAGGAAGATGAAGATGAGGGTCTCGCTCACACTGCTCCACATTTTCAGAAAGTATTTGATGGTTGTGTGAGACTTATGGGAGATATTTGCCTCCACGTAGGGTCGCATGACTACACCACATGAAATAAGGCTGCAAAAGACAAGCAGGTTGGACTGAATACATAGAACCCATCGGTTCTCTGTCTCTCTTGCTCCGTTCCTCTGGAGGGAGAATTGCATCTTACAGCAAATTATATACATCGTGTTTTAGGTGTTAAACTACCTGCCACAGGTGTATTCTCCTGATTATTTCAGTGTAATTCAATATCCACATACAGTCAATACCCTGTCCTCAAAAGCAGAGCACCTGCAACACTGACTCTGTAAGAGAGATACACTTTGCCCACTATTTTCATAGTTCCTCTGAGACACACACCTAGGAAAGGACACAACTGAAACGTAACAGTGACCAACAGGGCACTGGAACACTAGGTAATTCACTGCTGAAGTACGGAACATTAGAACAGTTTCCTGTTGAACCCCAATGTAAGCTTCCTTTGATGGGAGGATTGAAGAGAAGACAATTTGCTGGAGTCAGCCGCAACAGCTCTTTGCTGAGATTGGACTGTTTCACACTACTGGAGATCACATTAGAAGATAATATGATTAGTCCTGACTGGGAGGGCACCAGTCGAACTCAGATCATTTTGGCATCAAATAAAGCTAATTCAGCTGGGAGCAGGAAAGCCAGAGAAAGATTTACCAAACCCCAAGAAGCCAATCAAAAACACAAAACGAGATTCTCAAGCTTTGATGGATGTTTATGTACAATGAAGTGTACATTCGCTTGACAGCCCTTTTCCTGTTTTCACAAATTGCAGAACAAGTACTGAATGAAGTCAGACATGAAATAGATGGGAAATACGACATGAAGCAAATCCCCGAGGCCAAGTCCTTTCACCTCTTTAATGACGGAATATCCTTTCACATGGACAATTTAGGAAGTTAGTGATTTCCACTGTGATACGTCAAAAGGTGCTTTAGAAACTCATCTTTGAATGCAGCCTTAAATTAAGATATCTTCACTGGTGTTGGATACAGCAACATGCAATGGGTAATTACACTACCCGTGGTCTGTTAGTCTCCCCCTCCACCAAGCCAGCTGGATTCTGTAGCCCCCAGACTGCTGTTGCCCAACCCATTGCCGGTTTATTTCAGCTCATTCTTCAGATAACTAACATATTTCCAGGGGTCCCAAGTCATTGTCAAACTCCATCCCTGGATTCCCAATGCAACAATCGTTAGACAGGCTCAATGGTGCTGGCTGTCGCCTTGGCCCCAAGGTCTAGTTTTATTAAGGTATGAAGAGATTAAACCTATTGAGTCATATTCAGTTTCCTTTATTAAGGACTCCCACTTAGAGGTGGGTGGATACTGACAGGAGTATACGTCTCTCCTGTTAAGCAGTGCCAAACTGCATTGCCAACATAGTAATTAATCTGAGACCAGATTTGGAAAATAGCCCAGTTGGAGAACATTGTGTATCTCTCACTGAAAGAAACTAAACATCCTCAAAGTGTAATCTATTGACTGATGTACGGCAACAGTGATATCCAGGATATCTTCCAAACTTCAGTGTCAATTGAGGAAAACCTTGTCATTCTCCGATCCTCTCAGATATTATAAAACTATCCTGAAATGCTCATTGTTCCATCAATAGTTCAGACTCTGTCACCTTGTAACAGCTTTAACAGCTAGGAACCAGTGCCTCAAACTATCTAAATCGTATGTAACCTTTATTCACTTTGGCACTTCCTCTCTCCACTGATTAAACTCCACTTTGGTGAATGTCAATGTGTATCAATCATCCTCACAGTAAACATGACATATGATAAAGCAGCCTGGCCTTGCTCTAAGGAGCCACATTATTATTAAATTGAAAATGATTAGTTACTAAAGTTAATAATAACCATTACTAATGGTAATTAATACCATTAATAAAGGTCAGCATCTTCTCACCCACCAACATGCTATCACAATTACCCACATGTAAATCCCCAGGCATGTAACATACAGCATTTCTCTTCCAATGTAACAAGTTAAGATACTTACGCCATAATTCCTGAGACGCGGAAGATCTCAGAGGAGAGATAAGCGAGGTAACTGTACAGGAAAACAAAGAGGGGCTCGATAACTCGAATGTGAGCTGTGAAGCGGGAGGTAAAAGCAGCCAAGAAACCGTAGAGAGCCCCAATGAGAATGCCGCCAAAAGACACCACGAAAAAGGATATAATTCCCAGGAGCACGTCTGTAAAGCTGACAAAGCCAGCGGTGGCCATCTCGTCAAACAGGTAATAGAGAACCTAGGGATTCAAACACACTGATTAACAGAATGATAATGATAATAATAATTTTTGCATTTAATGCAGCACCTTATTACGTTTTCAAGATGTCTCAAAACGCTTCACAGAATATACTGTAATGGGAATTGACTGTATATTTTGTAGGCGAAATACGGCAGCCAATTGCACACAGTAGTGTCCTACAACAGCTGTGGACCAAATTAATATACATTATTTTGAAGAATTTTTAAATTTTATTTTAGATTGAAACATCTTCCAAACTATTAAACACTTAGATCCCTGGAATTAAACCAGGGAGGGAGGACAGCAGATGAAAACAACAGATAAAACAATTAACAAATGATCACAATCACATTCTGCTAAATCTCCAATCTACTGTCTCAAGATTACTAAATCTAATCGGGGGGTGGGATTACTTAATATAATACACAATCCGCTTCGGCTTTTACACAATATTAATCCCAACTTTGGCAATGAGAAGCAATGGTTTACGTAACTGATTATCTACCTATTAGCAAAGAATATTTGACTGTATCAAGCAGTAGAATTTAGTCTCACAGTTGTTGCTATCCTATTCAGGTACTGTGAATGACCACAATATTATTATAGCGCATTTCACTTCAGGAGGAAATGCCCGAGGCACGTATAAATGCATGTAGTGGCTGGCTGTTGTACATACAGAACAGAATGCCAATCCAACCACTGCCGCAACTCACCACAGTCACGGCGTCGTTCAGCAGTGACTCCCCGAATACCAGGATGTGGAGCAATTCGTTGATGTGGATCTCCTCGAATACGGCCAGCACAGCAACCGGATCCACGGCAGAGATGATGCTGCCAAACAGCAGGTTTTGGAGCAGCCCCACGTCCTGCAGCACTCCTCCGCTGAACTGACACACCACGTACAGCAGCGTGCCGATGAAGAATGCATTCCATATCGTCCCGATCACAGCGAAGCTCAGGATGGTTCCCAGATTTTCTACGAAAGGTCCAATGGGTAGGAAGTAGCCAGCGTCTAAAATGATGGGTGGGAGGAGATACATGAAGAACACCTCAGATTTCAGGCCGGGTGGAACCTTCCCCACAGCTTCGCTCAGTCCGCCCAACACCAGACCCAAGGACACCAGCAGACAGCTTTCGGGAACAACTGAGGACAGTTTTGGGATTAGATGAAAACCTGGAAACACAAAGAATTAATGAAGAACCGGAGATACAGTATTTGAATTAATTCTGTGGAACAAGTAATCACACACGGGGCAGAAAATTAACACAGACACAGAGCTGGCGAGCAAACTCAAATTAAATTAAGGCATTCACCCAAATTACAATATCCCCCCACACTGAATGCTGCTGAAACCCTGATCCATGCCTCTGTTACCTCCTTGCTGGACTTTTCAAATTCACTCCTCGCTGGGCTCCCTAGTTCCACCATCCATCTACTCCCAATTTATCTCAAATTCTGTTGCTCGTATACCTATCCCCAGTATGAAGGATGCTTTATAAAGCACTGTAACCATAGATACACTCAATTTTTGCTGGTTTAAAGAAAAAAAATCTCAGCATGTAAACAGACAATTCCTGTCAAGTGTAGTGATTGTTTATATAGCTTCAGCATGGAGCACAAATAGCCAAGGGGTAAATGACAAAATGATTCAGAGGATTGTTTGCCAGAAACTTCTTTTTCTTCTCCATGAAGAATACTGTTTTGTTGTGTCAGCCTAGACTGTGAGCTCCAACCCAGGGACGGGTCTTGAATCCATAACCCTTTGACCCAAAGGCAAAATACAACTAACTAAGACAAGCTGACACACTGATAGAGATCAGAAGCAGGTACGTATCTGCCAAGCATAATTAATAATTATAAAATAATAATCGTGGTACTTCATAAAGCGCCTTATCACATTGTTGAGACGTCTCAAAGTCCTTCACAGAATATACAGCATTGTAAAGTAGATTGACTGGGTAATTTCTGAGTGAAATTGAAACTATTTGTAATACAGGCTTTTGCAAGCTTGAAGTTATTGTATTTGTCAACATCCAATCATTTCCCAATCTCACAGTGACCACCTACACCAAAAATTACAACAAGACCGTTTCCTTTTTTCTTTCCTGAACATGCAGCTCGGGCTTCAATATAGGGTCCAAATACTGGGAGTCCTCAAGTGCTCTGCATTACTCTAATCCACTTTACCACGTATTAGCAGGTCGGACACTGGACGTACTTCGATTAGCTTCTCAGAGCACAACACCACTGTAATAACAACAACCTCGCGCAGGGAAACCCCACAGAGCGCTTGTCACTGGCGGAGCACGACCTCGAGCCGGGGAGGGAGGTGACCGTAAGCTTCGTCGAAGAGGAAGGTCTTCAGGCGTGACCTGAAGATGGGGAAGGAAAGGGCAAAGCGGAGGGATAATATAATAATCCTTGCATTTGATATAGCACCTTATCAAGACGTCTCAAAGCACTTCACAGAATACACTGTAAAGTGAATTGACTGTATATTTGTGGGCGAAACGCGCCAGTGAATTGCGCACAGCAGTGTCCCCACAAACAGTCGTGCGTTGAGTGACCAAATTATTATTTTATTTATTTTTTCTTGAGGGATTATTATCAGGCGTGTGGAATAAGGAAACTTGCACGAGGTTTCGCCCTGCCGGGAATCGAACCCAGGTCTTTTGTTTGCGAGGCGCGTGCTCGCACCGCTGAGCTACAGGACTCCATGGAGGAAGAGTGTTCCAGAACAATCATTCAGTGGGTCTGTGTAACAGGCACATGGAAGGCTATTCATAAACTCAATGTTTTCTTTCTGAAATAATCTTGAGGATACTGAGCGTCTAGTGGAGAGCTGACAAAATCGTCACCGCTACAGCTGCCATCTCATGTCACAGACAGGCAGTCCCAGCACTCGACCTGCGTATAATATCTGGAGATCACACTCGCAATAAGCGCTTCACTGACAATATGGCTTATAAATACACAATCCTCTCATACACAGCAGCTCCAGCTTCAGCTGCATAGAAGCCACTAAACAACCAGCCATTTACATTGTACCAGCAGATGGATACGAGTCAGTCATTTGGCTATCATTGAGCCTATGGAAACTCCAATCCCCTTCGTTTCTCTCTCCTCATCCTCTCCAAACGCGTGGGACAGGGGGAACTGATATTTCTTCCCCCTCATATGTCAAGCTGCCATATTTTCACTGGAAAAATATCTGTAAATCTGTCACTGGTTTGAAACAAGCTGTGATTTATAAGCAGTTATAGGTGGCAATTTGGTGGACACCCACACAGTAAATTACTACATTTAGTTTTTGCCAGAGAATTTGGAGAATGTTTGTGACTATTACTGAAAATCCAACCATTACCTCGACCGCATGCTCAAACTCACCAACACACATATACACACCCTGACACACACACCCTGACACACACACCCTGACACACGCGCGCACACCCCGACACACACCCGCGCACACCCTGACACACGCACGCGCACGCCCCGACACGCACGCGTACGCACACACCAACACACACACCCACACTGACACACGCAGATCCTGTCACACACACCCTGACACTCATCCTCTCTGATAAACACACACACACACATTCTGACATACTCATACAGACTCTGGCACACACATCTACCTGAAGAACACGCAGATGGGACCTTGGATAAATGTCTCATCCAACAATGTAATGCTGCAGTAATACTACACTGGAGTGTCAACCAAGATTATGAGCTCAAATCCTGATTAATCAATAACCCTTTGACCCAGAGGCAAGAGTGCGACCAACTGAATGAACCGACAAAAATAATCCTGGAAATAATGAGCAATAAAAATACTCCTTTTTTTCTTTACAAGATTTATTCAAACAAGTTGCCCTTAATATAGTAACAGAATGAGTGAGGATCCATCTCCAGTCACGCAGTGAATGGGGCATTCTGTGTATGATAAGCAGTGAATTCTGTGTATAATAGCTCTGTCCCAGACAATGTAGTGCTCTAACCAGCGAGAGAGACATTGCTGCCACCTGCAAATTAGACCCACTGCAAATATTCTAACGTTTCAACAAAACTTGTATAGGGGTCAGTTTAAACTATGAAAGCCTGTACTTGTGTATTTAATTTGGATCGTAAATGTCAGCCTGGCTCATTGTTAGCACCTTCACTTGGGTATCAGGAAAGCTGTGGCTTCTGGCCCCATGTCAACAACAACTTGCATTTATATAGCGCCCCCACCCCCCCTCACGCAAGGTAGCGTCCGAGAGCGCTTTTCAGGGCTTTCAGGTCCTATCGTCTAGGCTCCAGTGCGGTGCTGGGAAAAAAAGGGAGCGCTGCCTGTGAGAGATGCATACTTTGGATGAGACGTTATGCTGTAGCCCCGTCGGCCTGTTCTGGTGGACTTTAAAAAGGGAGTTTCTCCCAGTGTCCTGGTCAATAATCCTCAAGATAAAATTGGTCATTCACTCCATGGCTGTTTATGGGACATTGTGTGCAAATTGGCTGTCGGGTTTGCCTACAAAAACACAGTCATATATCCTTTATAGTAAATCCTGCGAGATGCTTTGAGACGTTTCAACTATGTAATAAGGCTCTATCAAGTGCAAGGATTATTATAATTTACTCACAAAATGACTAGCTACAGTACCAATTACATTACAGATGGGAGCAGGGAATAATCAGATGGCTGTTCTAAACAAGCTAGATTAGGAATAATTTTAAATAAAACGGCTTGATTTGGAGCTCAACCCATCTTTGGCAGCTGGTGAACACTGCACACTGTGTGGATACTCTCGGTTTGGGTGTTGCAATCATGCAGCTGGTAACTTAACAAAAATCCTTGCTTCAAGCCCTGTGATCATATTTCAAACCCCAGCAAAGCGTCTGATGTGCCGCAACAAGCATCAAGCTCCTTCAGTGACCCACGCCCCACAAAGGCTGATAACCACCAATGAGGAGGATTAAGTGAATCAGACGGCGCTTCGGAAAGACATTCATACCATGTGTGAACTCGCCAATAAATCATTTCAACACAGAGTATGAAATTACCGTCTGAACAAACTGAGAGTCTCTGGAATGCAGATGGAATTATACACAAGTCACCGTGTAATGCCAGTGTCACCCCTCACCGACCTCCTCCCCTCATAAACCGCCCCCCTCCCCCACCCCTCCGCTCTCACTCCCCATACACACTCTGTGCATGGCTGTAGGGCAAGAGCGAGCAAAAAAAAAGCAAACAATAATTCCATTCCATTCCTTTCCTCCGGATCTTATGAGTCTGAACAGTGTGTGGGTGGAGTTAGCAAGCTGCAGAATGAGGAACACTGCAAACTGATAAAGCTGTGGTCAATTTGTAAATTGCCACACAAAGATTACTCAGAACCAGTTACCAGATTACCAGAACCTGAAAGCCCACAGCAGAGAAGGTACAGTGACATACCAGCGATGACTCCCCACTTGCGCTGCCCCAGCAGGAACTGACATTTCACAAACATGCAAAAAAGCTCGTGCACCTAATATGGCGATGGCAGAGTGCACTCAGGTCACAACAGGCAAGACAGAAAATCTATTGTAAAAACAGTCATCATAGCAGCCCACACCACACAGACGCAGACACAAACATTGGAATAATTGTACGTCTGTCCCGCAGAGCCAGAATCAGGCCTTTACTCCCTCTAATTCTGCAGTGTTTGCTTCCTTCTGACAACCCTGCCCTCGGCTCAGTCGCTACAGGTGGACTCGGTCGCAGTTCAAATCTCTTATTAATGCAGCACAACTTGCATTTAAAAAGCCACTTGACGCGGGGCAGTGTCATCGAGTGCTAACATCTGGACATCTGGAGAAGTTTTGTGCACAGCAATGTCCCTTAATCATGAAGCGATGGCCGATTTTAACTGGGGGTTTGGCAACCAGGACACTGGGAGAAACCCCCCTTCCCTTTTCAAATAGTGCCATAGCATCTTTAATGTCCACCTGAACAGGCAGACAACACCTTGTTCGATGGCACCTTTGACAAAGCAACACACCATTAGGAATGCATTGGAACGTCAGGTTAAAGAATTAGAAAAATAAATATAACTTCCTCCTTCCTCTGAACATCAATTTGCAAAGTACTGTTGTTGCTGGTCACTGGTCCTGGTGGACTCACACACACACACACACACAGGTGGAGACACACAACACAGTGAGACACAGTGACCCAATAATGGACAACTGGACACAGTGATAGACACATAGACAGATACACAGTGACAGACACACACACACACACTCAGACACACAGATACAGACACACATTGTTAATTTGCTACACTGTAGGTTACACAGTGACAGCCTGACACGGACACACAGCGACTGACTGACACGGACACACAGCGACAGACTGCCACAGACGCACAGCGACTGACTGTCACAGACACACAGCGACTGACTGTCACAGACACACAGGGACTGACTGACAGACACACAGCGACAGACAGACACAGACACACAGCGACTGACTGTCACAGACACACAGCGACTGACTGCCACAGACACACAGCGACTGACTGCCACAGACACACAGGGACTGACTGACACAGACGCACAGCGACTGACTGACACAGACACACAGCGACTGACTGATAGACACACAGCGACTGACTGACAGACACACAGCGACAGACTGACAGACACACAGCGACAGACTGACACAGACACACAGCGACAGACTGACACAGACACACAGCGACAGACAGACACAGACACACAGCGACAGACACAGACACACAGCGACTGACTGCCACAGACGCACAGCGACTGACTGACACAGACGCACAGCGACTGACTGCCACAGACGCACAGCGACTGACTGCCACAGACGCACAGCGACTGACTGCCACAGACGCACAGCGACTGACTGCCACAAACGCACAGCGACTGACTGCCACAGACGCACAGCGACTGACTGACACAGACACACAGCGACAGACAGACACAGACACACAGCGACAGACAGACACAGACGCACAGCGACTGACTGACACAGACACACAGCGACTGACTGACACAGACACACAGTGACTGACTGACACAGACACACAGTGACTGACTGACACAGACACACAGCGACTGACTGACACAGACACACAGTGACTGACTGACACACAGTGCCACACACAGTGCCACACACACTGACCCTCACTGACCCACACAGACACTGACCCTCACTGACCCACACACACACTGACCCACACTGACCCACACACACACTGACCCACAGACCCACACACTGACCCACACAGTGACCCACACAGACACTGACCCACACTGACACACTCACAGACCCCCACACTGACCCCCCCACTGACCCTCACACTGACCCCCACTGACCCACTCACAGACCCCCCCACTGACCCCACTGACCCTCACACTGACCCCACAGACCCCACACTGACCCCCCCACTGACCCTCACACTGACCCCCACTGACCCACTCACAGACCCCCCCCACTGACCCCCACACTGACCCCCACTGACCCTCACACTGACCCCCACACTGACCCCACTGACCCTCACACTGACCCCCCCCACTGACCCACTCACAGACCCCCCCACTGACCCTCACACTGACCCCCACTGACCGAGCTTCATGACGGAGGCCAAAAGGATCCACAGAGACACCTCGAAAGCGTCGCTGACGTGATGGTAATTGAAGGTCACGACGGGGAAGGCTTTTTTGCTGCTGTTACAGTCCATGTAGGGCTCCTCCTCGGTCCCCGAGGCCGCGGCCGCCGACACCAGACCGACCACACACAGGCCCCCGAGCAGCCGCCGCGACAGGCGGCCTCCGGCCAACAGCGGGAGCGGGAGCGGCATCGCGAGCGGGAGCGGCAGCCGAGCTGTCGTGAGGCGACCCGCGGAGGCAGCGGAGGACCAGGAACTGGCATCAGGGCGTCCGGGCGTCAGGGCGGGAGGGAGCGGCCGCGCGGCGCCGCCTGGCGGTCAGCCCACCGCACCGCACCGCACCGCGTGTCGTCGTCGTCGTCCCCCCCCTCCCACCGCCCCCCGCGCGGCAGCGCCTCCTCCTGGCGGGCGGGCGGGGCGTCTCGATCCGTGCACAGGCCCCGTCATCATCATCATCATAATGATAATAAATAATAATAATGATAATAAATAATAATAATGATAATGAATAATAATAATGATAATAAATAATAATAATAAATAATAATAATAAATAATAATAATAAATAATAATAATGATAATAAATAATAAATAATAATAAATAATAATAAATAATATAAATAATAATAAATAATAATAAATAATAATAAATAATATAAATAATAATAAATAATAATAATGATAATAATAATGGTAATAAATAATAATAAATAATAATAAATAATAATAATGATAATAAATAATAATAATGATAATAATAATGGTAATAAATGATAATAAATAATAATAATAATGAATAATAAATAATAATAAATAATAATAATAAATAATAATAATGATAATAAATGATAATTAATAATAATGATAATAAATAACAATGATAATAAATAACAATGATAATAATAAATAATAATAAATAATAATGATAATAATGATGATAATAAATAATAATAAAAATGATGATAATGATGATAATAAATAATAAAAATAATAAATAATAATAAATAAAAATAATAAATAAAAATAAATAATAATAAATAATAATGATGATAATAAACAATAATAATAAATAACAATAATAAATAAAAATAAATAAAAATATATAATATTAATAAATAATAATCCTGGCATTCGATTCAGCGCCTCATCACGACTTCCGGACGTCCCAAAGCGCTTCACAGAATATACCGCACAGTGGTATACCGCACAGTGGCTGTAATATATTTGGTGGTCGAAGTGCGGCCGCCAATTCCGCACGGCCGTGGTCCACAAACGGTCGCGGCTATTCTGGAGGGATTATTAGGCCCCAGAACCGATCCACCGATCGACCAAAAACTGGGTTCCCATTTATTGCTTCCACTCGTAAACGGGGGCGACCGGAGTAAGGAAACTCGCTGAACGTTTCTCCCCACTCGGCAACCAAACACGGGTCCTCCTGCTCGCGAGGTAAGCGCACTAACTGTTACGCTACGTGACTCCACTATCAATAATTAAAAATATTCAAACCAGAGTTTCTCGCCCATGTGCATTACCTACCAATGGAGTCTAATTCCAGAGAGTATTGGGCACAGGTTGGCACACGCCAATGCTCGGGGACCCCACATTGTGCACTGTGGGGTACCTGTTAAAGAGTTGGCTAAAACCACATCGTTTGCCACTGACAGCACTGTTTGATGTAGTTCCTGCTGCTTGTCCAGCTATGATCAATTGAGCTTTTGTAAGATTATATTTGTGATGCTTATTGTTTAAGGTTTTTTTTTCTATTTAGTCTTTATATACTAGTTAGAACGTAACCAAACACTTAGAATATTTTTAGAATAGCATTCCTTAGATACTAGATAGACCTTGACAGAGTGGTGTGTTTTAAATGACTAACCTAGGGCCCCCGAGAGGGTACATGTGGTAATCAGTGATAACAAAGTTATTTAAGACTCTGGCTGAGGTCTGATTTCATTTCTTCTTGAGAAGACGATCACTCCTCTGAGATAATTGATCATGTCCTTGAGCACAGATGTGAAAACTAGTGGCATCAGAGGGAGAAGTGAACTCATGGACATCTGCTTATCTCAATTCTGTTCTTAGGGACAGGTAGAATCCTCCCAAGAAAAACGGTCTGTCTCTATTTCTCCATATCAGTTCTTCACCCAGAAAAGAGGCTGCTGGAAATCGCTGGTAGTTTACGAAGGCTGGTTATCTCTGTGACAAGGGAAGGCGAGTTAGAAACACATAAAAGATGCAACTTTGGAATAGTTGGAATTACTGTAGGAGGAACAGTTGTGAACAGCTGGTGGTCAGCGAGTTCCCCAATGGAACTGGTTATTATTGGTTTCGTTGAATCTTACTGCTTTAATGTAACTTAACAATATAATAATTTTGTGTTAAAGCATTAATCTTTGTACATGATATTAAAAGATCTGTAATTTACACCACCTGAATTGGGTAAAGTCTCTTTCTGGGGAACCTTACACTTTGGTTCCAGAGTTAAGAAAAGTTAATGTCGATTCCGACATTCTGTTCCAAGAACATCACCATCCTAAAGCCAGCTCAGGCCCAAAGAGAACCCACTTGACACAACGTAGAAACCCATCACCATGTTTTAGAGTATCCGAACCAGACAGTTTTATATTAATAAAAGAGATACATACTGAACAACCAATGTAATAACTACAGACAAATTACTCACAGAACAAAGACCACTTTAGTTTCGCAAAGATGGCATATTAGTACATTAACAAACATTTATTACATGAAATGTTCAGGCTTTTGGTCGGCAGAATTGCTAAATTTTACAGAACAGAAAAAAAGCCATCACGCCTGCACTGTTGTTTTCCCTTGAGTTACCTTATCCCAGTCTCTTGCTTGTTCCCCACCCCCTTTAATATTCCTCTTTTTCAAGCATCTAATTTTATTTTAAAACATTTGCTGGAATCTGCTTGAACTGCAGTTTGCAGCAGAAATTTCCAAGTTCAACCTGTAACAAATTGTTTAATATATACAGTACTTATAACAATAATCCTTGCTTTGGTTTAGCACCTTATCACGTAGAAAGGACATCTCCGAGGGCTTCATATGATTTACTACTTTGAGCTGCTGGTTCAGCCTCAAGACTTGGCTAAATCCTGCATGAGCACAATTAATCTTTTTACCATTATCACCCTCCACGATACATGTGCCGTCAGTGTGTGGATACACAACATTGCACGATATGGACTGAGCAAGATCTTGTTCTACATTATTTTTGTTTTTGTATTCTATGTCTCTTGAAATAAAACCAAGGATTCTGTTTTTTATGGCTTTATGGCTGTATAGCCACCTTCAATGACTTTGTGTATCTGTCATCAAGGTTCCTCTGTTCCTCCACTCTATCTAAAACTTTAACCTATTCTTAGTACCAAAAAGTACCACGGATTGTTCATGTTTCAAGTTTCAAGTTATCAGGTTAAATTTTAACCCAAATCTTCCTTCACTGTACAGTATTGATATTACGTTCACTCAGCAGTGCAAGATTTTACAAGATAGAATTTATTAAGTACTTTCTGCCTATTTGGTTCGATCTGGCTTCACCGTGTGCTACATGCAGACATTATGTCCTCACTGTATCTCCCAGTGGTGGACAGTGGATATCCTGATGATTGTGAAGCAAACCTATTTTTACTCTACACCCTTTAATGTTGAGCATCAAGATGTGGTTCCAAGTACAAAATCTGTATCTGCTTTGAAAGCAGTCATTGCATCTCCAACTAATATTGCTCTTTCTGAAGGCTGTTTGCAAATACCCATTATTATAATCACTCCCAGGTCTAACAAGGGAGCTACGTTTTCTCAAACCACTGTAGTATTTCGTCCCTTCCCCTCCCATCAATTGTTTTCCTGAAAGCATTCCACAATCTCATTACTTAATAGGAACATTCTTTCGCTGAGAAGTTACTTCTGCACCAATTAATTTAAATTCGCTAATTAAATTTCTGCGTGAGTGAAACTGATGAACAGTTGCAATTATTTCCCTGGGTCCACATTGGATCTCAATGGAAGAATGGAGTCTACCCATTCCAGGGGTCTGGAGATCATGTTCTGCCAGACCGCAATCTCTTCCTCAGTTGAATCCATCCAAGTGACAGATTTCCCATAGCTCAGGCCTGGAATACAGAAAGATTTTGTGTGAACAGTGATTTCCATCAGTCATGCAGTAAGCTGGGAAATGGGTAATAACCCCTTCAAAAAAAATAATTTGGTCACTCAATGCACGACTGTTTGTGGGCACGGCTGTGCGCAATTGGCTGCCGCGTTTCGGACACAAAATATATATAATCAATTCACTTAACAACATATTTTGTGAAGCGCTTTGAGACATCTCGAAGATGTGATAAGGCACTAAGTGAATTGCATCTATTATTATCACAATGACTCCCATTCCAGTTATGCGTCAGTAGCTGTTTCAGCCACTCTGTGTGACCAACAAGGATCAAAGCCTTGGTCCATCCTCAGCAAAAGCTCTAACTGGGGATGGACAGTAACTTGAGGAGCTTTTGCACTTGCTCCATATTTTGAAAGGTCAGGATTATTCCAAGTTGACATTCAAAGAATCATACAACACCGAAGGAGACCTTTCGGCCCATTGTGTCTGTGCTGGATCTTTGAAAAGAGCTATCCAATTCAATCCCATTCCCCCACGCTCTCCCCACAGCCCTGCAAACTTGTCCTCCCCAAATAATTATCTATTTCTCTCTTAAAAGCTGTTATCGAATCGGCTTCCACCACCCTTTCGGGCATTCTAATAGCTGCTTTCGTACCAGACATGAAATTTCGTGCTTTAATTTGCATCTATAATAAGAAAAATACTGCCATATAATAACAGTAATAATAATAATCCTCGCATTTGATATAGTGTCTTTCACGTTGGGAGGACATCTCAAAGCATTTTACGGGATGCTATTTTTAGGTGAACTGACAGCCAATTTCTGTATCGCGTAATGATCTGAATACCCAATTTTCTTTGGGGGATTGTTGGCCAGGACACTGTGAGAAACTCCCTTCTCTTTTTAAATGCTGCCATAGAATTTTTATAGTGTGGGCCCCCTGTACAGCCAGACAAGAGACCATGGGTTAATATCTCATAAAGGATGAGCCTCCAACATTACAGCGCATCCCAGCATTGCCCTAGAGTGCTGGCTGGACTTTGAGCTCCAAACATGGGACTTGAATTTACAATCTTATGGATTAGAGGCTACTGAGCCAGACTGAAACTCAACTGCATTTTGGAAAATTAAATAAATACAGGATTACAACAAAGGGGTGTCCATCCAATGATTTCCCATGTGTACATTTGTACAAGTATAAATGGTTTCATTCAGGACTGATGTAACAGGAATTTGCTCAGGTTAGTATTCTGGAAGCTTGAGATCAAATGGGTAAATCAAACTACACAGTGAATCACTAATTATTCAAATAGGCTCAACATAAATTCTCTCTTTTAAAATCAGATTAAACTAGGTTTGGTGCGCTGATCGTGTTGTTACCTGTTCCCATGCTGAGCCGCACTCCTCCCAACAGCCGAGTAGAGAAAGCATCGTGATCCCATACCGTGAACTCAGCGCAAATCTCTCTCAGGTCCTCGGTCTCAAAACCGTCATACACCATTGTGTGATTATAAACAGGGTGCAAACTTTTCTTAATCACTCTGGTCTTCTGTCGGCTGGACTTACTGGTATCTGGGAGAATGTAACTGACAACGAAGATATGATAAAAATCAGTAATATTTTATAACATACAGGAATCTATAATCCTCCAGGTATTTCACCGTGAGTTGCAAGCAGAGACTGTGGCCTTACTGCATGTTCTAGTGATGGGTGATGGATACACTGACAATTGTGAAGCTAACCTATTTTTATTGCCCACACCACAACTGCCGCCAGTAACAATACCCGAGGTTGATGAGTAATGTTTGTGGGACATTGCTGTGTGCAATTGGCTGCCGCGTTCACCCACAAATATACAGTCAATTCACTTTACAGTGTGTTCTGTGAAGCGCTTTGGGACGTCCTCCGGACGGCTGTATCAAATGCAAGGATTATTATATCATCCACGTTATGAGCTAGGATAGATGTAAACTGTCAGCATTAAATCTATAAGATGTAGACTGCACAGTGAGAAATTAACAGTGAGCATATATATTCGCTCTAAATAAATCCTCACCATTTGGCAAAGGAATTGACACCTTTGGATCGGAGTGGAATGAGATTCCGTGCGTCTCTCAGCCAGATATGAAGTTCCCCCGAGGGTGGCTTTCCCGGATCTAAACCCAGAGTGTCAACATCTTCAGAGAAGAGCATCAAACACTTTCTGCTCAGTGCAACCATACACACTATTCCAAGCAATTAAATACGCTCAAAGAAATCACACAAATTCCCACTTAAAATATTCCCACGTTAGAAAATAATAAAGAACGCAGATTCCTGATCCTGGAGAAAGCAAATAAATACTGTACATTCATGAAAAATTTTGGCCATTTCTTTCATTTTGCCTTCTCGTCCCCTGTTCCTAAACAGTTCCCTCTACTGTCCCTCTCTGTCTACATTCACTTCTCTTCTAAGATAATGTATTGTTGAAAACCTAAACTAATGCCTGAAATCATAAAATGGGAATGTCTACTCTTCTGAGGGTGGTCTTAGATTGAAGTCAAGGTCAGATTAAAGGGGCCTTTACTTTGTATCTAATTTGTTCTCCAAGTGTTCTAGCAGTGCTAATGTACAATAAATGTTTAATTCCTCAATCTAATGAGCACAAAATAAATGAAAGATTTACACAAGACTGAATGGAATGTGTCTAAGGAGTCATTGCAACTGTTGGAAGAGGCGCTGAAATTTACCTTTGGATGCTCTAGGGATGAATTGCAGTGAGAAGGAAAGTTGTCCTCTGTTCTGGATTGTACTTTGTGCAATCGCAATCTGAGCAATTGAGCAGAAGATTAGTACACAATTTAATTGTCAGCCTAACACGTGAAACAACTTTTAACGAGAATGGGACATTTTACTTTTTTGGCGGTCAGCCGAATATCTAACACCTGCAAGCTTACCATGCTTAAAAGTCTCCAAATAATCTAATGAGAGTTCCACATATGTATAGTTTCCCTTTCTATTGTATGGAATCAGCATTCTCTCTCTCTCTACAGAGGGACACAACCTGCTTACCTAATCCTGAAGAAGCTGGCAAGAGTAAAGACTTGGGGAGCCCAGAACATGCAATAAGGCAATAATCAGCCAATGGAGTCACCAATAGAGAGGATAACGATGAAAGGAGATTTTGAAAGAAAAATGATGTGGAATCTATCAGCCAAATAAGTTTTTTTTTGAGAGGGGGAATTAGAAAGATAAAACAATCGCCTCCAGCTAAGAAAGTGATGAAAGGTATTTTAGTAAGAAAGAAAGCTTATAAAAGGTTTGACATTCAGTCAATGAATAGAATAAATAACTTGTGGAGGGAAGAACTGGGTAATCCGCTGAACAGTGCGTTGGAATAATTGAGTTTGGACATGATGAAGGCTTGGACAAGGGCCTTGTCAGTCAGGGGTGACAGTGTTAGAGGAAGCAAATCCTGCGGGTGCGAGGGCAAGCTGAATGAGCGAGAGCCCAGATATAGGGCTTGAAGGATAGTTGGGTGTCAAACAAGACACACTGAGGTTCTGCACCTGTTCATCAGGTTGGGTGAGCATCCTTTTAGGTCAAAGTGATCAGTGCGTGAGGTGAGAAGGCCTTGCAAAATAGTAAGAAGTTTAGAAGGCAGCAAGGAGAAACATCTAGCTAAAAGCAAAAAGGAGAACAGCAAAGCTTTCTTGAAATACTAAGTGTGAGAGGCCACTAAAGGGGTGCTGGGCAGCCAAGAAATGACAAGAGGGTTATGGTATTTGTATGGTAGGATAGGGAAGTTGCTGAAATACAAACCGCTATTTCACAATGTGATTACCAATACAACAGGGGAAGAAATGTGAGAAATAGTTTCAAGTTGAGGGTAGATGAATCAATCTCCTGAGAGTTTATCATCACTTAAGAGAAAGTATCAGAGAAGTTGCAAAGCTCAAGGCAGATGAGTTTCTGACAACTTGTATCTCAGAGTTCTAAAATGAATAGCTAATGTGATTGTGAATCAGCCCCAGACGTCACCGTAGTTGGTGTATATTCCAAAGAATTGGAGAACAGGAAACAACTCCCATCTTTATAAAAGGGTTGGGATAAACTGTCCAGATAAGCCTGTCCAAGAACAACACCAAATTACATTTATAAAGTAGAGACTGATAAACTCATACAGATTGTAGGAAACATGTTGGAATCAATCACTGATAAGGGACAGTATAAGACATTACCTTGATGTGCCCAGGTTAGTCAGAGACAATAGTGTGGATTTAGAAGTAGAAGCCTGTGCTTAAACAGAAAAACTTGACCAAAAACTCAGTCAAAAAGGTCAATAAGGGCTTTAAAAGTGAGGAAGGAGGTGGTGGAGAGTCTCTAAGATTGAAGTTCAAGAGCGAGGGAAGAATAGCTAAAAGCTTGCTCACCAATAAAGGGGTAGATCGGGCAGAGGCCATGTAGCAGGCTAGTTTTAGCTGAGTGGAGAGAACATTTGAGGCGGTTGCAGGGTTTGCAGATTAGGGATGAGGCCATGGAGGGACCTGAATGTGAAAACTAGAATTTTTAAATCAATCTGCTGGGGGATGGGGAGCCTGTGGAGCTCAGAACGATGGGATGAGACATATGAGACATAAGTTGCAGAGTTCTGATGGTCTGCTGTGTCCTTATGGAGGATCTGGCAAGCAAGGCGTTGGGAGGAATTAAGCCTGGACATAAATTAAGATCTGGGCAGCCTGGGAGAGAGGTAATGGCAGAGGCCGACTATGGTACTGACATTAGTGAAAGGTGAGATGCTGGACTTGAAGGAAAGTTGGGGGTAAAACAAGACACCCACACTGGTTCCGTGAGCATCTGTGCAGATGGATGCAATCAGTTCCTGAGGTGAGAAGATCCTAACGAGAGCCAAGCAGGGAGAAAGTTGACATTCTATCAAAGAAATTTTCTGATTATAACCAGCTGAACGACAGATAGGTTTTCAATGTGGACAAAAAGTAAAAGGGGCAGGACAGGTCAAATAAAAACATGAGAAATGCTAGATGAAAGAAAGACCAAGGTCCATCTAGTTCACCTTCCCGGCGATCACATCCACATATGTCCCAAATTACCTATGTAGTATATCCCATAAGTTTCCTAAATGAAAATGTCAGTAAAGATTTTGGTTATAAGTATCAATGATTGACTGTAATGAGGCTTTTAGCCCACATTGTGTGGTCAATTTCAGGCTAATGTTCATAGTAGTCATATTACCCGTGGCTGTAGGCTGAGCGATACAGGGTTGGTGTGGCTCCAATCCCAAGACTCCAATGGAATCTCTACTTCTCCAAGAAAGATATTATGTCTGAAGCTGTCATTGTGCCACACAGAGAGATTCAACGTCCGAGTCTGCAGCTCAGATTTCTCCATCTTGTACTGTGGCAAAAAAAAATCAGGATATCATTCTACAGTGAGTGAATGAAGAGTCATCTTTTCCTGCATTAATGCTGCTACATTACCTCACCAGAAGAAGACAGAAAAAAGAGACTAGAATAAAGTTCAATCAGATTGACAAACACCAAATCTATATTAATTGTTGGGATGTTGTATGTTGTCATCTACGTATTCTACAGAAGTTACATTAGCAGGATGTGTGTACATACAGGATGTGGGTGTAGGCGGAATATTGCATTTAATATAGTGCCTTATCATGTTGTTAAGACTTTTCAAAGCACTTAACCTAATAAACTGCAAAATAAATTGACTGTGTATTTTGTGAGCGAAACCCGGCATCCAATTGCGCAGAGCAGTCCCAGTTGAGTGACCCAAATTTTTTTTTTAAATAATTGTTTTTAGTGTAGCATGCAGAGAATGCAGGGCTCACAGTGGAGGATTGTGTGGGTTATGCAGAGGTGTGAGGGGCACAGAGGGGTTTGATACATTCTTCTCACTGAATTACAAGTTACATCTAGTTGCCTGAGAGCTGATTATGGGAAAATTACTAGGTCATACAAGATTAAGTGCTCCATGCAGGGCTTTGAGACATCCTTTCAAAGTGAAAGGCATGTATAAAATGTGAAATTGTTGTTGGATTTTGTAGAAATTCAGGAATAAGTAAATGATGGATTAGGGATATTAGGTCTTGCAACCACAATCACACAATCTGTGAAGGAAATTAAGATCTTTTCGCTTCAGTGATAATTTATTAATCTGCTCAGAAGTGGATTATCCCCAAATTATTGCAGTACTAACTGTCCCAGTAGGAGGCAGATTCCTCAAGATTTAACAACATTATTACTATTACCTTTAACCAATCATTAAATATCGGATTTAGGGTTTTCTTTTTCACAGAGGTCTTGCGTTTGCTTTCCGAGGTGTTGTCTGGGAGTAAGTAACTCTTCACGTATCTGATATGCAAGAGAAAAGTAAGTAACCTTTATTAGGAAAGGTTTAACAGTTCACTCACTTTGATGTCTGACATGCAGCGTCACATACTCAAGACCTCACTGTAATAATCACTAATCCTTCTCATACCCCAGTGGTTTTGGAAGAGGACACGGATTATTATTATTATAACAATTAACAACAAATCACCTTACAAATAGAATAAACGTTCGTATCAGAGAATACTTAGATAAGTGGGATTGCAGAAGAATGCTTAGGTAGGGAGGGGAGAGACTGTGAAGGCATTTGAAGGTCAGGTTAAGATTAAAAGATTTGCCACTGGTGACCTATGAACCAGTGGGGCTAGCGAGGATGGGAATACTGTATGTGTCGATTCTTTCAAGAACAAATTAGGTAGATTATTGTTAGGAAATGATATCTCCGGATACAGTATATGGTTTAAGACATATGTGCATGCACCTGTCGGGATGGTGAAAGAGTCTTCTTCTGTATAGCAGTTCTTATGTTCTTATGAGTCTGATGTAAGGGAGAATATGGGACTGTAGAGTTTTATTAGAATAAGAGCTTGTGGAAATTAGGGCTAGGGAGGCTATCAAGAAAAGCATTGGAAACATGTATCTTTGAGGTAAAGAGACAAAGGGGGTGAGGTGTTCATAATTACATTTGGCTTACAATAGACATTTTGGTGTTGCATTGCACTAAGCCTGTCTCTCACAGTCAGTTCCCAAATGGCACTAGGGCACTCAAGGAAGCAATGATGAACCATTTGTTCAGTGAAGCAGAATTTGAGAGCGAGTTAGCTCACATCCAGGAGAGGAAGAGAAGCCTGAATACACTTACTCAGTTTTAAGGGAGGAAACGAATAATAAAAATAACCGGTGAAATGAAAGAGAAATATTTTCGGTCACGGGAATAACAAACAAACTTACGGATCAGAACGTTTTTTCTTGGCTTCAGCAAGATCGTAACATCGATCCACTAGAATCTGAAACTCCTGACTGTCATTGTCGTAATGCAGAGAGAATTGAATACTACCTTTGACATCAACACACCCAAAGTCAACATTACTGTATAAGCTCATCATACTGCCACTGAGCTGCAAAACATAAGGCATAGATCACTCACAATGAGGTAGCTTACCCTGTGTCCCCTCCCCCCGAGCAACAGCAATTTATATTTAAATAACACACACACATATATATAAATAAATAATGTACACACATTTGTACAGTACCCCTCATGTTGGATAGCCAGAGTGCTTGACAATGGCTGAGCACAACACTGAGCAGGGGGAGGTGACTGTAGGCATGGGCGAATAAGAAGGTCTTCAAGTGCAACCTGAAGATGGGGAAGGCGGTGGGCAAGATGGAGGGATAGAGGAAGACTTTTCATGCCAGGAGGCCATATTAAAGTGCTCCATACAGCTGACTGGCACCCGAGCTGGTGGAGAGTACCTCTGGGCACTTACATTGGAGGACTGAAGACTGGAGAGTGAGTTGGTTACATCAAGATCCTTGTTTGTCCCCGAGCTTGGCTCTGAACACACGTCATCCTCACTCAACTCGTCCTGAATCTGGAAAAAAAAAACACTTGGTATCGAAATGTCACCAGCAACTCCTACACCCATCGCTCCCTCCCCACCGATACCTTACCACCCTCACAGCTTCATCCCAACCCGGGTCTTACTAGATGTATTCTCACTTTAATATTATAAGAAACCTTCCTCTGTCACATCTCCCTAACATTGTGAGTGCAATGAAACATGCTCAAGACCATGCTTCGTGTACACTAACCAACCTCCCAAATTACCTGTATCAACACTTGAGGACCCCAGCACTGTCCAGTACTTCTCAATCTCTTTTTTTTAAGCTTATATAAAAAAATCAAGCTCTTTGTTATTTGGCAACTGTGATATCTAGATGCTGCTCAGTGCTGAGTATCCCCCGACATGAAAGGCGCTATATCAATACAATTTGTTGTTGTTTTACCTGAATATCTGGCACCAAGCTCTTCTCTCTGCATACCAGATCATCACTGGCCCCTGGAACTGAAGAATAAAACAGACACAGATCAGACCACACAGATAAAAACAAATTCTGTCCAGTCAATTTTTTACACTGGAGTCAGCTCCTATCCCCATCGTGGAAATAATTTACCTGTTATTTCAGCTTCAATATCGTCTCCAAACTCATTTTGGTGGGACTGAGAGGGAAGAACAAGAACATCAGTAAGTGAATACCAGGCCACTAATATGTGATGTTGAATTCTTAAGTGCACAATAATTTGAATCTTTCTAGTTGCAGCATTTGAACTGAGAGGTAAGCTGCTCTGTCAAACATAATACATCCACCTGTGCTGCTACAATACATCACAATAAAATCCTAGAAACACTCTGAGAGGTTTTGACGATGTGATTATGATTATTAACTGGAGAAATTGTCAGCTTAACATTAAAACAAACCTCGGATGTCACCTTTTTTTCTTTTGATGTCGAAAGGTTATCACCATGCTTCTCTACCCTGTAGAATACAAATATAAAGGCACATCACTGAGAGTCCTCCCATTAGACCACCAGCATATCTATTTCCATTATCCTATTACAAGCCCCATCATTGCTCTCATGCTCACAGTGTACAATCAACCCATCAACAACAATTAATATAATAATCCTTACATTTAGTATAAAGCCTTTCACGTCAGGAGGACGTCTCAAAGTACTTCACAGAATAAACAGTAAAGCATGGAGACTAAATAGGCACATATCAGTAAACATAGACAAATATGACGTTCCACAGTGCACAATTAATCCACAATCACACCCAGAGCCATTGAAAATATCACAATCAGATCAACAACAAAAGTCAGCAATAAATGATTTGAATAGTAAGCTCATACTTAGGGCATTTTGGCTTCTCTCCAGTACAGAACGACCATTCTTACCTTTCATTTATTTGTAATTCTTCCCAGTCTGTCCTATCCTTTCCATCTGTGTTATCCTGTTCTGTAATGGCCATTTCGCTGTTGACTGTGATACTCTCAGGAATTTTCTCGCTCAATGGCTTCTGCTGCTCCTGTTCATTTATAATGATTTTCTCATCATTAATAGTCACTTTTTTCTCCCTTTCACCTGTAAAAAAACAAACATTTTACAGAAAATATCACCACCAAATACTAACTGCTTTATATTTGATTCAAGCTCAAACAATCTTCCCTGCACGTCTGTCTGAATAAGCCTTTATATCAGCACCAGAAAGTATACCCACAACGTGCTCCAGATTCACGACAATTTCCATGTAAGATGAGTCCAAAAGGGGCATAACTATAAAGTAGCCAGGAGCAGATCTAAAAGAGTTTTTTTTGATGGTTAGGGTAGTAAAAATGTGAAACGCACTGCTAGAAACTGTGGTTGAAGCAGAAAGCATTAATGACTTAAAAGGAGAATGAATGCACACATGAAGGAGAACGGATTAGAAGGGGTGTAAACTCAAGTGGAGAATAAACACCAAAAGGGACTAGTTGGGCCAAATGGCCTGTTTCTAGGCTGTATGTATATTTGTATTATATATATATGTGTGTGTGTATGTTTCTGTTCTGTGTAGAAGTGTGTGTATGGATGTGTGACTGTATGTATGCACGTGTGACTTGTATATATGCCTGTGTGAGTGCGTATTCCCTTATAATTGTGTGTGTATTCCTGGGGTGACTGTGTTTGCGTGTGTGGTGTGTATATTCCACCAATATTTTGATTAAACTCTGAACAGAAATGTAATATTTATGCTTTGATATTATCTAAAAGCTCTGTGGTGCTGGGTTGTCTTTTCTTATTAGACAAGATAATTACTTTGGAACCAGACAGATGGACTGCAAGCAATGGTCACTTCTGGTCTTGTAATTATCTTTAGTTATGTTTGTCATAAGAATTTGTTTTCAGTATTGTTTAATTGTTTTAGCAGATAAAGGAAAAGACATTCTGACAGATTTCAGACTCACCTTTCTTTTTTCTCTTTCGGATAGAAGCTCTGACAATATCTGATCCAAACTGCTGGTCTTTGTGGCGCTTTGCTCGCACATCCTTGAACCATTCACCTGATGCTATTTTCAGCTGTTCGGGATCCAAAATTGATTGCTGTAACTTTCTGTAGAGTTCAGAACAACAACAGATTAAAATGATCTCCAAATTGGCCTTAAGATGGTTGCTGATCTAATTTAATTTTGACAGAAGCTGGTATACTGTGTCAATGAGGTGAGGCACACAAGATGGATATAGCAACAAATCGTACAAAACCATTACTAACTAAAATCTCTGCACACATTTCTATTGATTATTCATTTGAAGACAGTGTGGCCCTCTTGGCAACAAAACAGGATTCCCTATCAGGAAAGCTCGAGACCTGGTAGCGTAGTTGATGCCTACAGGTGAAAGACCCAGTTGATTGTGATGCTTTGACCAGTAGTAGTATGTCCAATATGTTATTATTCTGCTAGCTTGTTTTTGAAAATGACAAGTATTTTAAAAAAATAAAAGCACAGAATCAGGGTGGATTCACAACCGGAAGCACTGCTTCAAAGCAGCAACCCTCTTTTAGCAGCTATAAAGGTCTAATCTTGTGAATGAAATGAGAAAGATAATAATCTTTGCATTTGATGCAGTGCCTTATGATGTCTTTGAGACATCATAAAGCATTTCACAGAATATATTGTAAAGTGAATTGACTATATAATTTGTGGGTGAAACAGGGAAGCCATTTGCGCACAGCAGTGTCCCACAAAGTCGTGGATTGAGTGACCAATTATTATCTTTTTGAAGGGATTATTACCTCTAGAAAAGCAATCCAAATATAACCATTAGCTGACCTGATTCGGTTCTCTTCCAGTGAGCGCAGCTCAGCATCTCGAGACAGAACTGCGACAATCAAATCCTGCTCCTGCTCCGTTAGAAAACTCAGATCAATCAGATTCTCCACATCAAAGCCCAACTCCATGGCTGGATATCTAGTAGTGGACAGTTCATGAAGAGAGCTCCAGCTTGAGTTTGTGTTGAGGTTTGCTGTAAATTCCACTGTCTTTACAGAAAACTGTCCAGCATTCTGTAGTTGCCTCCCAAGGTTCAAAAGGGTTACAACAAGGTTGCAATGCGCAATGCTACAGCATCTAATACACTTAGTCTCCAAGGCATGAAATCACAAAGATGGGAAATCTCCCTCTGGTTCCACTTATGTGCCTTCCTAATCTTCTGTCTGGGGAAATACTTACCGCAACCAGAGAAAATATTGAGAATCTAAATCCACCTTTTGCTTGGTGGCACCGAGCCAGATTGATAGATTGCAGCCTTGCTTCCTGTGCTCAGTCAGCCAGTTTCAGCTGGGACAACAGTTGAGAAACTGCAATAGAAGACGTGATAAGGCGCTATATCAAATGCAAGGATCATTATTATTATTATTATTGGCCTCTGCAAGTTGAGATAGGGAACAAAAAATAAAAAGGTCAGCACCTGAGAGGAAGCGCGGGTGGGAGCCTGAGCAAAATATCCTCAGTGTTGTCAACACGGGGAGGAATTGCGGGTCATCCAGAACTTGATATCTGACAGGCAGTCTGTCAGAACAGCTGGGGTCCCAGAAGAAACTTTTCCGTCCACAGAGACGGTTTGGAAAGTTTTTTGGTTGGAAATTAAATTTGGAGGCCTAAGACATACTTCGATCTGATCAGACACCAGCATATGCATTAATGGTGGCGTATTTAATATTTGATACAGGAAGTGGCCACAGCTTTGCATCGGGGCTGTTGCAGACTGACACTATTACAGGCAATCCACAACAGGTGATCTTACTTGCAATATTTACCCGTAAAATTCAGACCAGTTGCTCAATTCTTCGAAAAAGGCTCCAGAAGCAGCGTGTTGGATCAGGCCTCCAAAAACATCAATAGTTAGGACTGTGAGAGGTGTCAGTTTAGTAAGTTTGTGTTTGCATCAGCACACACAAGAAATCTCACCACAGAATGCTGAATAAAACAAGGACTGGAATTTTGTCAAGATGGATTGGCTTTTAACTGTTTCTTCACTGATAGCTCCACCTCTGTCAGACATCACCACTGTCAAGCGCTCCGGGACGATACCCCCAGTAAAGGGCTCTGTATAGATGCAAGTTGTTGTTGCAGCTCATGGTCATAAGTGTATAGCAGTGGACCACCAAATAAATGTTTCTTGAGTGAATACCTCTTGATCTTTGGCATGAATCTATGCTGTTTTGTTATTTCTATGATTATTTTGTTGTCCGAACCAAAAAGACCAACCTTGCAAGCTTTCCAGCTGTTTGTCAAGCTAGGACCACCTTACCTGTTATGCACAGACATCAGGTGCCTTGGGTTAGACAGTTCAGCCAGCTCCCATCCCCTAAATCTATGTGCAGCTCATTTCTTTAAGGAGGACCACAACCATTCCTCTGCAAGCCCCAAACTGTAAGCCCCAATCCACAGACCTGACCCGCAGACCCTTTTGCCCATCCCAACTCCTTGGCAGTACCAGACCTAGTGGGCTACTCAGCAATAGTGTCCTCACTTCTGATTGTAAAGAAGAGCTGTTGGTTCCACTAACAGGTCTACCAGCCAATCAGAGGCGAAGATGCCCCAACAAGTTTTACTCAGCCACAGCCCCCACCCCCTCCAAGAATGTTTTCACCTGCCTTCTTAGGGCTTTGGCTTGCAGCGTTAATAGGAGCTGAGCGGATAGAATCTGTCCTCAGTGACTGGTCTGCCCTTCCAAATCCTGCCAATGAGTCAGCCTGGCTTGTGCTGTGATCGGAAGTGCTCTGGAGTACCATGGACCTCCCTGGCTCAGGATCTGGACTACCGAGGTCTGGCTCGATTTGAACATTCTGTTCCAACTGTACCTTACAGCCGAAAGCCTCGTCTATGCATTCATTACCTCCTGCCTCAACTAGTCCAATGCCTCTCCAGCTCCACTATCCGCAGAATCCGGTCAGTCCAGTATTCTGCCATCCACTTCCTCACTCGACCTAAACTCTTGAAACTCCATCACACCAGTTCTTCAAATCCCTTCAGGCCTGGCACCTCCCCGCTTCTCCGACCTGCTTACTCCCCCAACCCTCTCCTGGTCAGCTGACTCCGGCCTCCTGCTCGTCCCTCATCTCCACCATCGGAGGAGGGGCTTTCAGACCCTACGCCCCCGAAACTCTGGAAAACTTCAGAAGCCGATTCGATAACGGCCTTTACGACAGAAGTAGATAATTATTTGGGGAGGACAGGTTCGCAGGGCTGTGGGGAGAGAGCCCCCGGGTGGGGAGTGGGTTTGAAGTGGGGCAGCTACTTTTCAAAGAGCCGGGGACAGACACGATGGGCCGAATGGCCTCCGTCGGTGCTGTACGGTCCTGTGAATCGCTCGGCCTTGCCTCCTCCTCCTCCTCCCCCCCTCATCTTCAGCTCCTGCCTGAAGACCTTCCACTTGGTCCGTGCTTACGGTCACCTTCCCCTCCCGCCCCACCCCGGGATCGGCGTCGTGCTCCGTCAAGCGCTGCGAGAGACTCCCCTCCTCCCCCGCCCGCCCGCCCGCCGCCTGAGGGCTGCTATATAAATGCAACTCGTCGCCGAACACATGTCCGCCCTGGAGCCATTTTTAGCTCCAAAGACGCCCACTGGCACAATCCGGTCTGTCACGCCCGGTTGCCCTGCCGATGCTCCCCAGGTGGCCGAGGCGCCCGAGGGCCAGGCGCGGGCCGCCTGCTGTCCGTTGCTACGGACGTCACCGGGGAGCGGCTCCACCCACCCCCGCGCGCGCGCGCGCGCATGTCGCGGAGGGGGGGCGGAAATTCGCGTCACGGCAGGTGATTGACAGACAGCCATCCGGCGGGCCGACGAACCAACCAGGTGCCGGCAGAGCAGAACGAGGGGGCGGGCCTTCCGGGTGGGTAGGGGGCGGGGCGGGGGGCGGGCGAAGCAGCGCGCGCGCGCGCGCGTGCGTGCTAGGCGTGCGCGCGGGAGCGCGGTTCTCGCGCCCGAACAGCAGCGAGCGGACGGCTCCAGCGGAGCCCCTGCAGCCGGGAGCCCCGCCGACCCACGTCGCCGCCTTCCCGCGCCTCCCAGGATCCGTCCCCGTCAGCGAGCGGCCGCCCCCGGGGAGACGTTACCCTCACGAGTGGATTTCTGAGGGAGTGTTTTTTTTTGGGCGGGAGGAGGAGTGGAGGACTTGGCCTGATGCTCAGCAGCTGAAGCAGGACCGACTCCCAGGGCTAATGATCCGAAAGCTCTGCGCGGGGTCGGGGCTCGGGCTTGGGAACCGCTTCGGGGGCCTCCGCCTCTCGCAGCGTTTCCTTTTCCTGCTGCTGCTCAGCGGGTTCGTCACCGTCTGCTTCGGGGCGATTTTCTTCCTCCCGGACTCGGTTCGGCTGCGACGTTTTTTCTCGCTGGCCACCGAGCTGCAGCGCGCCGACGCGGCCGGGAGCGGGAGCGGGAGCGGGCCAGGAGTTGGTGGAGAAGGAGGAGGAGGACAGGCTCTGGTGTCGCCGCGTCGACCGTCGACGGATGGTCGCGTTCGTCCGATCCACAGACGCCGGAAAGGCCAGGGAGAGCGGGTCGACGAGGAGACGGCGGAGGAACACCTCGGGTTCAGTGAACCTGCATCCGACGTCGGGAATCGTGGTCAGGGCAGGACAGACCTGAATGCCTCCAAAATGGAACCTGTCAGTCGCCCGTCTCGGCCGGCACCAGCAGCCCAGCCAACACCGTCGACGACGAAGGATATTGGGAGCTACCGGGAGAAAGTCAAGGAGGTAAGGAATTTGGTCTTCAAAAGAAAGAAGAAGGAAGACGACGACGTGGGGAAAAGCGCTGCTGTCAACTGCCAGGATTTGTTGTCGTCGTTGTTTGTTTGTTTGTCGTCGTCGTTGTTGTTGTTGTTTGTTTCGTTGCAAATTTAAAGAAGGGCTAAAATTAGGAACGTTTCGGTTGGCGTAATCCATTTTATTTTGGGGGGGAATGCCGCGCTTTCCTGTCACCAAATAGACCGCTCTGAGATGCCGTCCGGAGCGAAGGGCGCTGCGCATGTTGTTGTTGTTGTTGCTGTTGTTGCTGCTGTCGTTAGCGCGTGTTTTGCTCACGATTCAAAAGTATCGTCGAGCGTGAAACTCGCGAACCAGATTTTTCTGACAACTTGCTTTCTGCCATAATCCTGGCATTTGACACAGTGCGTCTTCAAGACGTCTCAAAACGATTCACGGAATATACTGTAAAGTGAATTGACTGTATATGTGAGGGCGAAATGCGGTAGCCAGTTGCGCACAGCAGTGACCCGCAAACAGTCGTGGTTTGAAGTGACCAATTTATTCTTTTTTTCTTGAGGGATTATTATCAGGTGTGTGGAGTAAAGAAACTTACCCAAGGTTTTGCCCGCCGGGATTTAAACCCAGGTCTCTCGCTTGCGAAACGAGTGCTCTAACCACTGAGCTATAAAATATTTTATGTTTAATGTCCAGGGAACTGAGGCATTGGTTTATCATCTCATACGAAGGACGACACCCCCAACAGTGGAGCACTGCATTAGTATCATCTTGGACTATATGAGTTCCCAGTCCTAATATCTTGTCTGCCTGCTCAGGTGGACATTAAATATCCCATGGCACTACTTGAAAACAGAAGGAAATTTCTCCTGATGTGCAAGGTGCTACACCAAATGCAAGAATTATTATATACAGACAGGTTGTACAGTATTTGTCTGCTTTTTCTGCTTTCTAGATGATGAAGTTTGCCTGGGATAACTACAAACAATATGCATGGGGAACTAATGAACTCAAACCAATATCTAAAGTGGCCATACAAGTGGCTTATTTGGTGAGTGATTACTTATTAATTATTTCTTACATAAATTATTTTCATTAGATTTAAGTATATATCACAATAATTTCATCAAAGTAATGCATTAGCTAAACAAGATTGTTGGTTGATGTTGAGTATAGAATTGTTCAAAGTGAAACTTTGCATAAATCTAGCCAAAAGCACTGATTAAGTGATTACATTTGCTGGTATGAGTTTTGTACCTCTATATTCTGAGATCTGCTGGTGCATCTCTACGGTTAATAGAAAATAAGTCAAATAGCCCCAAACCATCTTGAATTCTTGATATAAAATATTTTATGTGCACTCTCCAGCTTAAATGAAGTCAACTCACTCCCTCCTTAAGTTATTATAAGCATTTCAAACATGTGTCTTACACATAATGGCTATGATCAAAGCATCGATTCTTAGCCACATCATGTATTAATCCAGACATCTGTCTTGTTTGGAGTTTCTGTCAAGATTAATGAGACTTCTAGCTTTATTAATTGAATTGAATATACTAAAGCAATAATTTAAAGAACCATTACCATCTTCGCTCTACCGGGTCTGGCCTTCTCCTTGTCCTCCGAGTCCTCCGCTCCACCATTGGCGGCCGTGCCTTCAGCCACTACGCCCCGAGGCTCTGGAACTCCCTTCCCCACTCCCTTCGCCTCGCCCCCTCTCTTCCCAATTTCAGGTCTTGGCTGAAGACCTTTCTTTTTGATCCCGCCTTTGGTCACCTTCCTCCCCCTCCCACTGGCTTGGCCCTGGGACCCGTTACTGTGAAGCGCTCTGAGACGCAGTCTGGTGTGGTTTGGTCCACAATGTTTACTGATTATTGTATTGCTGTAAACTAGTTACAGTTGTCTGATTGATTTATTATCTCTTTTGTTCATCATTTTTATCAAATATACTTTCAAAAGTAAAGTACCAAAATGTTTTGGGGAATATTTGTTGAATAAAGCATTATGTTTATTGTATTCTTTTCTCCTTCCCCCTAATACCGTATTTTTCAGGTAACTTGAATCTTGATCACTAGAGTTTGCAGTTGTAATGCTGAGATCAGAATTCTGAACGCTAACTACAATCTTGATTATGTAATATCTTCTTTGCCACCCCAGTATTTTATAAGATGCATTTTAGAATATGTTGTTCCAGTTAGAAAATGGAAGGTGGGTGTAAAAAGTGCACCTGCCAATGATAGTAAAGGTAATGGTTCTTTAAATTTCTTCTCTTGGACTGTTTTAGGCTACTGCAGGTTGTATGAATGGTATCAAAGAGAAAAGAGATAAGAATGGCATCTAACTAGTCAACCCCCCCCTCTTGGACATTCCTTTTTAAAACTAAAGAGCCCTATCTTATCTAATTAATTTGTATAGCTCACCTCTCTCACAAGGGACAATTTACATTATTCTCCTCTGCACCACTTCTAGGGCCTGTAAGAAAAAGAGGAAGGCCTTCTTGAAATACATGGTATCCCCTGAGCATAAGATTATAGTTAACTGTATCCACCTAGCAATAAGAGCTTGTTTCGTGCCTTCAGAGAGCAGGAAATAAATCGAAGGATTCCACATCATGAATGTTTACATGGTCTGAGATTATAATAGTCAGACCATATATCTTTGCAGCTAAATTTCTTGTCAGAGGTGCACAACTCCTTCCTACATACTCCACTGCATGTTTTGACAGTTTTATTGGAGGTCATCGTGTTCTGTTGACTTGTTTGTGAAGATAGTCTTCTTGTTTACTTTGCTGAACAGACCAAATGGATAGGGATGAGTGTAATGCAAATAAACCAGTTAATATTTAGACAGGTCTATGACGATGTTCCACTTAATGGATATTGGAGCACGGTTCTGTCTCTTAATATAGATGGTAATGTATTCAGCTGGATTAGCAATTCACAATTTGGTTACAAGTACCATGCAATGGGGAGATATCTGATATTATTTGCAGATCACATCGAATTTGGAGAAGTAACAAATAGAATATTGATGAGCACAAATTCAGGAGAATCTGCAGAAGCTGTGTTAACAGATGCAGTTTCATACCGAGAAAAGTAAAGAGTGATGGTCATGTAGAGCAAATAGTGGCTTAAAACAATACAAAAAAATTAATTACATAGTTTAATCCAAAAACACTAATGATGGAATATTCAATAGTTATGTTGATTTAAACCCGCAATCTAGTATTCATAAATTAAATTCTCCATATGAAGATATTTACATCTGGCTAATAAGGTTTCACTATTTCTCTTTACAGGAGGGCTTCAGGGAGCTACAATTGTGGATGCTTTGGATACACTCTTCATTATGGATCTTCAAGATGAGTTCAGAGAAGCCAAAGAGTGGGTGGAAAACAACCTCGCTTTGAATGTGGTAAGCTTGCTGTATTGAAGCAGATTTCAGATAGAAATCTGTTGCGGTATTTATAATAATAAAAAAATAATCTTTGCATTGATATAATACCTTTCATATCGAGAGGACGTCTCAAAGTGGTTCACAGAATTTACTGTAATTTGTAATTACTTTGTATTTTGTAGGCAAATGTTTCTAACTATACCAGCTTCTGTGCAGAATTGTATGCTTCTGTATACAGAACTTAATACAAGTCCACTTTTAGAGCAGTTCTGTACTGGAAGCACAGGGATTCAGTCGGCTCCAAAGCACTGTTCACAGTCCAGAAGTGCTAATTTCTTAGCACATTTCCTTATAACACAGGTCTGATTTTATGCACCCAAACTGCCATGTGTATCCTGCAATAATAATAATAATTCTTGTATTTGATACAAAGCTTTACCACAACGTTGAGACGTCTCAAGGCACTTCATAGGATATGTAGTAAAATGGATTGACTGTATTTTGTTCCACCAATAAGTACCAAATAGCAGCATCATGTTTGCTGCCTGCGTCATAAGTGCTGTGCAGCTGACATCGATGGATCACAGTCTCTAGCACAGAAGAGGGAAGCGGAACAGATGGTTCAGATGTAATTATTTTATGAAGAGAGGTGAATATATGCAATGTGATTCTAAGAGATAGTGGCAGACTGTGTTAACAAATTCAAGAGAAATTGGATATGTGTTTATTGTAGTATATGTTTTTTTGACTGGCCAATGGATCAAAATAATATTTTCCAATTCTGCATATTCCTATGTTTCTAGGGCTACAGTACAGTAACTTACTGAGACAACTGGCTTAGTTTGTAGTATTTGTCCAGGAGTTAGATTGTGAGTTGAAGCCCCATGTTGGGATTTTGAGTTCATAGCCTAGACTCATAGTCCAATGCAATTTGAGGGTGGGCTACATTGTCGGAGGTGCCGTCTTTCTACTTGTTAATGTAGACACTAAAGAGGTAAAATAACATTTAATGGCCTCTTGCTATGTTGGATTTTCTACAATTTCAGTGTTCTTTGTGATTTTATAATAATAGTGGCGTCCTCCAGCGTATTAGTTAGAGTCCTCACCTCCTAAGCAAGAGTATCCAGGTTCAATTCCCAAGCAGAGTTGAAACCGTTGGCTGGTTTCCTTACTCCACACACCTCTGTTTACCTAGCAGTAAGTAGGAACCTGGTTATTAGTTGATCGGCGGATCGCTTTCCAGGAGTAATAGTCCAAAACAATTGGTTACCCATTCCATGACAGTTTGCTGTGGGCTGTTGGCTTTATTTTAACCCTTGCATTTAATATAGTGTTGTTTATATCAAGAGGATGTTTCAAAGTGCTTCATGGGATTTCCTGTAAAGTGTGGTGACTGTGTATTTTGTAGGCGAACAAAGTAGCCAGTTATGTGCACAGCAGTGTCCCATAAACAGCTGAGAAGTGAATCTTATCTGGGTGGGGGATTGTTGGCCAGAGCATCATGAAACCTATTTCTCTTTTTAAATATGCCATAGTTCCAATGTGAGGCATCAGCCATGACCTTCTGACTCCAAAGCGAGCATGTTACCAACTAAGCCAATTTGAGACCTAATTAGTTTCTTCAAAGAGAATAAGTTCCTTTTTCATTTCTCAGAATGGCGAAGTGTCTGTGTTCGAAGTGACGATTCGATTTGTTGGTGGGCTGCTGTCAGCATATTATTTGACAGGCGAAGAGGTGAGACCCATTCACATAACTGATCCATTTCAGTTTCATTACCTGCTGCGTTTTTATAGTATTGAATTTTGAGAGGTAGTAAATTTACTAGATTTTTTTATATAAGAGGGAGCCAGTATTACTAAAGCAACAAACTAACTCTATTTGGGAAATGTTAATAATAAAATGTGGGTCCAGGCGCAGCTAGCAGCAGGTACATTCAGTGAAAATGACTTAGTTATACCACCTATTATTTCTCTGGAAATAGGTAAGCACGGTGTGTCTCTGGGGACAGAGTGCACATTCCACGTGTAGGTGGCACAAAAGGAATTGTTTTCTGGTTTGGATACTCTTAAATGATGTTTCCACATTTGTCAGACACCAGGCTGATCATAAACAATTATGATACAGTTTGAGATTTTTTTTGGTACCCCAACAGGGCTGTACTCTAAAATGCTATCAACATGATCCTGAGGAAGTGAGGAAGAAAAACACTTTGATGCTATTAGATTTAAATCATAAGGGATCAGTTACTATGTTTTTTTTTAATAGTTATTCAAGACTAAAGCAATTGAATTGGGTGAGAAGTTACTGCCAGCATTTAACACCCCTACAGGCATTCCATGGGCCTTAATAAACCTGCGCAGGTAAGAGATTCTCAATAAAGTGGAATTCACTTAGTATGATAATATCTGTCAGGATTACATCATAAAGTTGGCCTGTTCATCTTGGAGGAAAAAAAAGGCAACTGCAACATTGTCCTTGCATGTGATATAGTGCCTTTCACGAATGACAACGAATGAAAGCACTTTACAGGATTCACTATAAACTCTAGTGACTTGTATTTTGTAAGTAAGCAAGCCAGCCAATATCCCCACTGTAGTGTCCCACAGCCATGAATTGAATGACCAATTTTAATTGAGGGGATTGTTGCCCAAGACACCAGGAGAAATTCCCTTTTTTCAAATAGTGCCATGGGATCTTTAATATCTACTTGAACAGGCAGACAAGATTGATTTAACATCTCATTGGAGCACAACACCTCCAACAACACAGTGCACTCCCAGTAGTGTATTGGGAATGTCAATCGAGTGTGAGTTCAAAGTCACAAGATGTGGTTTGAACTCACAATCTTCTGAGGCAAGAGCACTACCACCTGAGACAGGCTGACATTACAGGGCAAGGATAGTTCAGAAAGAATTTAAAATTATGTTGAAATGGAGGGTAAATCATCAACATTTTTTGAAAAAACTACTACTTGGAGGATATTATCAGAGAGGACAAAATAAAATACAATCCGTCATCCAATTGGTTGTGTTTTGGGACTCCGACATGAGGGAAGCAGAGATTCTATATAGCCTCAAGGATTGATAAATAATAAACCTCCACAGGACAGATAAATTGAACCCCAGGATTCTTAAGAGAGGCAAATCCACGCTCCCTGACCATATTTGAGATTTGGAATCACATAGTCTAAGCTGGAATGCCAATGTTGTGCTGATGGGTTGTCGCATTGTTGGAAGTGCCATTCTTTGGATGATACATTAAACTGAGGTCCTGTCTGCCTGTTCAGGTGGATATTAAACATCCAATGGCACCATTCAAAAAGAGAAGGGAGTTTCTCTCTTCCGGTGTCCTGACACACAATCCCTCAAATAAAATTGGTTACTCCATGGTTGTCTGTGGGACATTGCTGTGGGCAAACTGGTTTCCGGTTTCGCCCACAAAATACGCTATCACTCCACTTTACAGTATATCCTGTGAAGTGCTTTGAGACACTTCAACGATGTGATAAGGCTATATCAAATGCAAGAGTTATTATCTCATTACTGCAATCACCAAGATTATTACTTTACAGAAAAGAGGGAATGTCACTGAGATTTTTTTCTTTTGCTGCTTTAAATTATTCATGGTGTGTTGCAGACTGTATACCGTATCATTTCTCAATGTATTTTTCCAGGCATAATTTTAAACCGGATTGTGTTATGAATTATTTGTTCTTGATACGTGTTACATAGATGGAACTATTATCAATCTTGAATTTGTGATCCACAGTGGAGTTGGACGGAATTGGGGTTGGGCCTCTGGGGGAAGCAGTATTCTAGCAGAATTTGGCACCTTACACCTGGAGTTTGTGCATCTGAGTGAGGTGTCAAATAATCCAAAGTTTGCTGAAAAGGTAAGTCCTGATAAACTGCCAGTCATAGTTTCAAACCTATTGCCTTTCATACCATATCTACAATATAGAGGCTACACTTCACTGATAATGCCAATGAATTAAATGATAAAATCCTGCAGGATCTAAGACCCTTGAGTTTTGTTTCTGTATTTAAACTTGTTACGATTTGTTAAACCTTTGACACAGTACTTATAAAGTTAAAGTATCTCAAATATGCTTTAACAGGTAATTTAATATATTGATAAACTTTCATTAAACTAACAGAGGAAGACCCAGGTTTAGAATAAATAAACAAATTATAATTCAATGGAACACATGATGGCATCGTGCATTGAAGTGGTGTGATTTGCGGGGTTCCTGGTTCCGCATCCTAGCCATGTTGCATTAAGTAAGGAAAACATGATTATGGGTGTAATATAGATGGGTAGAGTGACTATACCCAGGTTATCTTCAGTGTGCTGCTTTTATACACTTCCTAGTGGCTATTGTTTTGTTGGTAACTGCACAGCATCTTGGGCTGCCTTTCTCAAAAGGGTTGGGATGCAGGATGGAGAACATATCCATACCTTTGATTACTGTGGACCTTTCCTGGTCAAGTGTATTTCCTCAGGCAGTTTAATCTCAAGATCCTGTACTATTGATTGGTGTGTATACCTTGTCATTAGCAATTTCTGTGAAAATGCTGATCTGTTCTGGAAATAGTTTCAGATTTGGCAAGGGAAGAGTCACTCAACAGTTGGTATCACTAGTTCTAGGTAACACTAAAATTTAAAATTCACAAAGAAAACTTAATTACCTGCATTATGTTCTGATTAGACCAATCTGTTCAATCTTCACATCAAATGTGCGTCTCTCATTGTTTACTTCACTCCAAGCAGTAAACTGGAATTGCAGTTGGCAAGATTGAATTTTGATACCCCAAACCTCCCTGCAAGTATAAATAACTGTTTGGAGTGGAATGCAGGCTGAGGTGTATACTTTATATATTGATGCAAAAAATATAGTACTGTATTGTAGACTGAGCAGTATATCTTGTGTATTGTCTTCCAGCTACTCTGATATTGTGGGCATTTTAATATTTTTTAAGTAATTTGTTTTTCTAGAAACTAGAAAACCTTTGTGTGGGTTTTTACTTCTGCAGAGGTCGAAGATTATGTGACACAGTGCTGTGAATCTCAATGTATGTTGTTTGCTGTCAAGCATATTTGTTGCCTTTGGTTTCACTGTTGTGTCATCTAATGTACAAGATGTTCAGGAGGCAATGCTGCAGATTCACATTACCGGATGTGTACATTGAGTAAGCCAATGATGACACGAATATCTAATGAAGAAATGAGCACAGGTAAATGAAATGAAGTGGTTAAGTAGAACACAAATTATCCCATATGTAAGGACCTGGATCAGGTTGTGTGATGGTTATTTGCATCAGTGATCCTGGCACTATGAGATTCTGTTTTTTTTAAAAAGTCAGGTTTTACCCACGTGTGCAAAGAAGGATGCAAGAGGTTGTTAGGGATGCAATTTAGCCATACGGTGCAAGTAGCTTTGCAGACATGTGCACAACTGAATTGTTTTTGCCAGTATCTTTTTACACAGTAGATCACATTAGATTGGATTCAGAGACATAACTATGGAGATGGTCAGTGAAAATACAGAGATAGCTGTAAAGAGAGAGACGATTGAAGAGAGGTTTAGCTAGCAAGAGCGAGGGAAAATTTGATTGAGAAAAGGTAGTTAGCGAGAGTAAAAGAATGGCACAGTGTGGTACAATATTATCGGTATGACGCCTGATGAATTTTTTGATTAAAACTGTAAGCAGTTGGAGTTCTACATGATGTCCAATTATTGTATTGTTCACTTACCCATGATGAGGTTTTTTTTTCCAATGAGGGCAGTTCGCCTCACTACTGTAACCCGTCAGGCGCTGGACAGTTAGTTACTGCTGGCTGCTGAATTGGATGACTAGGCATCGTCCAGAGCTTTTTTGGAGGGGAAGGGGAGCAGGATGTCACCCAGGTATCCTTCATTTTGCTCTCCTTTATCCCTAAATTTCCTCTTATAACAGCTCTATGGGAAGGATAGTGGTGACATCCATTGAACCAAAGAAATTTACAGCACAAAAGACTACTCAGCCCATCATGTCTGTGAGAGAGAAATTCATTGAGTACCATGCCCCTCGGAATTAGTCCTTTTTAGATATCTATCTAATTTTCTCATGAAAGCTAATATAGATTCTGCTTCGACCAATGCAATTGGCAGGGCATTCTACATCTTAATGTCTTATCAATAAAAAAAATTGCTAACTTGTGGCCTGAGTGACTATACTTATGATTAATGACATTAGTGTATTCTACACGTGCACATGACATTAGAGTGCCTGATCAAATGGTCTCAGTTCCCATTTTTGATCACTGTCTAGTGGCCCGTTAGTTTAGTAAAAACGGGGTGGGGCTTAACTTTAAATTCTTCTGATGTAGAAGGAAAAAAAATAGTCCATTGTTCAGTTAAAGTTTTTATAGGCTTGTAAAACAATTTTTTGTGGAATTGCCAATGTGGAGAGACCTATTGCTGGCAGTTGAGCAAGAATCAATGTATAGAGATCAATATATTCAGCAAACTTTGTAGATAATTCCTGCTTGGATCCGTAGTCCACTTTTGTAGAATATATTAAGAAAATTTAAATGTAAGATGAAATGGTAATGAGTCTTGGGGTTATCTTGAAACAAATGAATTTATCCAAACACGAAGTGCGTTGAAACCCACATTTCATCATTATTATTATTGTGAAACCAGGTAATAATGCCAGGTCAACAGATTCGTCCTCTGATGCTTTTGGAGACCATCAGAAACAAATCTATTCGACTATTACTTTAAAATCTCTTCCTTACACAGGTCTTGCAAGACTCCCCGAAACAGCCTGATCTAATCCATGCACCTCAAAAACATTGAGACTATGGAGGGAATCTTGCAAGCATCCCCAGAGCTGGATACCTGGATAACCCAGGTACTATTCTGAACGTGTTCTGGTCCTCCCCAGTGATTTTATCATTTTGGAATCCAGCTTGGTAAGAAATTCAGTATTGATATCCCAAATAACCTGGCATTATCTCTTCTAGGTCCTTCATCTAGCATCTAGAGTTCAGACTGAGTTAGATAATTACGGTATCTATGCTCCATCCTAGGGTTCATATATTTTATATTTTTTAAATTGTAATTATAATGATTCTCCTGCATACAATATTCATGGTTTTTTATGTAATTTTTTTTCCTGAGTTCATGCCAAACAAGATCTAGAAATTCAGATCTTGAGAAATTGTAAAAATTCTCTAAAGTGGAAGACTGATTCATGGCTGAATTCTTAAGGGTTATTTTGGATAGGAATAAATGGTCCACAGACCCTGTTTATCAAAAGCAAACAGAAAGTGAGTCACTTCCCCACATTATCTCCAAAACCTCATGACCAACAGTTCACTGCTTGACACTAAACATAATTTGTTCAATCTTGTAAGTATATGAAATACTCATTACAGAAATTATAATCATAGAAATTACAGCACAGAAGGCGATTGTGCAGCCTGTCAATCCTAAATTGGAGTTCCCTATTATAATCCCATTTACCTTTGCATTCCTTGTGAGCTTTAAAAAAAATTCCATTTCCTTTTAAATATTATGGTCTCAGCCTCAATGGCCACTTCTGGCAAAATATTGTACATTCTAAAAACTCCTTGTATAAAATAACTTCCTTCCATCTAAGTAAATGATGAAATGCCATAAACTTGAAAGGTTGGTATTTTATTTGGTAGATCAGAAAATAAGAGTCACAAGATAAATTAAGGGGCACAGATGGAAATTAATAAATATAAGGAGACCCATTATAAGGTGCTCCAGTTTAGTGCAAGTTTGCTTATATTATGACTGTGCTGTATACACACACACTATTTTGGAAGCATGATATCCCAGTTTTCAGGTTTCATCGGGCTGCAAGACACTGATCCACACATTCTACAGGTCGAGGTTAGATTATCTTAACTCTCTGCTGGCCAAACCACCCATCCTTCCTTTCACAAGATGTAGATTATTCAGAATTCTATATCTTTGTGTCCTTTCCTGCACCAGGCTCTATAAGCCTATCACCCCATCCTCTCCTTGATCTACTGGCTCCCCATTCCCTGGTGGATCGAGTTCACATCCTCATCCTAACCTTTAAATCCCTCTATGGTCTTGACTCACCCTATCTCTGTGACCTCCTGAAACCAAACAGGCCTGTTTCTGTTCCCCGTCCCACCATCAAAGGTTGGGCTTTCAGTTTATCTGCCTTCATTCTCTTGAACTTTGTCCTGGAGTCCCTTCAGCTCACCGCCTTTCAAAGTTCGCCTCACAACCTTCCTCTTTGACTGTACTTTTAGCCATCTTTAATCCTCACATCGCTTTTTCATAATGTCTTTCACTGCGGGAGAACGTTGTATTGTACTGTCCGGCATCCTGCACGGCTGCCATCTGACAACCTGACGACCCAGTAGTTGACCATTTTTCTGCATTTCGTTTTAACCTAGGGGTCTGAGCTTATGGACCCAGACCACCAGGTTAAAATTGTGATCTGTAATTGAATTATAGCATAGAGAATACCGGAGGGATAATTGTTAATTTTTTTCCCACTGATTCATAGACTGAATGTAATGACTAAAATATTAATTTAACAGTAAATACACACCGAGCCTAAAATGCAGCAACTTGTAGAATTCCAGGTCAGGACTCTTTCTGGGAACAGGAAGTATGTCATGTAGTCGGTCCTTTCCCTTTCAGGTAAAACAATAAGTTGCATTTATATAGTGCTCTTCGCATGGGGTAGATTAAGTGGTGTGTGCTAGTGATATCAAGGCAGTTCATTTTCCTAGCTGGTGCAATCCCAGTTTTCCCACCTATTGGGAATATTTTACGGTTAATGCAGTTAATGCAATCAAAATCTGATTATTTCATCTATTTATGTCATGAAAATGAAATCTTCCCAATGTAACACACTATTTGGAACATTCTTGGGACTGCACAAAGATTTTTACTAGACTCAGTGAATTTAAAAAAAATACTGAAACAATATCTTCGCTGTGGAGTACATGTTTGCATTCAAGGGTGTGTGTGTGTCTCTCTTTCTTGGTTTCTAATGGTGACATCCAATAGCTTCTACAGTAGTATATGTCCAGTGTACTCTTGATTCCTAGGAGTAAAAAGCTGTAAAGCTGAATTGCATTTATGCTCTTATTAGAATGATGCGCATTTATAATTGCACACTGGCTTTGGTATTGCATTACCATACGAGCAAAGCCTCTGAAATGGCACAGTAATTTATAGCCCAAAGCAACTATTATTTTATTCACCATCTGATTGCAGTAGAAAAACTATAATGTATACAATATAAAAACAATTAAGTTCTTCATGGAAATCAATAACAAAGAACAGGACCGCAAAGGATAATTACAGATTATTTGGCTGGCTTCAAACGGACAAAAAATCCATAAGATGCTCTAAAAATCAATCTAGCTACGTCTCAAATTTCTCTGCCTCTGCTGTCTCCTTAAGAAATATGGAAAGGTGAATATGAACTGCTTGCGTTCATGCTTCTTGAAGTTTGTGTTTACGCTGAGCTCATTCACTTAACATTGGGACTCATTGACATAAGGGGCCTGAGCAGCCCCCCAATGCCTCTAAATGAACTAAATCTGTCACAGTAATTCAGATGCAACTTCACCAAAGCTCTGTGTCGCTTGAACATTCTGGGGATCTTAACTGAGTCATCAATACAGCCCAACATTGTTTTGTTTATTTCTGCCCTGTACTGTAGATATGGTTCATAAGTTAAAGTTCATAATGCACCCATTTTCTGTTCAGCTTTCATCTTGGTATCTTTGGTTTTCTGCATGTATTAGGTAGGCTCAGTTGATACCACTCTGTGTCAAAAGACTAAGTTCAACGTCCAGGTCAGGACTCTTGAGCTCATAATCTAAGCTGTTCCATACAGAGGAAGGGCTGCATTGTTGGAGGTCCTGTCTTTTGGGTGATGTATTAAACCGAGGCCCCGCCTGCCTATTTAAGTGGTAAAGATATTTTATATAATAATCCTTGCATTTGATTTAGTGCTTTTCACGTCTTCTAGACATCTCAAAGTGCTTCACAGAATCACTGTGAAGTGAATTGACTATATTTGTGGGCAAAATGCGGCAGTCAATTGCGCACAGCAGTGTCCCACAAACAGTCATGGATTGAAGTGACCAGTTTATTATTATTTTTTCTTGAGGGATTATTGTCAGGCGTGTGGAATAAAGAATCTTGCTCAAGGTTTTGCCTTGCTGTGAATCGAACCCAGGTCTCTCATTTGCAAAGCGAGTGCTCTAACCACTGAGCTACAGGACTCCATGGTGTTATTTGAAAAGAGAAGGGAGTTTCTCATAATGTTCTGGCCAAGAAGCCTCCAGATTCATTTGTTAGTCACCTCACAGCTGTTTGTGGGACGTTGCTTGTGCAAATAGCTGCTGCATTTGTCTAGAAAATGTCATTATATTTAATGACAATTATCTGTGAAGCATTTGAAATGTTTTGATGTGAAAAGTATATTTTTGGTTCCTATGCAGAGTATCTCGACTTTATTGAAGTTTATTTTGTTAGTCATAAGCCTAGAAATGAATGGGCAAATGGCTAGAGAATGGAACTAAATGGATAGCTCTTTCGTAGATGTAACTGAGGTAATGATGAGCCGAAATCTACTTGAACAGATGACTGAGACTGGCAGAATGGGTCATGGCATGGATGTGGAGTTTAAAGGACAGTTGAGGGTCGAATAAGTCACCTGGATTATGTACTGGGTGAGATGGAAAGTGGATCCGTGAATAGTGAGGCTAACAGTACCTGAGGTGAGGAGATGCTGATGAGAGCTACGTAGGAGGGCCTCGGTATTGTTGACATTCAACTAGAACAAGCTGGCTCTCATCTAGCACTTCATGACAGTTCATTAGGAAAGCAATAGTCCTGGAGTCGAGGGAGGGCGCAGAAAGATAGAGTTGGGTGTCGTCTGCATACATGTGGAAGTTAACCCAATTCCTGCAGATTATATCACCAAGGGGGAACATGTAAATATTAAAGAGGAGAGGACCAAGGACAGAGTCCTGAGGAATGCCACACGCAAGGATGGTGCAAGGACTGGATGAAAAGCCTTTAGTGAATACAAAGTGGAGAAGGTGGAGCTGAGAGGAGACCTGGTGGAGAAGCATAGATTGGTCAAAAGTGTTGATGGTGGCAGAGGAATCGAGAAGGATGAAGAGACCGAGAGCCCTGGTTGCAGGGAGACAGGATCTAAGTGATCTCAGCGTTGATGGGGGAAAAAAAATCAGAAGATGAATCACTAACTAAGCACAAACATGAAAGCCCTGGACAGCAAAAAATTTAGCTTTCGTGAAAGATTATAAGAAAATGATTTAACCAGAAAAGAAACTATGCAGCTGTCAAATGATTTGAAGATGAAAACAGTATCAAATATGCTGTTGGTGTATCATTGTTATTGAACTGTTTCACTTAATTGCTTAAAACAGCAAACACATATTCTATTTGTATATTTACAGGTGATGGCAATCCGTAAAGTTCTGAATCGGTTAGAAAAGCCTCATGGACTTTACCCCAATTATTTGAGCCCCGTCACTGGTCACTGGGGTCAGCGTAAGTAACAGTATTATTTCAGTCATGAGAAATGCCCTTTGATTTCAATATTTCAGTTTCCTGCAGGATTCCTCCTGTGGAATTCTCTCTTGAGTTTTTTACCAATGTCATCTGGATAGTTTGTTGCATATATTCACCCTTCTTTCTGTAAAGTAGGTGAACAGTCTGTTCATTTTGGCTCTTCTGGATTTGAGCCTGAGATCCTTGTAAATTGAGTGGTTATATCAAACATTATTTGGGCTCAAAACACAAAATACTGCAGATGCTGGAAATCTGAAAGAAAAACGGAAGTCTCTGGGAACACTCAGCAGGTCAGGCCGCATCTATAGCGAAAGGAAAATCAGTCAACATTTTGAGCTCACGGCTCTTCGTCAGAACTGGGGCATGTTGTGAGGGAGAGGCTTTAAAGGCTAACAGAGTAGGGAGGCAGGGCTAGGGGGAGACAAAGGAGAACATGGGGTAGAGGACATAGGATGATGGGGTAAAGAAGTGTTAATGATGCACAACAAAGGGTGGGGGGAAATTGCAACAAAATAGGCAGACCAGAGAGAAAAGGTGTGTCTGGGACCCAGATGATGTGGTAATGGTCATAGAAAATAAGCTCAGTTATTTGGGCTCAATTTAACTATAATCTTTAGGCCGGTCTCAAGACCCTTTTATTCGATCGTGCCATTAGTCGCCCTCCCACCTCTCTGCCTTCCCTCACCCGTACACCACCCCTCCTCCATGCTCGGGCCCCAACACCTGACTGTTCAGCGCTTTGGGATGTCTTCCCGATGTGAAAGGCGCTCTATAGATGTAATTTTGTTGCTTTTGTTTAGGATTTTGAATAGTTGAATAAGATCTCTCTCAGTCTTTTCTCCAGTATCAGCAATCCCAGTTTTCATAGCCTCTCCTCGTAATTCAGGTGCTCCAATTCTAGGTATCAGTTTACTTTCCCTTGAGGTATCTTTTCATAAGAATTTGCTAGGCAAAAGAAGACTGAGGTCCATCTAGCTCGCCTTCCACCATCCTGGCAGTCGCTTGACATGTCGTGTCCCAAACTATATACTGAATATCCAAAGCCAGAATGTCCCTGCTGTAGTACATTGATCATCAGCTCAGAAGGTAATGAGCCACCTCAATCTAGGAGAACAGATTGGCTACAACTATGAATACAACTACAACAGAATGGCTACAACTCCGTACCCCGACCACAGAAGTTCTTACCAGGCTCCATTGGCTCCTTTCACAGAACGGATCGCTTCCTTTTTTCCATAAAGTTATAAATCACTTCCTTTAGAAGCAAGAAGCCTCTCCAAGTGTGTTTTTAATCTGAACTTTTGCCTTCCTACCATTTTCAAATATATGCTGGCATTTTTAGCATAAACAAGGGTATGACTACTTCTGTTGGAAATGCTTCCCCACTTTATCATTGAAAGAGTTTGACATTTTAGTGGATAATAATCCATATACCTCACTGGTTAAACTCACCTCCTTCCCTACTTTTGTTTTCTAGATCATGTCTCGATTGGTGGTCTTGGAGATAGTTTCTATGAGTATTTGATCAAAGCCTGGTTGATGTCTGACAGTACTGATGAAGAAGCTAAAACAATGTATTATGAGGCTTTACAGGTACCAAACTCCATTTGTAAATAATAATCCTTACATTTGATATAGCACCTTATATTGTCAATGTCTCAAAGCACTTTGCAGGAATCTAGTGCAGTGACTGTGTATTTGTAGGCAAACGTAGCAGCCAATTTTGGTACAACAATGTCCTACAAACAGCCATGAATGGCCAATTTTATCTGGGGGTTATTTGAGGATACCAAGATAAACTCCCTTCTCTTTTCAAATTGTGCCATAGGATCTTTGACTTTCACCTAAGGAGGCAGATGGGGCCTCATTTCTCATCTGAAGGATAAAACCTCCAGCAGTGCAGCACTCCCACATCTCTAAACATTGCAGTTTAGGGTGTTAGCCTAAACTGTAAGTCAAAGCCCTGATGCAACCTTCTGACTCAAGAGGCAAGAACGCTATCACTGAGTCAGTCTGAAATCTGTAACTGAATTTCTCTTTAAGGTCATGTGAAATAATGGGCTGTCTGCTCCCTTTCATTTGTTTCCAAAGGCGATAGAAACAAACTTAGTAAAGAAGTCTAGTAGTGGGCTGACCTACATTGCAGAGTGGCGAGGTGGGATCCTGGACCATAAGATGGGACACCTAGCATGTTTCTCAGGAGGCATGTTAGCCATGGGAGCTGATGATGCACCGGCAGAGCAGTCTCAACACTACATGGAACTGGCAGCAGAGATCGCAGCTACCTGTCATGAGTCATACAGAAGATCAGGTGAGACACAGAGAACAGCAATTTGCTGCAAGTACCTGCTCTGTCATCTACCAGATAGTATTATACAAATCCGAATTCAGCTGAACAAAATTAAAATAATTGCAGATGCCTCTGTAGTCAAGGTAAGGAGGTGGGGGGAAATAAGTCTTTCTATGATTGACATCTGAAAGTAACATAGGACGATCATGTTATCTTGTCAGAAGTGCTAATACACAGAATTTGGGCTGAATTTTCCCAATGGAACATTTTGGTCTTTGTACCTCAGGTGAACTTAATGCACCTGGTTTAAAGGTTTACATCTATCTTTTAACGTTTGTAATTTACAACAATCATGGCATACAGATTTGGCAAGCAAGTCGTAAAGGTAAAGCAGGGATAATCATTTGGAACATGGATCTATTTTCTATATAAATTTGGGTTTAAATGGGATTTGAACTGTATTTTATGGTAGTTTATTAACTTCAAGGTCAGAAGCTAGACCTCTTTCAGTTTGTATGTACGCGTATGGCTCCTGAGAACTCTATCCTTATCTATCCAGTATATAATTAATTCAGTGAATGGTTCTCTGACAAAGAAGCAGAAAGACTCATTTTGAACCTAATTGACCTTCTTTGGAATAAAGCATTTTTTTTTCATCTCAATTGTCTTAAACCTTCAGTTAATCAAGATGCTGAACAAATGTGTAGGTGCATGCTGATGAATTGTTGATTGATTTTTAGCTACTAAACTTGGTCCTGAAGCATTCCGTTTTGATGGTGGTGCAGACGCAGTTGCTACAAGAATGAATGATAAGTATTATATCCTGCGACCCGAAGTGGTGGAGACCTACATGTATATGTGGAGATTTACCCATGACCCCAAGTACAGAGATTGGGGCTGGGAAGTTGTGCAGGTAGGTCAACCTTTTGTTTTTATAGCCTATGATCTTTTGAGCTTGTAGATTCATTTGTATTTACATTAAAACCTGGGCTAGGGGTTTTAATGTAAATACAAATGTATCTATATGTGGGGAGGGGGAATGTGGGTTCCATCGAGCTGGAATTTCTGGCCAAGTGTTATTATTACAACAAGATTACATTTGTATAGCGCCTTTCACGTCGGGAGGACATCTCAAGGTGCTGGACAGTGTATAGCATTTCAGACTTGAGCTGGGGTCAGGGAGGGAGAGGGAAGGGGAAGGGGGGTGACTGATGGCATTATCGAAGAGGAGGATTTTGAGGCTGGACTTGAAGGAGGCGGCGAGGCGGAGTGATTGGGGGATGGAATTCCAGAGGTTCCAGGGGTTAGGAGGTTGCAGAGGTAGGGTGGGGCGAGGCCATGGAGGGCTTTGAAGGTGAGGACTAGGATCTTGAACAAGATCCTCTGAAGGATAGGGAGCCAATGGAGTCGGGCGAGAATGGGTGAGATGGGGTCAGGGAGTTTGGTGCCGGAGAGGACACGGGCTGCAGAGTTCTGGATTATCTGCAGCCTGTGGAGGGAGGAGTTGGGAAGGCCGACAAGCAGGACGCTTTCGTAGTCAAGCCTGGGGTGATGTAGGTTTGAACAAGAGCTTCAGCGGCTTGAGGGATGAGGTAGTGGCGGAGTCGGACGATGTTACGGAGGTGAGGGAAGGCAGATACAATGCTGCCATTTACCAGAATTTTTCTGGGCTGATTAAATGAAAGTTTCACAAGCTTTACAAACTGATCGATATTGACAGTGGATTGAGAATGGTGATGTATATAAATAATGTTTGCACACTACCTCCACAGTATAGAAAAAATAAAACTAATCTTGCTTTAAGATTGTCACTTTAAGAATGCAAATATGTTGCGTTGTTACATGCTGACTATTAGGTAGACAGTAGATGTGAGGGTGTTTCAGTTGTGTAGCAGAGAGGCTGAATAAAGCCTTTAGATCCAAAAGCCCAAACATAGCCTATTCTCTATTTCCATAGGCTCTGGAGCAGCACTGTCGAGTGGATGCTGGATTTTCTGGGATCAGAGATGTGTACAGTTCCCCACCATACCACGATGATGTACAGCAAAGTTTCTTCCTTGCAGAGACATTGAAGTAGGTATTTTCTCTTATAACTGTGGAGGTGTGGGGGTGGAATACTGGCTCATTTTTTTTGAAATTACAATTAGGTAGAGTCACAGTGAGTCCTTAAGAATGATATGTACGATGTTCATACCATAAATTATGAAGACTCATAAAGGTGAAGTCTCATTCCTTCAGGGGGGTGTGTAAAATGCATTCAGAATACTTCAATCCCTGTCCCCAGCAGGGAGCTTAAATGAGTTGAGGTCCTGGGTACTGCCAATCTTTTGAATACAGTGGCACTCTAATATTACACTTAAGACGTTTGGATGCCATGTTTAGTGGCATTAATATCAGACCCATTAGGAGCTAAATTATAATTGCATTGCATTATTAATAGAGCATCAAAAATGAGAGCAAAGTACTAAAATTGTTCCACTAGAGCCCCGACTAATTGCTGCATAAAATAGTACATTGCACAAAGTTTTAAAAAAATGGATTTGCTTAGAAACGCTGCTGTTCAAGCATAAAGCAGTGTACTCAGTACAATAGAGAGCCTGTTATTCACAGTAATTAAGTCTAATTAAACTTTCCTGGAGTTAGAAGCACTTTAGAGAGCGGTTCCAGTTGATTGGTCAGCATCCTGGAAATTACATGAGCAGCAGCCTCACAATCTGAAAACTAGGCCAGAGATCATTTTTTTTGTCGGTCCTTTATAACATAAGGTCTAATTTTATGGACGTCAAATATAGTCAACCCTTTATGTAGCAATACTATTACAGCAGAACACCATTTGTGTCGTTTTTTTTATCCACATGGGCCGCAATGTGTAAGTTGGACACTGGTCTACAGGAACCTGGCAAAACTAATGCTGTGTACTACATGTGCAAAATTGCTAATATGCTCTGACCCTGGAACGTGGCAATGTTAGCAACCTCATGAATGTATACAACTTCAGGCCCATTAGGAATTTTTTAGCCAGTAGCAAAGATAATTCTTATACCTTTACAATTTTGCACAGTTCAGGGTTAGAGCTATTGTAGAGATAGAAATCGGAGAGATTCTCAGAGAGAAATCGGAGAGATTCTCGGAGAGATTCTCGGAGAGAAATCGGAGAGATTCTCGGAGAGAAATCGGAGAGATTCTCAGAGAGAAATCGGAGAGATTCTCAGAGAGACAGCAACAACAACAAAATGACATTCACATCGGGAGGACGTCTCAAGGCGCTGGGCAGTCAGGGGTCAGGACCTGAGCATGGGGAAGGGAAGGCAGAGAGGTGGGAGGGCGACCGAAGGCACGATCGAAGAGGAGGGTCTTGAGACCGGCCTTGAAGGAGGCGAGCGAGGCGAAGGGATTGTGGGATGGAGTTCCAGAGTGTGGGGGCAGAGAGGCTGAAAGCTCGGCCACCGATGGTCAGGCGGGAGACATGGAGCAGCTGGAGCCTGCTGAACGGAGGGAGCGGGCAGGTTGGTAGGGAGTCAGCAGGTCAGAGAGGTAGGAGTTGACAGTCAAAGACAGAACCTTGGTGGTTGAGGTGGGAGGAGAGGTAGTGGAGAAGGATTGAATGATCCACAGTGTCAAAAGCGGTGGAGAGGACAAGGAGGCAGAGGGAGCCCTGGTCACACATGGTCAGGATATCATTTGTGACCTTGACTGTAGGCAGCACGGAAACCCAGTTGGAGGGACTCATGGATGGAGTGGGAGCAGAGGAAAGAGTGAAGCTGGGAGGCAATGGCTGTCTCAAGGATCTTGGACAGAAAAGGGAGGTTGGAGATGGGCCGGTAGCTGGATAGCTGTGGCAGGTCAAGTGAAGAATTCTTCAAGGTGGGGGTGATGGTGGCTGTTTTGAGGGGGTAGGAACAGTGCCAGATGACAGGGAGAGGTTGATGATGTCGGTGTGTAGTGAGGCAAGGAGGTGGAGCTGGGATTTAAGGAAAGGGGTGGGGATGGGGTCCTGGGAGCAGGTGGTGGGCTTCATGGAGGATATGGTGGTGATAGAGTAGGGGGTGACAGGTTGAAAGGTGTGGAAGGAGGGACGGGTGGTGGTCGGAGTGGGTGTAGGGAGGGGGTGGAAGTTGAGAGGGCAGTGGCAGCTGAGCAGAGAGGATAAAAGAGAAATACATTACTATGATGACATTATGAGTCCCGGTGGAACAATGTTTAGTTGGTGTTGTAGCCAATTTATATTTTGCCTGATGTCTGATTTCTTTGCACTGGGGTAAGTTTCAATTAGTGTGGACTACTGGCTCTCTGCTTTTTTAGTTCCTCTGTTTCGTAGTTACCGACAGTATAACTGGCCTTTTTATAATAATCCTTTCCCTCATCTATTTCTGTTGTTGTATTTCCTAAAATATTAGGTATCTCTACGTGCTGTTCTCTGAAGATGAACTTCTGTCTCCGGAACATTGGGTATTTAACACAGAGGCACATCCACTACCTATAATACATGGGAGCAGAGAGCAGAAGTGATCGCATTTGACCAGTAAACCTTTCTCTGAAGAAGGGATAATCTTTTGTTCAGTCTGTTGGGTTGAAATATATTTCCTTTCCAGAAAGGACCATTCTTGATGTAGATAGAACTGAGAAGAGATTCAGCTGTCCAATCAATTGTTGTAGTATTTGACCTTCAGTGGGCATATTAATTTCCTCCATGAGGAGTTGCATGGCCTAATTGGCTGTTTATAGTGGGCCGCACCAAAAAGCAAAGGCTCTGAAATGTATTGTTCATATACAAGAATTGACGTGGGGAGAATGCAAACATCAATTTAACTCTGTTCTTTCTTGACCAAAGGATATAAATTTGACATATTGAAAAGATGTAAAAGCAGTTTTTATTTTGTCAGTCTTGTGTCTGACAAAATAACCAATCAGTATGCTTAAAAAATTATCCAAATCAAACTGAGAGTTCGATGCATCCCTACACATAGAAATTACAAGAGATATTTGTTGGAATGGAATGTGCATTCTCTCCCCAGAGGGATGCTTACCAATGAGGGCACTGCTTGGCAAGCTTTTCTGCTGCTTGTCCAGCTAGGACCACTATCTCTTAGGGCTTTGCCTTGCAGGGCCCAGGAGCTGAGGCAGAGACCCTCTTACCATTAACTGGTCTGCTGTTCCAAGTCTTGGTGATGAGCCAGCCTAGAGTACTGCAGACCTACCTGGCTCAGGAATTATTTTAGCTGGTTAAACTACATAACTAAACATGACCCGATTTCTGGTGTCCCCAAGCCTTAGCTTTTGTCAAACTATATCCAACTACATTCAGGTTTAGGTAACCAGGGTGCGTCCCTCTGGAGAGCAAGTGTATGTTCCATTCCTGACAAACCGAAACCATACATTTTATGGAACTTCCAGAAGTTCAGTTTGGAGACTCTTAAGGATAGTTTAGGGTTTTTGGCTGTGTCAATTACCTGACTGACTAAATAAAAACTCTACCCTGTTATGCCTCTTCATCCCCTACCCCTCGGTGGGAAATTAGGTCGTCTATTATCATACATAGTCTTGTTCCCAGGTCCACTGATGTCCATCCACTTACCTGTCGTACATCAAGACCTGGATGAGCACCAACCTTATGCAGCTAATCATGGACAAGACATTAGCCATCCTCCTTGTCTTCCTCCAATGTTTCCTGACCTCAGTCTCTAATCTTTGAAACTCACTGAACCAATTGCAACCTCAGCACTTGTGTTCGATCCCCCATTCTATCCCTGATTAGGACTGCTGTTCCTCTACCTCCACCATATTGCTCACCTCCAATCTTATCTCACACCAGATGCTGCGAAAACCTCATCCATGCTTTTGTCACCTTCCTGCCTTGATTTTTCAAACCTATTCCTTGCTAGTCTCTCCAGTTTCGCCAGTCATAGGGTCCAGCTAATATAAAATTCTGCCACCTATACTTATTTTCCAGGAATGCAACTCAGGAGAAATAGGATAATAGGGTGTTAGAAATCCATTAAAGATTATGAATTAAGAATTATTCCAATTGTTAAAAAAAGTATGTAAAATCTATTTCACGTCTTTTGTGATCCAAAGATAGCATCACGTGAGTGCCTAATATTTGTAGCTTGAGAAATTTTATTTTTATTAACCTGAAGAACAAAGTTCCAGTGGATGAGGTGGCACTTTTAGCGATAGCTTCACATTTCTAAAGTGTATTCTTATCCCACAAGCACAACAAACATGTGTTCTGAGAGCTCTGCAAAGCTATAATAATACTTGCATTTGATATAGCGACTTAACACATTTTTGAGATGTTTCAAAGCACTTCACAGAAAATACTGTAAAGTATAGGGACTGTATTTTGTGGGCGAAACGTGGCAGGAAATTGTCCACAAACAGCTGTAGATTGAGTGACCAAATTATTATTTTTCTATGGCAAAAGCCCACTTCAAAAGGCCTGATGTTTAGGATCCATGAGATGGTGTATTCAATGATAGAGTTGTATTAGCATATTTTAGGAGGCTTTCTCTTTCCCTTTCGAAATAAAGAAAAGCAAGAAAGAGATGCAAAAAAAGACGATACAACATAAACAGAAAAAGCATTAAAATAACAAATTACTATGTAATAAGATTGCAGCACATAAACACCAGAGAAAGACTTATGTGCAATACAGATTTGTTGACTGAAAAAATGTGAGCACGAATTTATAACCTGCAAGGTAATAAGAATGAAAATGGCAATTAATGATATTGTGGATTGAGTGACCAAATTATTATTTTAAAAAAATTAAAAGTGCAATGACTAACACGGACCTTGAGAATTTGAAATAGTATGTCTTGGTTAGGATGCTTTTGAATCTTTTTGTCAGATAAATTGTTGAAAATATATTGGTATACAAAAATAGTATTGCAAAGGATTCTTAGAAAGAGATGATAAGCAACAAATAGTTCAAATATTGTACCGTGTTTCATAAAGATATATTCATTACATGGAGCAAATTAATTCAATTATCAATAATGGCTTATATATAGTGAGATAAACTTAAGATTGCAAGAGACGGCAGAAATAACTTGAGCAATTAGCCAAAGTAATGGCGATTAAATATCACTTGTCAACTGTTATCAACCATCAGCTCAAAGTGGAGAGTTGACAAGTTGTTTATGCGAGACTGGGAGACTATCAAATCTTATTGTATTTGTCAGAAATAATTTTAAATTATAGATAATATGGAGAGATCATAGGCAATTGTGTTAGAGAGTTAAGAGCATAAAAGATCTTGAGAAAATGAGTGTCTGTTGACACAGTTGAAGTGGAGCATTAAGGTAGATGCTATGCAAGTTCTCACGATGACATTCAGCTGGTTGGAAATATTCATTAAAGTACTCACTGTGAAATTTTACCGCCTTCGTATTCCAAGAGTCTCAGAAATGTGGATGAGCCGAGAACTAATTTAATTGGGCTTGAAATTGAAAGGTAACTAACCAGAGTGTAGGAATTTGAGAAAATCAAAATATATTTTTGTTTTGATTTATGACTGTTCATTGAGTTAGTTCATTTTAACAATGGATGGATATCAGGAAAAAAACAGTTAATAATCCTTGCGTTTGATATTAATTTATCCATAATAGTCGTAAAAGCAGAATTAAAAGAATGGAACTTATCCAGCCAGGTACTTACCTGTCTAAGTTACTGGAATATAAGGTTCGCACTTCTAAGAATTATTTATAAAGGCTGAATGTTTACAGTAACTTGGAGCTCAGTATTTTCTACTAGTCTTCAGGCACCTCTTTGACCACTTCACACACCCTCCTACTCAGTAGGGTAGTCTCTAAGACATTATTCCACTTGAAGGTTGCTGTAAGGCTATCTACGTGTTTCTTTGTATCTGCCCCTTGTGTGTGTATCTGTGTGTGTGTGTGTGTGTGTTTCTTTCTGATCTCTCCTGTTATCAGTCTGAAAGTGATCACCCATCAGTCACTTTCAGTCAGTAACGTGAGAGAGACCTGCTAACCAGCACCTTGCTGGGTCAGAGCAAGCCTGAGCTCCGGACACACATTACGACTGTTCGCGCCCGGAGAAAGATCTCCCCGGCTGAATGCCACCCACGAGTTGCCAATTGAATTAATGGCAAATGATAAATTGGCGCCATCAAATTTTGCCTTATACCCAGGTTAAGTCAAACCTAGAGAGGTAATGAAGTAAGTGAATGGATAAATCATTTAAGCATCATTCAACTTTGAAGGTATAAGATTATACTAGCCTAGAGAAGTTATTTGTCCAGAACATTAGTTTCTTTTAAAAAAAAGCAATATATGAAAGAAATAGCACCAGTAACCCAGCTGATGAAGAAAACTACATTCTGCTATGATACAAATGTTTGGTGTTTTTTAAGATAGTAATTATATTGGGTGTAATTATTCTGTTCCTCTTAAATAATATTGCATGCTTCATCCTTTATAAACATTTGCTTTTAAAGATGCTTGATTTGATATTGGATAATTATAACTTGATTGCAATTCTTTAAATCTTTCACAAGGCAGATTACTATCTAAATCCAACTTTATTATATTCCATTTATTATCCCGAGTGGAGTGAACGTTCATTGTGTTACATTTGTTTCAGTTGATGTACGTTAGAAAATGTGTCAGAAATACGCTGCAAATATCACACTGTCATGCGTTTTCTGGCTCAAAAGCAAGAGTTTCAGTATTTTGTGTTCTTGGTCTTGAGTGCACACATATGGTTGCCTTAAGTCCACAGATAATTTAGGTGGGATTGCTGAAAATGTTGTGCCTTGTAGCCTCAGAGTCCTAAGAATTATTTGGTGGTTTAATAAATCAAAATGGAATCCAATTGAAAGTAAACCCACCCACCATTGAGGTCAATTTTGTAAGGTAGACTCGATCCAATATTCTATAATCATATAATTCAGGCTGAATTAGGTTTTGCACAACCTTGACATTCACCTTGAGCTGAGTTTCAACTCCCAAAGAACAACATCACCAGCACTGCTTTCTTCCACCTACAGACCATTGCCTTCTCAACCCACAGCTGCTGAAACCCCTTATCTGCTATAATTGCCTCAAGGATAGGTTTTCCCAATGCTTTCCTCAATGTCACCAGAAGTATCAGCTGACCAGAACTCAGTATGGTTTTTCATATACCTTAATTCTCTCCAAGCTCCTTACATCCATTACCTGCATCCACAATGGGTTTACTTTCTTTGACTCAATCCCTCAGTGGATTGATATAAGATTCTTGTTCTGGTCTTCAAGGTCTTCTGTGGGCTAATCCCATTCTATTTATGCAATCCAGCGCCCTGGGGTGTCGTCCTGACGTGAAAGGAGCTATAGAAATGTAATTTTGTATTGTATCTTCTGGATCCCTAGTCCCAACCTTTACCCTCAACTCTTTAGGCTCTGGTTTATTGCTTGTTCTTCACTTCCTTTATTCCGTCACAAACCTGAGACTTCAACCATCGTGCCCCTATTTTCCACATCACTCCTCCGAAACCATTTTTGCCTTGCAATGTCTCTCCTTGCCTCAAAAACCTAAAATATATCTGTTTCAGTGCATTTGGCTAATTGCCTTAATTCTCTTGAATTTGAGATATTCTTTGATATAAAATCACTATTGAGCTAATCCTCCACATAATTAACTTTTCGCCCTGCCACATCTTAATCTATCTTGAAGTGTTCCCAAACAAAGTGGTTTTATTGCTATTAAAGGTTGTCATTGCAGTGTTTCTTGGATCAATTGAGAGAATTAATCCTGGTTAGATTTATACCACTTAGAATTTCGTCACAAATCAATGATCGTTATTCTCACAATATAGAGGTGATGTTTTTGGTGTATTTTCTATGGAGCATTTAAAGTATGTAGATAATATTAATAGTACTGGGAGTGGTGTGGGTTTTGCAAGACCAAAATTAACCGATTTATTCTGATAATTTATTTACTTCAAACCAGTGTCCCATCTCCTAACTCATTTGTAGTTCGTCTACACACCAGATGTGGGTATGTGTGGCTTACTCTGAATTTATTGTATGTTGATTGAAAAATAAAGTGACCAACAGAATGCTGCACTGCAGCAGCCATTCACCACAAATGATTCTCAGTTTTTTCCCCTCGATTCAGGACAGTGCGATGATGGTACTCGGTGTCGGGGTTATTTACGTGAAAACTTTCATAGTAACTTTTTATAAATTTTTCACAATACAACCAACATTGATTTAAGAAATAATATTAAGATGAGAATGTAATATAATTTGAAAACTGTGATTGATATGTATTTAATCACCATACAGACTGATATGTTAACTGTGTCGGAAATATCTTGATGAAATAATAAGTGGATGTGTTGACTTATTGATGATATTGATGACAGGTTTGTACGTTGGCTCCTCACATATGCAGTTCTCAGCAGGTTTGTGTTCATATGAATAAATGAATAAAGCAATAATGTGAAGCACATCACTTTTTATTCACACTTTGGAGATGTATAGAGTTGGAAAATAATGTTTATTGTATTTTCTGTTAAGCAGCATGAGTTTCCATTTAGTATTAAAGTTATCATTTTCTAGGTCTTGCAGTTATTTGATTCAGAACCTTTGCCTCCAGCAAACCAAGAGACATCACATTCAAATTTATTTGGACCTGATTTTTAATACTATTTGTGATGGGCAAACATCAGGTCGCGCCTGAAGACCTTCCTCTTCCCGTGCTTATGGTCACCTCCCCTCGGCTTGGCATCAGGCTCCGCCACAGTCAAGCGCTCTGAGTCACTGCCCTGTGGTAGGGGTGTTATATAAATGTAAGTTGTCTCAACTATGTGATATGGGGCTATATCAAATGCAAGGATTATTTTTAACCAATATCTACTTGGAAGGGAAAGCATTTGTATACATCAGCTCATTTAAAAAAAAAGGTATTTGGTTAAACTGCTACTCAAGGTTACTAAATGTTGAACGTTTTGAACAGCTTCACAGGATTTACTGTGAATGGTAATGGAGTCCTGTAGCTCAGTGGTGAGAGCACTCGCCTTGCAAGCGAGACACCTGGGTTCAATTCTAGACAGGGCGAAACCTTGGCAAAGTTTCCTTACTCCACACAGAGCCTAATAATCCTCCAAAACGATAATAAATTGGTCATTTTCAATCCACGACTGTTTGTGGGACATTGCTGTGCGCAATTGGCGGCTGCGTTTCGCCCACAAATATACAGTCAATTCACTTTACAGTCTATGCTGTGAAGCGCTTTGAGATGTCTCGAAGATGTGAAAAGCGCTACATCAAATGCAAGGATTATTATTATAAGCAAATTATTAGTAGCCAGCACAGCTCCAAGGATATCCTGCTCTCTCTCCCCCCCCCCCCCCCCCCCCCCCCAACACCCAGACAGTCACTAGTTGGTTATTCAACAGCCAACAAGTGCAGATTTATACCTGCACTGGGTGGATTCCGGGTACCAGGAACTCCCTGCAAGTTTTCTGGTGAGCAGCTCAGCGTACGTAAAATGCCTGGAACATTATGTATGATAATTCCACTAGATGGAGTTGTGGAGCTTGAGCAGCTGCTTACAGCGACTTGATTTATATAGTGCCTTTTCTCATGCAAGGTAGTGTCTCGGAACACTTAATTGCTTACGTAGGAGTACTTGCCTCTGCGTACCAATCAAAGTGCAGATCAAGCATTGGGGGGGGAAATGTGTGTATATACAATACATAAATGTGTATTCAAGAACCAGACCCCAGGTATCACATTCTTAGAACGTGCCTGGACAAATTTAGCTGCTAACTAGTAAATACATATAGCCACGGCTTGGTATCCACCTTGGTTGGAATACAGTGAAGTTACCACTAGGTAAGCAAATAAGTGCTCTGAGGCAATACCTTACATGATCCCTCCAAAAAACAACAGTATTAAATTGGTCATTTTCAATCCACGACTGTGGGACGCTGCTGTGCGCAATTGGCTGCCGCGTTTCGCCCACAAATATACAGTCAATTCACTTTACAGCATATTCTGTGAAGCACTTTGAGATGTTGAAAAGACGTGAAAAGCGCTATATCAAATGCAAGGATTATTATTATAATGAGAAAGGCACTATATAAATCAAGTTGTAAACAGCTGCTCTTCAAGCTCCAGACCTCCATCTAGCGGAACGATTGCACTGGCAGTATGTGTGATCTACTATTTATATTTTTTTATATATATGTGTGTGTACCTCCAAGCAACCCACATTCTTTTCCATGTGCTGAACCTTCAATGCACCCATCACCTGATGAATGAACCATGTACAAATTCCGCAGGTACCTACTTTCCTCAAGTGAAGCCACTTCACCTTTGCTGAACCAGTCCCTTCCCAACAGGCCTGCGGGACCTGTATTGATTGAAACTGTTTCATTTCCCACAACTGTACTACCTTCTAGGATTCAAAATGATGGCCAAGTTCAACAGTAACATTCAAAATACAGACACCCGTCAAAGGTGCAGCGGAGCAACAGGGAACTCCTCTTAGCAGCATGGAGTATATCACTTCTGTCTTGGTAGATAAAACCGTTCCCCCTCTTAAGTGCAAGATACAACCTGTAGCTGGTCAATCATATAAGGTGGTTGAAAATGACACCCTGCTCATAGCTCATGTCTCTGATTTCAGAGTTCAATTACTTGAAAACGACTTGGCCATTGCTCTTGACTCTGGTTGAAAGGTTCCAGCACTTAAAAGATTTGTCTTCAGTTTGTTGCGAAGAGAAACACATTCCACCTTTCAAGAACGACTGCAGTTTACCAGTGCATTACTGGGTGAGACTGCTGGTGGCATCACAATTGTCACAAGGCTACCATTATTTCCATTCTTCAAATGTTTCTGATTATTTTGGGGGCAAGTTTACATTTCTGTGTATTTGCGTAACATCAATACACTTGGGCTGCTCTTTGTTAGTGAAGTATTTATGCAGAGCACAATGGTTGCAAAGACTATTTTATTTGGATAGCAATGTACAATCTTTGCAATGATACTTCAAGTTCAGTGAGTTTCAAAATAGATTTTGTTATATATTCATATGATATTTAGGCATGCAGTTAGTATACAGTGGAGTCCTGTAGCTCAATGGTTGAGCACTCGCTTTGCAAGTGAGAGACCTGAGTTCAATTCCAGGCAGAGGGCGAAACCTTGGGCAAGTTTCCTTACTCCACACAGAGCCTAATAATATTCCCTCCAAAACCAAAAACAATAATAAATTGGTCATTTTCAATCTACGACTGTTTGTGGGACATTGCTGTGCGCAATTGGCTGCCGCGTTCACTCACAAATATACAGTCAATTCACTTTACAGTGTGTTCTGTGAAGCGCTTTGGGACGTCCTCCCGACGTGAAAAGCGCTATATCAAATGCAAGGATTATTATTATTTATTATTATATCCGTTCCTAAATATTTTCTGTACTTCTCACTGAGGGCATTTGGCAAAATGTCTTTCACAGATTATTGTGTCCTACGGGTAATGAAGTACTGAATTTGACCTCATAAGATGTCCGCAAGTATTTCAAACTCTCGGGTGCTGTTCAGAGCTGCTACGTCAAGGCTATATTCTTGTCCCACAGTTCACACAATAAAGGTGACCGAGGCAGACAGCTGGCTTCTGGAGGGAAACTAAGATTCAAATAATTTACTCTTTATGCGGTTAGTTGATCACTCTGTGCTCCATCTTTGGGTAACTCTTCCCTATTCCATAGTTCTTGTTGGTCTTGCAAACTAGATTGTCAGAGGGCCACTTAGATGTCAGGCTGTGATTGTCTGCAGCACTTCCCATTCGCTGTAAATTTCTGAGGGAAATGTACAGAATAGTTGAGCGCAATTGAACTGGTATAAAAAAACAAACTGATATTAACTACTCCAATATTTGGCTCCCAGAATTTCAATCTTATATAATAACAATAATATAATAATCCTTACATTTGGTTTGGAACTTTCATGTCATCAGGACACATGCTGTAAAGTGCATTAATGAACTGAGTTTTAGTTTTTGTAGTGAGCACATATGGCTCCAGAGTGTATTCAATTCAATTAGCTGAAACCAGACACTGCACAAAGTTACAAGAGGGGTTTTGGTAGAGGATGAAGAGGCCATGGCCACTAAAGTAGGATTGCTGCTCCACTACCATATTTTCACTCTATAGCAGAGAAAATACTGAGAAACGTCAGCTATTACAGTAATACCATTACAATTCATCTTATGTTAATTATATTGCACTTGTCTTTTTTCTCTGCCATGAACTCCGGCACAGGACATGTATTGCCACAAGATTCTATCAAACCTGCCCCTGACTCTTTAAGGCCCTTTGACTCTATTCAAAGCAACAAACAACGACTTGCATTTACAGAGCGCCCTTCCACGCGGGGTAGTGTCTCAAAGCACCTCACTCGGACGTTATTCACTTGGGCCTTTTCACAGCCCCGTAGGGAACATGAGCTGCAACAGTTCCCATTGCGTTTGCTCCCTCGACGTGGAACATTTGGTCATCAAAGAAAATATGAGGACGAATTTTTTGCAGCAGAGGTCCTTTGGGAGCACCAGCAAGGAAGAGAGCTTCGTCCGTCTCCAGACCCCAGGTGCGGAGCGTCTTCAGAACCCTCGCTCCTGAACTGGCGGCATTCCTCGCTGTCACCAAGTATGTACGGATTGGGCAGTTTAAACGCTGGCCTTTATCATAAAATTTCTTCTGCAACTTTCCCAACGATTCCAAAAAGCCTTTTAGTGGTCCCTGTTTAATGATAAAGCAGACATTGCTGGGAAAACGGGGATGGTGATAATCCTTACATTTGATAATAATTCCTACACAATAAGAGCAGCTGGCGTACGGATTCACTCCCTGGCAATTCTGTGCCCCACAAGTGCTCACTGCACCGAAATCATCATTCTCCTGGTTAACAACTCATGACAACAACCAGAAGAAACATTCATAAGGCACGCTTTGCAGAGAATAACATCTGCTGTTCCCATTTATAATTCAGGAACAACTCTTACCTTTGCCAATGGTTCATTTTCATATGCTTGTTCATGTTCAAAAAATTTATCTAATCCAAGTTCGTTAACGATTTGTTCGGATTCGTCTGAGAAAAGTACAGCATCTCCATCGAAAGCAACCCTCAGTTGATTCTCCGAATAACTCAGATCTTGATTTGGGCTAAAAATAGTGGCAGCTGCAATGCCTGGTAATCAAATCAGAAGCTCCTGGTTAGTCTACAGCACTGGTTTACCCTACGTTTTCAACTGAACTGCTACACAGCTCTCAATATAGTCACTGTACCCTTCATTATACATCTCATCACGTCTGACCAGCTTCATCAGACTTTTTTGAGAAGATGACATCCCAAATTGACTGGGCTATATGATGTACATCTTGACTTCCAAATGGCGCTTCACACAGAACCGCATAAAGAACTACTTCACAACCTGATGTCACTGGAAATCGAGGGAAAGACATGTGCATAGATTCAAAACTAGCTGACGGGAAGGAAGCAGAGGATCGATGTTAGGGGAGCTAGGTCAAAATGAGCACGGTATTAGGGGAGTTATCTCAGGAGCTGTATTAGGACTCCTGCTCCTTGTATACATTAATGAACTGCCACATTACAGATCCAATGTAAGGCAGTTATATTTGCAGATGATATAAGGTGGGGGTGGAATCAGTGAAGTGAGCAAAGTTCTTACAAAGAGATAGGGTAAGCAGATGTGGGCTGATCATTGGCAAATTAAGTTCAATACAGTAAATGCAAAGTACCTCATACAGGAAGTAAGAATAGGAAACACATGTGCTCCATGGATGGGCTAGAACTTGCCGAGGGGGAAGCTGAAAGAGATTGACAGGTGTTAGTCAACTCATCGCTCACCGTGTCAAATCTTCCTGTCCCTCTTTTAATTCCCTCAACTGATTCCTTATTGTTGGCTTTCTGGGATAGCGTGAGAAGAAATTTCTTTGGAACATTTTGATTAAATCACTCGTCAGGTCCACAGACTAAATCTTGTATCTATCTGCCTTTCACCAGTTTAGAACCACCCCTAATGCATCCCAGCTATTCCTGTGACCCTATGACTCTTTCCAAAGCCAATATATTCTTCCACGTAATACAGAATACAGCGACCAAAATTGCTACAATATTCCAGGGGCAGTCTCATCAGTGCCCTCCCTGTACAGTCTCCACAGTGTTTACCTGCTTTCATATTTTAAGCCTCTAAGAATGAACTATCTCTGCACCTTTGTGCTAACATTTAGTGATTTGTTTACTTGATACAATTTACATTTATATAGCACCTTTCATGTTGGGAGGATGTCTCAAAGCACTTGATAATGTTGGATTGGCTGGGGTGGTAGCTGGCGGAAGAGGGTGGGGGATGTAAAGTTGACCGAAAACGCAGTCAAAGAGGCATATTTTGTGATGTCCCTTGAACGAGGGATGGGAGATGTTAGAAGTTTGTCCAGACATCTATCCCACCAGAGCTTACCTTAACGCTGCACAATATAGTGTATTGTGGCTGCTATGGAGACTGACCTTGCTGAATGGCATCCTGTACTTTCTCGGAGTCTGCGGACAGATACAGGTCAGTGTGCGAAGCTTTCAGATAGTCAATTGGACTCCGGCCGCCAGTCATATAAAACCTTTCCACCATGAGCCCTGCAAGGGAGACATCATAACAGAGATTGTGAACTCACCCACTACACACACACATACACAATGTGGAATACACCCGCATACACTTGGCGGGGAAGTATACGCTCACACTTTAGTTTTACAAACCATACTGGATATCCCTTGTCAATTCCATCTTTTTTAAATGTTCTACACAATATAGATAATATACTATAATAATAGCCCTTATTATTAAGATACGCCTTCTCTCAAGAATGAAGAGCCTGAGTTCATAGCTCATTCCTACAACACTGAAAGATCATCCTCGTTGATTTCCTCTGCAGGAGATATTTCTTTACACACAAGGTAATCAACAGATTATCAGGAAGGATGGCTGAGGCCAGGATGGTAGAATCATATAAGGACAGTGGTGGGGGTGGGGGGTATTGTGGATAGATGAGATCACATGGACTTCATCATCCAGATCTCTCTTATGATCTTCTGACCCAGCAATGGACCCGAGAATCGCTGTGAATATCAGAGGTTGACGGAACCGCAGACACTTACCATAGTGGTTGATGGTGTTGATCAGCCGGACACCCACCTGTGCGTGGTTGTTGGTCACCAGCACAATGTCAAAGAGCTGCTCGCTTTCTGGGTACAGCTCTCGCAGCTTGGCATTGACAACTTCCAGAGCCTAGACATTAGCAATCCACATTAGCATCAGCATCCCCGACATCACCCAGCGCACACCGCCTGCCCAAGTGTCAGGCTGACACCAATACAGATCAGGCTAAATCAACTCGTGCGTGGATATTGCTGTGGCATTTAGCCGCGTCAATAATAATCCTGGCATTTGATATAGCACCTTATCACGTCTTCGAGACGTCCCAAAGCGCTTCACAGAATATGCTATAAAGTGAACTGATTGAATATTTTGTGGGCGAAATGCGGCAGCCAATTGCGCAAAACGAATGGCAAACTGCATTTGATGCAGCGCCTTATCATGTCTTCTGGATGTCTCGAAGTGAATTGACTGCAGATTTTGTGGACGAAACAGCAGTGTCCCACAAACAATCGTGGATTGAGTGACCAAATAATTATTATTAATTAATTACTTATGAAGGGATTATTACTCCCAGAAAAGGGATCCACCAATCGACTTACTGCTAGGTAAACAGGGGCATGTGGAGTAAGAAAAATTTGCCTAACATTTCACCCTGCCCGGGAATCGAACCTAGGTCTTCTCACTTGCGAGGCGAGTGCTCTAACCACTAAGCTACAGGACTCCACAGTTTGATGAGGATCAATCAATAGGCTTTGAATGATTCCTTTAACTGCACTGAACCCTTTGCACTTTATATCTTAAACTCCTTCACACGCTCCTGCTCGGCAGCTGCCCTTCATAACTGAGCTAAAATTAACACCAATACATGGAAATCCAAAAATAACCGGGCACTATTAGACTTTCCTCTATTCAGAACTCACTTAAACACATCCAACATGTGTGTCAACTTAGTTCAGTTGGTAGCACTTTTGCCTCTTTTGAGTCTGAAAGTTGTGGGTTCCAGTCCCACATTGGGACTTTAACTCACATGGGCTAAGCTGACACTCCAGTGCAGTGCTGGGGTGTCCGAGGTCCTGTCTGCTTATCCAGGTGGATGTTAAAGATCCCGTGGCACTCTGGGGGCTGGGGGCTGGGAACATTTGGGGAAGGTGAAGTTAGACACCTGGACAAAGGGAAAGGCGGCTCCTGGGGGAAACGGCTCATTCTCATGCAGCATCTGGTACTTGACATAAGGCTCGACCCCCTGGTCCTCGAATATCTTTGTCTCTTTCTCCATGTTGAAGAGGGCTCTGGACGACACTGCGATGGTGGTGGCATTCTGGGGCTTGGGCTGAAAGAGAGGTCGAGAAAGTGAGTCATGAGTGTTAGAAATAAAATGGGTGAACAGGACACTGTTGGGATTGGGATGGGGGATTTAATATAGTGGTATCAGCTGAAACGTGGCTTTAGAGCAGGCAGGATTGGGAACTAAACATTCCTGGGTGCGCACTTTCAGAAGGAATAGAGAAGGAAAATGTGGCCGAGAGTTGGGGCAATTAATCAGAGACTCCTTTACAGTATTACAGAGCAGGAATATTGCAGAGTGGAAGGGGAGTTCTATCCCATTCAGTGAGTACTTGTGTTTCCTATTCTTACTTCCTATATGTAGTGGAGTCCTGTAGCTCAGTGGTTAAGAGCACTCGCCTTGCAAACGAGAGACCTGAGTTCAATTCCAGGCAGGGCAAAACCTTGGGAAAGTTTCCTTACTCCATACGCCTAATAAAATCCCTCATTTTCAATCCACGACTGTTTGTGGGACACTGCTGTGCGCAATTGGCTGCTGCGTTTCACCCACAAATATACAGTATATTCTGTGAAGCGTTTTGAGGCATCTAGAAGACGTGAAAAGCGCTACATCAAATGCAAGGATTATTATTATTATTATTATGCAGTACTTGCAATTATCGGTATTGAACTTCATTTACCAGTTCTTAGCCCATGTGTACATAATAATAATAATCCTTGCATTTGATATAGCGCCTTATCATGTCTTCGAGTCGTCTCAAAGCGCTTCACAGAATATACTGTAAAGTGAATTGCTTGTATACTTTTGGGGCAAAACATGCCTATCCTATCAAGCTCTCTTTGTATATACGGCCGTTGCTGCCTCCGCTGATTCCACAGTGTCTCCAACTTGATGTCACCTACAAATTTAACCGGGTCTGCGAGTCCAGAGCATTAATGTATACGAGGAACAGTGAGACACTGCGGGTCTGTCAGACCCGCACTTGATACCTCTCCCCCTTTTCGACCCAGCTCCCCTAACTGCAACCCAGCGCCTTGGGACGCCCTCCGAAGGTAATACGTTGTCGTCCTTGTTGGCTCCCTTTGCTTCAGCCAATTCTCAACCCAGTTGGATGTCTCTGCCCTTGACACCCAGTGACCTCGGTTTGCCAGGAGCCTCTGATGCCCCGCTCCTGGGCTCACCCTCTCCCAGCCTTCAGAAAGGTTTGATTTGCTCAACATCTCGCATCTCCCCAAGACTTAGCAGATGCTCAGTTAATCCATCATCTAACGTGAGTGCAAGGCTCTGGATCCTGCACACAGCTGCAGACAGGAGATGCTGCAGTGGAGCAGCAATCTCTACCCCACCACCCCCCCCACTTTAAGCCTTTCCCCCCCCCCCCCCCCACCCCTCTGTTGTCCCCCCGACTCCCCCACTCTCTCTTACCGGGATGGGCTTCCTCCTTGGACTGGCCCCGAGCTCTGGCTGAGCTGCTGATGGCTCCATCAGCCTTCACACAGCCTCCACTGCAGAAGATGCTGCGGTTGAGAGGTACCACTTCTCTCTCTCTCTCTGTCTCTCTCTCCAATACACACACATACAATCTCTCTCTCTCTCTCTCTCTCCAACACTCACTCTCCGACCACTGTACAATGTGACTTCTCCACTGAGACCTATTGGTCACTGCTCAGACAGCATTTTCCTAACGTCACTTTGCACAAATAGAGTCACTCACATCACTCCCTCCCTCCCTCCCTCCTCCAGGCAACTGCTACTGACTGACTGACTGACTGACTGAGAGATGTGCTATCAATGCCCCACTGTGTGATCTGATAGATTCCATCCCTGGCTCTGATGTATCTGTGCCTTTACTGCCTCTGTTCCTCTCCCCAAGGCTTTTACCATTAAGAAATTCCCTCCTCCCCACCTCCGCCAACAACAACAGATAATAACAGCAAATTGTACTTGTATAGCGCCTAGAGTACTATGGACTGTGAACTCAAACGTATCACACTGCGATGTAATGCTGGGCGCACCCTGTATCGTGGCGTCCTGTTGCTCAGCGGTTAGAGCGCTTGCCTCGCCACGAGAGGACCAGGGTTTGATTCCAGGGCAGGGCGAAACGTTAGGCAAGCTTCCTTCGTGCCACACGCCTCTTGTTTACCTAGCAGTTAGTAGGAATCCGGTTGTTAGTCGATTGGCGGATCGCTTTCCCTGGAGTAATAATCCCTTAAAAAAAATACTAATTTGGTCACTCAACCCACGGCTGTTTGTGGGACGCTGCTGTGCGCAATTGGCTGCCGCATTTCGCCCGCAAAACATACAATCGATTCGCTTTACAATATATTCTGTGAAGCACTTTGAGACGTCTCGAAGACGTGATAAGACGCTACGCCAAACGCAAGGATTGTTATTATTATTATTGCTGTTGTAGTTGCTGTGCTTTGGAAGAGACATTAAATAGAAGCCCCGTCTGTGCCTGTTCAGGTGGCTGTTAAAGATCCCATGGTAATTTTTCAAACAAACCAAAAAAAGTTTCTCCCAGTGTCTTAGCCAACAAACCCCCAAATAAAATTGGTTATTCACTTCACAGCTGTTTGTGGGACATTGCTGTGCGCAACTTGGCTGCCGTGTTTACCTCCAAATACAGGTGAACGGTGAGTCAGTGACAAGAGGGCGGGCATCAGTTTACGATGGTTAGCAAACGAGCAAATTTTACGAGATGTACTTCACGCGAAGAGTGGTTAGGATATGGAGTGCCCTGCCTGACCAGTGGTTGAGACAAAGTCTAATATCCGAGGAGCAAATTACAGGGGTGCGGGGAAAGGGCAGGTAAATGGGACGGAAACGACTGTTCTTTAGCCAGCACAGCAGGATGAATGGCTTCCTTCTGTGCTGTAAATTTATATGATTCTATGGAACATTATTACTACACTTAGTACATCCTGTAAAGAGCTTTGAAGTATCTTGAAGATATGATAAGGCGCTATATCAAATGCAAGGATTAATTTTGTTATTGTAGCTTGAGCTTTCTATTGGGTGCATTTTATCTGTACATTTCTTCCATTTTGCTGTCTAGTCATAACGACAGAAGGTTTGCAGTGATGCGGTATGAAAGGGAATGTCATAGAAAGGAAAGCAAATACTTATTTCCATTACTTGATGTGTGTTTTCTCCCCAAATTCTTATGCATTTGGTAAGAAAACATGCGTTAAGAGTAATGGGAACGATTTGTAGATGATAAGCAATTTAGACAAAGAAGTCCCTTTGCTGGGGTCCTGCAGCTTAGTGGTTAGAGCACTCGCCTTGCAAGTGAAGACACATAAGTTCGATTCCCGGCAGGGCATAACATTGGGCAAGTTTCTTTACTCCACGCACTTCTGTTCTCCTAGCAGTAAGAACCTGGTGATTAGTCAATTGACGGATCGCTTTCCTGGGGATAATAATCATTTAAATTGATCACTTAATCCATGACTGTTTGTGGGACATTGTTGTGCGCTATTGACCGCCACAAAATATAGTCAACTCACTTTACGGTATATTCTGTGAAGCGCTTTGAGATGTCTCGAAGACGTGATAAGGCGCTATATCAAATGCAAGAATTATTATTATTATTTGCTTCATCTGATCTCACCCTTCCAGTCCTACCACTGGATCAAGCTGCTGCTCAATGAATCATCCCAGCCTCTCCCAATTCCAGGCAACACATTCGAATCATTGAAACCCCGTGGCATAACGTAATTGCTAGCCCAAACTTGCCCTCATGATTGTGAGGCGAGGGCCCTTGTGCTACTGCCTTATTCTATCTGATAGTTTTGCTCTGGGTTTAGTTATTGCTTCCTCATTAAGCGTTAGAATGATTTGCATAACATCATAAACTATACTGGCTGACAATTCGCCCAAAATCCCTCACCTCACGGTGGTTTGTAGGACTTCGCTGTGCACAGTTTGGCTGCTGGGTTCGCCCTCAAAATACAGTACACAGTCGTTACACTTTCCTTGAAATGATATCAAGTGCTTTGAAATGTTTTGATGATATGGTAATTCTCTATATCAAACACAAGGATTGTTACAGGAATAATATAACAGAAGTCTTTGAAAGTTTTTGATCAAGTAGACAGGGAGAAATTCGTTTCCACTGGTTGATGAGTCAATAACTGGAGGCTATAGATTTATTATAATCATCAATAGAACAATGGTGGAGGTTAGGAGACACATTTTTTAGGATGTGGAACAGCCAGTCTGGATCCATGGTTGAGGCAGAATCTGTATTAGGTTTTAAGAGGGAATTAAATAAATATCTGAAAAGGAGTAACATAAAAGGGTATATAGGGAGGAAGGAGAATGGGACTAAGCAGAGAGCAGTTTTAGAGAGGAAATGCAGGCACCATGGGCTGAATGGCCTCCTTCTGCGCTGTAAATTTCTATGGTTCCATATTAGTTGTTGAAGGCCACTGTGCTCAGCAGCCAATGATAATTGCCGTACATCTTAACAATACAGTAATATTAAACAAGTATTTTTCTGCAGTCTTCACCGTAGAAGACACTGGAAACGTACCAAAAATAGAGGACCAAGAAGACAATGTTAGCGAGCAACTTAGGGAGATTAACATTAGTAAAGAGATGGTTCTAGGTAAATTGTCGGGTCTTAAAACCGATAAATCCCCTGGACCGGATGGCCTGCATCCGAGAGTTTTAAAGGAGGTGGCTACTGAGATAGTGGATGGCATGTCTATAATCTTCCAAAAGTCTGTGGATACTGGAAAAGTTCCCATTGATTGGAAGATTGCAAACGTAACTTCACTATTTAAGAAGGGTGGGAGAGAAAATAGGGAAAACTATAGACCAGTTAGTTTGACGTCAGTTGTAGGGAAAATTCTTGAGTCCTTAATAAAAGACGTAGTTATGGGATACCTGGAAGACCATAAAAAGATTAGGCAGAGTCAACATGGCTTTACAAAAGGGAAGTCATGCTTGACTAACCTTTTAGAATTTTTTGAGGATGTATCCAGCAGGTTGGATAAGGGGGAACCAGTAGATGTGGTATATTTGGATTTTAGGAAGGCATTTGACAAGGTGCCACACAAAAGGCTGTTACTCAAGATCAAGGCCCACGGGATTAATGGGAAAATATTAACATGGATAGAAGAGTGGCTATCGGGTAGAAAGCAGAGAGTAGTGATAAACGGATCATTCTCGAATTGGCAGGATGTAACTAGTGGAGTGCCACAAGGATCAGTGCTTGGGCCTCAGCTATTTACCATTTACATCAATGATCTGGACGAGGACATTGAATGTAATGTGTCTAAATTCGCGGATGATACTAAACTCGGTAGCAGAGTGAGCTCTCAGGATGATGCAAAAAGATTGCAACAAGATATAGATAGGCGCGGGGAGTGGGCAAGTAGGTGGCAGATGGAATTCAATGTTAGCAAGTGTGAAATTATTCACCTTGGTAGCAAGAATAAAAGAACAGATTATTTTCTGGAAGGGGAGAAGTTAGATAGTGTTAGTATTCAAAGGGATTTGGGTGTCCTTGTACACCAGTCCCAAAAAGTTAGTTTGCAGGTGCAGCAGCAACTAAGAAGGCGAACGGCAGTTAGCGTTCATTTCGAAAGGTTTAGAATATAAGAGTAGGGAAGTCTTGCTGCAGCTGTATAGGGCTTTGGTGAGACCGCACCGAGAGTATTGTGTGCAGTTTTGGTCTCCTTATTTAAAAGAGGACATACTTGCCCTCGAGGGGGTGCAGCGTAGATTCACTCGGTTAGTTCCTGGGATGAGGGGACTGACCTATGAGGATAGGCTGAATAAACTAGGGCTGTATTCTCTAGAGTACAGAAGAAGTAGGGGAGATCTTATTGAAACTTATAAGATTCTTAAAGGGCTGATAAAGTAGACACTGAGGGACTGTTTCCCCTGGTAGGAGAATCTATAACCAGGGGTCACAGTCTTAAAATTAAGGGTCAGCCTCTTAGAACAAAGTTGAGGAAACATTTCTTCACTCAGAGGGTAGTGAACTTATGGAATTCACTACCCCAGAAGGCTGTAGATGCTCAGTCCTTGAACATTTTCAAGGCTGAGACTGATAGATTCTTGAAAAATAGAGGGATTAGGGGATATGGGGATAGGGCAGGTAATCAGAGTTAGGTGAGAAGATCAGCCATGATCTTATTGAATGGCGGAGCAGGCACGAAGGGCCGAATGGCCTACTCCTGCTCCTAATTCTTATGTTCTTATGTTCTTAATAATCCTTGCATTTCATTTCGTGCCTTATCACATAGTTGAGACATCTGAAAGTAAATCCCACGATTTTACAGTCCATATGGTGACTGTATTTATAGGTAAACTAATTTGTGTACAGCAATGTTCTAAAAGGCATGAAGTGAGTGACCAATATTTATTTTTGATGGGTGATGGGCCAGCACACCAGGAGAAAACTCTCTTCCCTTTTTGAATGTGCTATGGGATCTTTAACATCCACCTGAACCGGCAGATGGGTCTTGGTTTAACATCTCCAATAATGCAGTGCATCTCCACACAACATTGTGATTTTTTTCACTAAATAAACATAGTTAGCAAATGTTGATTACTAGGATTTAAACAAGTCAGCCCCAGCTCACACTAGTGTGTCAACAGAGAAAGGGGGATTCACCAGCAGTGACCAGTGAGCAAGAAGTAATGGTAAATGCACTTGTAAAATGTTTTGGGTGATAAAAGGATTCTTTTCTTCTTTTGAAAAAGAAATACG